TGTCTTACACTTCCTGTGTTAAATGTTATTTAGAAAGTCAGGTTTATTGATCTTTGAAAGGGTGTATTTGCATTTTTATTCCATGGTCATTATAATAGTTGAAATTGGTCTCAAAATGTCAATATTATCGTTTATTGCAATAAATTCTTGATCAATTAATCGTTCAGCAAAACCTGTTATTGTTACAGGCCTAATCACGTTAATGGTTTCTCACAGTAATTATCAACAATGACAGCAAGGTGGGAAACCAATATCAATATTTAGCACTTTAACTTTATTAATCTCAGTAATTGTTAATTTTTTAAGTACAGTGTTAGCAATTCTCATCATTGCCTCTGAGTGTGTTTACAGGCACATCAGTTTTCCGTGTTGGTGACCCCTTTTCCTCGCTCTTAACTTGCCCGTTTCTCTGGTGAAGAATCCTCTACCTGCTTGTCTCCATGGAGATGTTATTGCTTTGCTGCAAGTTCCATGGTATGGCATTAAAGGTGTTACTTACTGAAAAATACCTTCAGAACATAAAAAAATATGAATCTATCCATCTTCTTCTGCTTTATCTGAGGCTGGGTCACAGAGGCTGCAGTTTTAAGATACATGTTCTGGAAAAAATTATGTATCTCTTGATGATAAATAATGAATCCATTTGTGAATGCCGGTGAGTTTTTGGCATACTTTTTATTCTTTTTATAGCAGGTGGCATGGCCAGAGACCAACAGTCTCTCTCGAGTATCCTCTCTCCAGTCACCCCTCCAAGTCACTTCTCCCAGAGCATCTGAGCTCTGAGTATTTATGACAGATTGACAGAAATCTTTTCTTCACAATATACATTTCCATCACAGCCATACTGTGGAACATTTTAGTAAAAATAAATTACTACATAAAAATACGCAGGTGGCAGATCCTTCACCAGAGATATTACATAGTGCACCTTTAAATAAATATGGCAGATATATTTAGGCATAACAAGTTTAATTTCCTATCAAAGTAACTAGGCTGAAACAAGGAGGAAGGACATCAGATGTGGAGAAAAAAAGGAAAAGGTAAAATTGACATGTATATAGTACATATATAGTTAAATGGTTCACTGTAGTTGAACTAAACTTGTATTATAAACCCCATCTCCTCATACCTGCTGTGGTCTTCAAAGGCCAGTGGAGAGTTGTACCTGACTAGAGTGTGTTATACTGTTGTGTGCTGTAGGCTGGAGCGGCTCCGGGGGGCTGGGGGCCAAAGAGCAGGGCATCCAGGACCCCATCAAGGGAGGAGACGTGCGTGACAAGTGGGACCAGTACAAAGGTGTGGGTGTGTCCCTGGATGACCCCTACGAAAACTACAGGAGGAACAAGAGCTACAACTTTGTGGCCCGCATGAAGGCCCGAGAAGAAGGTACCAGACTCACTTCACTCTAGTCCCCAGCTACTAGCATACTGAATCCAACTGTGGGTAACAAATGATACAAATGTTTTAGTCCATATGAAAAAACAGGTCTATGTGTTGAACGTGCTTATGTCTTAAAGCCCATTATTTTGTTCAGTAACTATAGAAACTCACCCTTGCAAGCTCAAAGCATTTTTTTTGTTTTGTTTGTTTGTTTTAGTTGATTTCTCATCAAAAACACCTGAAGAGGTTTTAGATGTCATCCTTGCATGTTTGAGTAATCTAGCGATCTCTCATGAGCCCCTCAGCTTATGGTTCAAGTTCAGTTCATTTATCAGGCATGAAAATCTCTCAGCTTTCGACGATATTCACCGTTCTGAAGCCAAAATAGGTGACTTACATGAATCGTGTTTGATAAGAAAAGTTTTGTGGGGGGGGGGTCTTGGTCTCATCTCGGATTCGAGCACATTTGGACTCGGTCTTGTCACAGACTCAAGGTCTGACTCTGGACGAGTGCAGTTATATTTCTTTATGGCTGCTGCTGTCGGCAATAAGCTTGTACTGGTGTGCGGGAGCGCAGGGCATATCTCTGCAACCTGTGTGCCTGTTTGGAGCCTGTGGACACTGCGCGGCACATCACAAACACATACATCCCCAGCGTGCGCAATTTGTTTGCGACAGCATGTACCCTCATGTACCAATGTGTATCACAGGGCAGATTAAACTTCTTAAAACATCCTACCTGTCCATCTGCCTCACGTCAGCGCACACATCCTCGCCTTTTCACGCTCTTTCTCCTCCTGGTGTATAGTGCATATTGGCTTGGTCTTTAGTTCACGCTGATATGAAGGGCAAGCAAAAACTAATCAAAATTAATCTTACGTCAGCACAGAGCAGGTCTAATGTGATATGTGGGCTGAAGTTTGCCTAATAAAATGCCAAATAAATCCGTTTGTCATGATGTGCGTTTGGTATGTGCAGAGGCTAAATCCCACTGTAAAACCAGTAAGATACTTTGAGACTTTGAAGCAGTTTTGTGTAAAGTGCCAGTGGAAGTTCTCTTAAAGAAGGGTTTCTCAAACTGTGGGTGAGGATCCAAAAAAAGGGGACACAGAGTGTTTAGGTGCAGTACAGTTTGCTTGGCTTATTTTAAGTCTAAATGAACATGAATCAGATCAAATGGAGATAGATTTATAAAACTAAATAATAATAATTAAAAAAAAAACTATAACTAATAATTAATAATTAAAATTACTAATTTGGTCTTAATTTGGAGCTGAGAGCTTGTGGTCTCAGGCTTGTCAACCCTCAGAGGTCTTAGTTTTGTCTTGGGACCCTGTGGTCTCAGACAGGTCTTGGTCTTGATTGTGTGGTTTTGCTGTAGTCAACCCCCCCCCCATATCTCATGTTGCTATTATGATATCAACATGACATAACATATTGTGCTGCATTACAATTATGCTCAAAAGGAATAGGAAGAAGTGTAAACTTATAAACTCCAACCCCCCATGTATTCTCAGTAATTGCTTATGTACGTTTCTTACCCTTCTTATGGTAAGAAAGACGGTCCTGTCCAAGACTCCGCCCACAAGCCTATGTCACCCATACTCACTTGTGACAATTTTTTGGAAAATGCACAAAAGCATGATTAAAAACAATGCACACATCATCAGGTCTGTCGAGTTGCAGTGTAGTCATGTAATTAGCAGGATGCATGTTGATTGGTGCTCTGAAGGGGGAATGACTTAGTGCAGGAAGCAAGGGGAGGGGGGACTGAGAGCCTCAATAATGAAACTGAAAATACACTTGAAGTGTAATACCCTCTCTTTGAAGTGCATGTGACTCTAATTGGTGCATAGTTTTACATCAGTCAAGTATTCATTTATGATGAGAATCCAGAAATGACATGAAATTAATAAATGCAGGTGTTACATAATAACTATTAGTCAAAAGAATTCTAAACTTTGACCAAATTGTCAAACTAGGGAAAACTCCACATTACATAATGCCAATTAATATAAGAAAATATAATGATGACCATATACTACTAGTACAGAGTTCTTTACCTAGTACCTGTGTAAGCGGGACTGTTGGACAAAGCTTAAAGGTTGGGCTGATTTGAAAAATGTCAAATTCAGAATTGTGAGTTAATAATATAATTCTGTCCAAAGTTCATATTTTAAACGCGTCTAGAGTAATTCACAAAAAGAGACTTAAATTTCAACTCACAAACTAATACAAGTATCACATTTCAGAACATGTTCATACAGATCTAAACTACAGGTTTAGCAGCTTTTATGCAGAATAAGGCTCGATATTTTCTTGTTTGTAGTAGTGGAACTTCAGTGCTTATGACCAAATAGACCCATAGTTTGAAGGTTTTTTTTTTTCTCTCTCTTTCAGTGAACCGAGAACCCCCAGAGGCTCCTCCTACAGACTGACGACATCACCACATTTTGCTGAAGTCCTTTTGTCTTTGTATTTTTTACTGTAATAAGTTTTAAATGTACCTGTTTCTGAATAATGCTTCATTTTGTCACCAGCCAAAAGAAATAAAATCTTGAGTTCCCCCTGGCTGTGTCTGCTCTCTGTACATGTCTCTGTCATGGTGCTGTTTTTGTTTTTTTTTTTGTTTTTTTACAGTGGTTGATGTAAGGCTGTATGATGTTTGGCCTCATGTTCATTAATACTGTCACAACTGTAATTTCATATTCAACAAGGATTCTCTATACACAGACTAAGTTCTTAAAGGTTCTTTATTACACAAAATTGACTAAGCCTGTTAGAATGTTGTTATCATCAAAAACATACCTGGAGTCGTGTTTTCTTTCATTTACACATGTTTGAGTAACACTGTCTACATTTCCTAAGCTCTAAATGCTCAGTTCCACAGTTACCTTTTATCCTTTAGTTCAGCAGAGATAGGTAGTTCCAGGGCTGAAATCATCCAAATGATTCTAGTGAAGGTGTAGGAGTTTAAAAACACAGTGGAGCACTTCCTGTATTACCACAAGACATCACAAGGTGTTTTCTGTTGGAGAGAAGAACTGAATATGCAGGGTTTGTGTGTTCAACATGCAAATGAAACAAAACAACACTGTCTGTTTATGGTGAGGACTGGACATTATAACAGATAAGAAAATAGAGCAATAAGGGCCATTTAAATCCATTTGCTCTACATTAAAATGTGTGTTATGTCTGAGAATTGGCAACTAAATCAGAGGCACGAGGCATCTAAAAAGACACTCATCTACTTAAATACTTTAATAATACTTTCTGTTTGGACACTCAGACACAATGCGTCATTCATTCCTCACTTCGTGATGAGAAACTGTTACACTGGCGTACACAGAAGAGAGGCTGCCAATCTGAAGTGACCAGCACTCACACGCCACATATTAGGAGGAGGATACTTGCTCCGGGACAGGCTGGTGTTGTGGGGCAGGTCTTCTCCTATCGTTTGAGGTTGCCATGGAGACGGCTCGCTCTGTTCCGTTACTATGGTGACGGCCAACAAACATAGGAACAGGCATAGGACAACGAAAAGTAACGGAAAAGAAAAGGAAGGTCTAAAGAAAAGTTGGTTTTGTTTAGCCCTGCCGTTCACGTACAGAGAAGCGGCCATGACCGCGTACGAGGACCTCCGCGTGGAGTGGATCCGCCGGTGCGTGTGCAGTGGCTTCCACCTGCCCGGGAGACCCAACAGCTTCGACCGGCTCATGCAGCGGGACCAGGAGGAGCCGCTGCGCACCGTCAGCACTTTCCTCAACCGAGTGACCGACGAGCCCACGGCCTCATGTCTGCTGTTCTTCAAGAGTGTTCGGGAAGAGGAGGTGGAGGTCCGGATTCCCATCGGTATGTAACCGGGGACCGACCGCGGGAGCAGCGACACACGGGGCTTTGGACACTTCCACACTATTCAACTGTTAATCAGCTAAAATAAACGTTAATCAGCTAAAGTAAAGCAAACTGGCAAACTGGCAAAGTGGCCAGCCAGAGGCACACTACTAGTAGCAACTACTAAACTTATAGAAGCACACCACAAACACTCAAATAGACAAGTGGGATAAAGGATTAATTCATGAATCACTTTTTAATTAATTAATCATTGCATTTATATAGCACCTTTCAAGACCCCCAAAGCACTTTACAGTTCAGTATTCATTCACTCAACACTCAGTGGTAAGCTACTATTGAAGCCACAGCTGCCCTGAGGCAGACTGACAGATGTGAGGCTGCCAATCTGCACCATCAGCCCCTCCAACCACCACCAACACTCACACCACTTTCTTATTAGGCAATGAGGGTGAAGTGTCTTGCCTAAGGACACAACAGTTTTTGCAACTGGTGCCCCCTGTGGCACCTGATTTTCCCAGTGGTCTCCCATCCAAGTATTAACCAGGCCAGGCCCTGCTGATCTTCTGAGATCTCTCGGGATCAGGCTTTGACAAGCCGGTACAGCCACAGGATGGAAGTGCATCTGATCTGGCAGGGCATCTGTGGATTAGATTCCATCTTTTATGCCTTCCATCCTTTAGATCATTGTTTCCTGAAGACTGGGTCGCGACTCTCAGCTGGGTTGCAAGAGACTTTTTTTTGGGTCGCCTTGTCACGATCTGCAGGTAGGTCTGCCTTATGCAGTTGTGACACATGTGAGAGCGAGTGACTATTTTGTTCCAATATTGCAGGTTCAGTTGAATGTTGAAAAGAATGGATGGATCCTTTTATTACTGTGTCAATGAAAGATTTTCAATGTTTAAAACTTGAGTATTATTCATAGTTCAGAAACACGATCACTCAGTCAACAATAAAATATCCTCATTAATGTTCAATAATGCTCAAATCCATCTTTAATTTGTGATTTACGAATAATGTCTATTGACTTGGGTCATGAAGGTTTGTGACTTTTAAAATATGGGTCTCCAGAAAAACAGTTTGGGAAACACTTCATCCACAGGGATACTGGAGGATGGAAGGGCATCTGACACAGTGATAAGGAGATATAAGTGAATGCACTGCAGATTTCTGTGATCTGGCCAAGATTTTAAAACTTATATCAGGTTATTCTAGTGCAGCATATTAGTAAAAAACACAAATACTCTCTAAGGGCCAGTATTTTGGAAAAAGGCGTTGGCCACTCAAAAATTCTATATGGCAGACATTTTTCAAGATGTAACAGGTGGAAAGTTAGTGGGTTGATATAATCACGGGTTAACGGGCGGGGGTGGTGTTGTACTGCGCGGGGGCGGGTCTTCAAAAATGGACCCGTGCAGGACTCTGATCTAACTACATACATTACTCACTAATAGATGAGGGGCTGTTAGATGCATTTGGGACACTATACTTACCTAAACTATTACTACGAGTCAAGAACTACACTGTAAGTTAAACTAGATGAGTGACACTGAAGCCCAGACTGAGTTCCACAGCAGTGAAATAACCAGTGCCCTGGTGATGTCATCATGTTCACTCTATTAAACTAAACCTTCCTCAGCACATTCAACTGAGCTCTGACAGAAATGGTGGCTTCTTGAAAATGGTGGCATCTTGAATTTTTGGGTAGCACACACCTTTTTCCATGGGAATGGAATGAATTGAAGAATGTTTGTACCAGTCTTGATGACAGCATCACCATTTGATCAACTGATGTAAGGATTTTTGAAAAATGGTTGTCATCATGATGTTTTTGAGGGACAAGCGCCATTCTCCAAAAGTATTAAAGTAAAATAGTACTAATTAATTAATTAAGTAAGTAAAAGAGTATTTTCACAAAATGTTATGCCTACATCACAGTTTGAACGATCGACATAATGAGCATTTGACAGAAATAGAAAATGAATGATTCTCCTGAAATATGCTATTAATCTGCTGAACTATTCATCTTGTTTTCAGATTTATTATCTACTCCCTAGTTCTGAGACTGCTTAATTCTCGTCTAGAGGTATTTATTTTAAGAGAACTTGTTAAGTAAAAGGATTTTGCAGCATGGACAAATCATTTCACTGCTTTTAAGTCATTTTCTGATAGATTTAAATGTTTATATTAAATTTTGGCTAAGGTTTTTTGCAGTGTTCATACAAGGACGAGGTTAGATTAGACTTTTTATTGTTTATATGTCTTGTGTGCTCTGACAAAGTGTGTGTGCATGTGTGTGTGTGTGCGCGTAATTGTCTGTGTGTGTGTGCATAATTGCGTGTGCGTGCATGTGTGCGTGTGTGGTTGTGTAGTTTCAGAGGAGGCTGAGCAGACGGATCAGGAGGACACTGATGGTTCGGAGAGCATGGAGCGCGAGGAGAGTAAGGGTGACCCTGTCCTCAGCTATGTAAGAGAGCCACAGCACCATCACACACAGCACCAACACACACAGCACCATTACATTGACCTCAATAAGGGACTGACTTAGGTTTTTCATGTAGTCACACTCAACTTTTGTGTTTCAAAACAGCAAAACAGGACAACAAGTGCTCATATGGATCCCAGGTTCCATAAAATGTGTAGTTCATTACTAGGACCAAATGTAACTCTACCCCCCACACTCCAGTGCTGTGACCCAGAATCAGCTCATGTTGTTTGTCTCCGGTGTGTTTCAGAGGACGGAGCTCCAGGTGGTCTACCACCCAGAGTTGCAGCTGGAGCTAGACCACTTCCCCCCAAACTACACTCAGCTTCGAACCTTCTACTTTCTACGCACTACAAATGGTGACATGTGTTCAACATTTGGACACACTTTATCATTTATGTTTCCCCTTTATTTATACTGTAGGGTCTCTCTGAAGAATCAAAACTATGATCGACACATGATAAACTCAAAATAACTTGTTTTATACATGTACGGGAGGAGGCGCACCTGTTGCCACTTTCCTGTTGAAATGAGCTCCCAGCAGCCTGAATCAACTGTGACGTCTATCGAGTCACACTCCCCCGTCAAAATAAGTGACCTTATGTTTTTTCCGTGTACAGTTTAGATCCAATAAACCCCTGACCCTGACTTCCCCAGTTTGACAACATATTTCTTTGGATTAGAGACAGTGGGTTTGATGCTGTTTGCACACAGTGATCAGACTTTACAGACTTTATACCTTAGTTATATCAGATTTCATCATCATTTCATCATTTATATGAATCTGTGTAGTTCATTTGGACAGTCGTATGCTCTACACACTGAAATCTTTATATTAAATACAGTTAAATATATAATATTTAACGCTAATATCACAGGCTTCAGTGTGATTTTCCTATTATAATATACTATAGTGATATTTTATTTATACAGCACTTTTCTAAACAAAGTTACAATGTTTTTTACGTTTCTGAAAATTATAGTGATAAAATCGAATATTAAATCCAAGTCATCTAACATAGGTATACTGCCGGAAATCTAACACGCACATGTCGATGTGTACGTTCTTAACTGGTCCAAACATACAATAAAACCAATGCTCTTTTAAAATGTGACTTGTTACTCCACTTCTGCGCTCAAATCGACGCATTTAAACTGGAACAGAGCTTGTAGTGGAGCTGTTAAGGACCAAAATAGTGCCCATTTGTTCACTTTTATGATATAAGCATGAAACTTTGTCAGATTATTAACATCCCTAGGACCGAAATTTCTGGATATAGAACCAAGCCCAGGTTGACCCTGGAGCCGAGTACTGCACATGTCACAAAATGACTGACATGGAAATGAGGTTGGGAACTAAGTTACTTCTTTAACCGGCTTTTTTGTAAAATAATGTTAAATTATTACACATTATCACTAATACTTCCAACTATGCAGATATAAGTAACCCAAGCCTCTTACAGTCATATGTGTGGTACTGGGAAATAAGCAGGAATCTTCTATTGGTTATTTATAGTACAGTTAGAAGGCTACAGCCTATGTGGTGAACAATGGAACGATGTTGTGAATAGGTAAAAATAGAGAGAAATTAAAAGAAAGCATTTAAGATTGTACAACAACTGGACAATGCAACATAAAGCATAAAGGTGAACTGTGTAACTTTTTGATCAAGGGTCAGTCACCTGCTTGTATCTATGGATATGTCATTGCTCTGCCTGGATTGTTCCATAGTATGATATTAAACATCTCTACCTCACATGTATTCTATTACAGATGGATTTTATAGCTCAAAATACTTCAAAAAACAGACAATCTGAATTTGAGCGGGGTCGCCTCTCCACAGATTTGACCTGTAACTTGGTCTGGTTTGGTCTCCATGATGGCAGAAAGGTTTAATACTATATTGTGAAACATTCCAGAGTAACGACTTCTGCATGGAAACAAGCATTTGATGGACCCTCCCCCAGGAAAGTTACACAATGCACAGACTATGAGAGAAAGCCAACATTAGGTACAATGTAAAACTGTCCTATCTTATGTCTAATTTAGAATCATATTTGTGGTACTGGGAAATAAGTATTATACTCCTATTTGTTTTTCCATAGCACAGTCAGAAAGATATAGACAGATTTAAAAGAAGGCATTTAAGATTATACTTTATCTGGACGATGCAGACAATGAAATTCAGTGTCTGGAAAATAAACCCTAATGTAAGTATATTCTAAAGCAAAAAACATGTATAAAAAACTATTTCTGTACTCATAGTGCACAATTGGGTACAGTGTAAAACTACCCTAGCTTATGTCTAATTTAGAATCATATGCATGGTATTATAAGGAAAGAAATAGTAGTTCATAGCATAGTTAGAAGGCTACGAGCAATATGGTCAACAAAGCATACATAAATAGAGAGATTTTAAAAAGGCATTTAAGATTATAACAAATACATCTGGACAAAGTATATGAGTTAAATTGAATCTTATAAAGACATACAGTAATACATAATACCCCCCATGGAGAAAAGCATTTGAGGGACCCTCCATCTGAAAAGTTACACAATGCACCTTTAAGGTTTCTTTTTTTTTCAAACTTGGTATTTTTATTAGCAAGCATCTTTGGTATATTGTGTGTATATTAAATATACCACACAGAGACTGAGATGTCTGTTGTTTTTCCCGGTATCTGCTGTAGCCTCTCTTCCAGTTTGGGGGTTACAGCCCCGAGTGCTCCGATCACCACAGGCACCACTAATGCCTTCACTTTCCAGGCTTTCTCCAGCTCCTCCTTGAGCCCCTGGTATTTCTCTAGTTTTTTGTTTTCTTTTTTCCTGATATTACCACGGCTCTGCTCTGTTTCTTATCCACCACCACTATGTCTGGTTGGTTCGCCATCACCATCCTGTCAATCTGTATCTGGAAGTCCCACAGGATCTTGGCTCGGTCGTTCTCCACAACCTTTGGAGGTGTTTCCCATTTTGATCCTGGGGTCTCCAGCCTGTACTCTGCACAGATGTTTCTGTACACTCTGCCCGCCGCTTGGTTATGTCGCTCCATGTTTGTTTCCCTGCAGCATCTTACACCTGCAGTTCTGTGCTGGACTGTCTCAGGAGCCTCTTTGCACAGTCTACACCGTGGGTCTTGTCTGGTGTGGTAGATCTGGACCTCTATTGCTCGAGTGCCCAGGGCCTGCTCCTGAGCTCCAGGATCAGTGCCTCTTTGCTGTCCTTCAGACCAGCCCTCTCAAACTGTTGGTAGGATTTCTTGATATCAGCCACTTAAAGGTTGTTTAGAGGATTTTCCAAGGAACGAGAAATCCAGCGACTTTGTCCTTTTTCAAATGTTGCGCATGCGTGAAACCCTCCAGGGGGAGCGGGGGGAGGGGGTGCGCGGAGATTTCGTGCACGGAGAAGAAGTGAGGAGCAGGGAGAAGAGCGGAACGGGGAGCGAGGAGAGGAGAGAGGAGAGGGGAGCGGTGCGTGGAGATTCCGTGCGCAGAGAAGAAGTGAGGAGCAGGGGGAAGAGGGGAACAGGCAGCGAGGAGAGGAGCAGGAAAGGGTGCAGAGAAGGCTGCGTGGAGATTCCGTGCGAATGAACTAGCTACTACTACAACACGCAGCAGCAAGCGGACTCTTTCTTTGCCTTGAAAATTACGTTTTCAGACATAGGATATTGCATTCGTGTCCTGAAAAACGTTTGTCTCGCTCTTGGAAATAAAGTACGTTTTCATAATAAGCAGAAGATACCTGTCCAGGAGTAATTTGCGGCTAACTGCTCCTGGATTCTTGTCGCCATTGCAACAAACTTTTTGCTAACTGCGAGGAAGATATAGGTCAAAAAAGCCGCTAAGAACCGTTGCGTTGGTGGAGTAAACAGCGTCTGTGCGTCTTGCGTCTGTGGACTGCGTGACAGACGTGCGTAAACCACGTAATGGCAGCACGCAGGCAAGTCAGTTACGCTAGAAACGTAGGGAGTTTGATTGACAGCCTGTCAGCTAACAGATAACGAGGCAGTGTCGTTATCTATTGGCAAATGTTTAGCCCCACCATGTCCAGAGTTGATGAATTTTTAATCTCTTTTTTTTGGTCATCATAATTACAAGGCTACTGCATCTCTATAATGCTATCATTGAGAATTTGAAACAAAAAAAATCCTCCATACAACCTTTAAGTTATGTTCCGGTGGTACGCCCCATGTAGGTTCTTGATGGTCCCTCCAGCACCTCTTCCTCTGGACCCCACTGTCTGAGACATTCTCTGAGAACCTCATCTGTCGGGGCCTTGTCCTTGATGTACTTATGGATCTCGGATGTTTCATCCTGGACAGTGGTTCCCACACTCACTAGTCCTCGGTCTCCTTCCTTCCGGCTTGCATACAGTCTCAGGGTGCTGGATTTGGGATGGAACCCTGTGGTCTGTAGCTCCTCCTTTGGACAGCTTATGATTCCTGCTGGGTATCTGTTTAATTATTATTATGAAATATGATATGGCACTTACAGATCTTTAGAGATGGTTAAATGAGAGATGGTTAAATGTTTTTTGTTATCAAAAACCCAATAAATATGGATTTGAAAGTTAAAATATTTGATTAACTTAGATTTTAACCACAGAGAACCCACACAACTCTTAAATTCTCAAGTAAAACAGTCACGTGATGCTTTGGAGTTTAGGAAAAATAGTAGTTCAACTTTACAAAATTGATAATTAAGCAAATTAGAAGATTAAAAAAGGGACTATGCAAGTTTTTTTTATGCCGGCCTTGTTTTCATATCGTGCATTTTGTGACAGGTGCAGTTCTCAGCTCTAATGTTAAATTAGACTTGGTTCCATATTCAGAAATATTAGTCTTGGGGGTGTAAGTAATCTGGCAAAGTTTCATGCTTGTATCATAAAAGCAAACTATTTTGGTCCTTAACAGCTCCACTATCGGGGGTCGTGCGCATGTGCAGTAGCGCTAGGGAGCTCAAATCGACAGCGGAGCTGAAACAAGCGCAGTCCTTTTGCTCAGACGCTAAATTCTCATTTACATATTAGAATTGCGAGAAGAAATAGGGGTGCAGTTTCTAATGGAAAATTAGACGCAACACGCCCACAAATAGCACAGTTTGCTCTCGTAATTTAGTACATGCTTAGTAAATATACCCCTTTGTGTATTGTGTTCAGAAATGGTGGTGGAGCCTCAGGATATGGAGGAGGCCTTCACAGTGCTGCCCACACTCTTGGACATGGGCTTGGTGACTGGACCTCCTTTGGTCATGTTGAGGAACAAGCTCTCACATGTATGTAGTTTTGAGGACTGCTCTGGCACAGTCTGTGATGGTGTCTAAGCATGGATGTGTCCCCAGGTATACCTACCATCTCTGGCCTGGGAGCAGAGAAGAGGTGCTGGGGAGGAGCTGAGCTCAGAGGCCCTGGATATGGAGGGCGAGGCAGAGGAGACAGAGGAGTCAGAGCTGAAGACTTCTCTGAGGACACATGAACATCTTATGGAGTGTGATGAGCTGCTCCACCGCCTCCACAAGCTCTCAGGACTGATCAACACCAACCTCCATCAAATGCAGATTCAAGGTTTGTCTTTGGGATGCTACCTAGTTTGTGTGTATGTATATATATATATATATATATATATATATATATATATATATATATATATATATATATAGATAGATAGATAGATAGATAGATAGATATATAGATATATAGATATCTGCGGGGCAGAGATGACTGGGTTAAGACTATGGGTGGGGGCTCCGTCTCAATCTTCAATTGGCCCAGCCAGAACAGGACCCACAAAAGGTTAAAAGAAGGCAAGATAGGATGGGCTGGACAGAGATCGTTGAGGTCATAACGAACGTAGGTGAGAACGTAGGGCGCTGGAGGCCTGGTAACCAATGATCTGAGTTTTCGGTCAAATGTGCCCACGCCGATGCGGAAGAGTGAATGGAAAATGAATGGGAAGATATGCCGGAGAGCATAGAACTTATCGGAAATGTTACTGAACCAGAACCTGGAAGCCAGAATCGGAGGCGTGACGGAAAGCGAGATATTTTACGAAAGGATCGCAAGGACTTATCGTTGAGTTAGGGCGAAGAGATGGTCTGTTATCCTCCTGCGGAGAGTGAAGATGAGCGAAGACCATAGAATGTAAGGCGAGATCAGAAGCCTGGGGTGGACAAACTAGTCAAAAACGATTGGCGATAAGAGTGAAATCGGAACAAGAATCAGAAGTCCCAAGAAGGCTGTGAGGAACATGCATTCAAGGGTCATGACCTCAGACGGTGAATAGTATCTGGAACGAAGAGTGAGGATACGAGGTAGAGGATATCTGAAGTAATTGGTAAGCATTTAGGAGGGAGAAAGGTTCAGACTTAAGTAGCCCTTAATCAGTGTGGAAACGTGGCAGTGAGACAGTGAGAGAGATGGGCAGTCCTTGCTTGAGATCATCTTGTAATGAAATTAACTGCTGAGAGATGTGCCTGGATGGTGGAGACGCAGATGTTCCTGGAGTGATGTAAGAAGGCGACAAAACTGCAGATGGTGCCGACGTCGAAGAACTGAGGGGAAGCTGATGGAGACTGAAAAGAGCTGGAAGCTATTCCACTCGGTCGGGTAAATAGAAAGGGAGCTCAGGGCAAGGCTGTCGAGGATAGCAAGTTGTGAGATTGAGATGAGAGGGGCGAGAGCGGGGTAGCTTAATTGAAGATTGTGGCCCGAAAATGGGGAACTGGAATAAGCTAGACGTCCAAGTACGGAGCCACGATTCTGTAAAATTGAAGAGAGAGAATCCGCAATGGAGTTTAAGTAACCTGGAATATGAGTGGCGCGAATGACAAACTGATTCTGAGCAGATACTAGGTGAGCTTTTGAAGGAACTGAGAGATTGTGGAGGAGTGAAACCTTCCCTGTTGATGATGTGGACTGCGGTGTCGCTGTCGGAATGGATAAGAATGCACCTACTAGACCACTCGTGCCCCCAAAGAATGACTGCGATAACAATGGGGTATAGTTCGAACGAGGCCGAAGAGCTGTCGGCTGGTCTGAGATAGAGGAGCTTGGAGGGCACGTGGAAGCGAACCGCTTTCCTGATAAAACCCTCAGAAACCGACTGAAGGAGCTGAGACAGTGAAAAGCTGGATATCGTCGGGAAAGACGCGACATCGAGATTCCATTCCAGGAGTCTAGGCAGTGCTTCCATAGGCGCATGTCGGACGTACACACTTCGATCGGTGGTATAATACTGTGAAGGGATTCGACTGATGCGGCTTGCGTGAGGAGATGTAAAAGAAAAGGCTTGCCCAGAGGAATGGTGCGGATAGCATAGTTAAGGTGACTGAGAAACGCAACAAGCTGTCTCTTGTTGCATGAGGTTGCGAGAATGAATTGGACAGGAGCAGGGAGATTCTCTGGACCTTGTTGGGAGGGGTACACTTGAAATGAGATCGAATCGAGTGTGATGCCGAGAAACTCGATAGTAGTGCAATGGCCGAGGGTCTTTCCTCGGACTAGGGAACTCCAAGATTGGAAAAGGCTTTGATGAGTGACAGGAGGCTGGAACGAGAGGAGAAAGACGCAGGAGTCATGACCAGGATGTCGTCTAGGAGGTGTAGTTGCTGATGAGAGTCTGACACAAGGTTTCGAACAAGGAGTCAAAATTCTAGGGCTGCTATGGCAGCCAAACTTCGGGTGTACAGCGACGTATTAAAACCCTACCCAGAAGACTCAGAAGTAATGCCAGGAATCTGGGTGGATAGGCAGGCCTTGAAGGCGCTGGTGATGTCCAATTCAGAGGGCCACTCTCCACGGCCTGCGAGACGAGTGAGAGATGACGTGGTTGCTGGTGGCATATTGCACGGAAAAAACTGAGGTGGGAATGAAACTGTTGATGCTGGGAACGGCTGCGCTGTGAGGGGAGGATAGGTCGACGGTGAGACATTTCTTCCCGGTGTACTTGTGTGTGGCGATGCTGATGGGGTTGATGCGGAAGTCTCGAGAGGAGGACATCTGAATTGGCCAATCATGAACCCTTCGGCGACATCCTTCGCCGGAAGGACCGAGAGGACCCACCTTGGGTCCTCTACCAGAGGCCTGGGAGCCTGACAGTTCTGCACAGTATCTTTGCTGTTCCCAGTACTGCACTTTTCTGGACTGAGATATCTGTTGTTTTTCCCGGTATCTGCTGTAGCCACTTTTCCAGTTTGGGGATTATGGCCTCTAGTGCTCCAATCACCACAGGCACCACTGATGCCTTCACTTTCCAGACCTTCTCCAGCTCCTCCTTGAGCCCCTGGTATTTCTCTAGTTTCTCATGTTCCTTTTTCCTGATATTACATCTCTTGGTATTGTGATGTCCACCACCACGGCTCTGCTCTGTTTCTTATCCACCACCACTATGTCTGGTTGGTCCATCACCATCTTGTCAGTCTGTATCTGAAAGTCCCACAGAATCTTGGCTCAGTCGTTCTCCACAACCTTTGAAGGTGTTTCCCACCTTGACCCTGGGGTCTCCAGCCTGTACTCTGCACAGATGTTTCTGTTTACTATGCCCGCCACTTGGTTATGTCGCTCCATATTTGTTTCCCTGCAGCATCTTACACCTGCAGTTCTGTGCTGGACTATTTGAGGAGCCTCTTTGCACAGTCTACACCGTGGGTCTTGTCTGGTGTGGTAGATCTGGGCCTCTACTGCTCAGGTGCTCCAGGCCAGTTCTTGTGCAGCCAGGATGAGCTGGTCTGAAGGACAGGACAGAGGTGTTTTGGTCACCAACCAAAACACCAGAGCAGAGTAAGAACAAGACCTTTCCTGTTGTGTTCACCTGTTTCACCTTAGACACTGCTGTGCTACTGCAGGGCACAGAGGAGAGACACTTTTGGCTCTTCCACAGGATCTGCTGACCCTCTCTGACCAGTCCTCCTGTTAAACTGACCTGAGACCGCTGACTAAGACACAAAAGCCACTGAAATGTGCAGTAGAAATGTTACAGCAACTTGAACTGCAACAATTCGCTGCAACAAAACTTAAATTTCGGTCTGTCATATGGAGCTCATTATTTGACATTTATCCAGTATAAACTGTAATATTGGTCGAAAACAACTTCATAGAAAAGGTCCATTCAGTTATAGTCCAAAATTATAGAGCTGAGACACCCCGCCTCTTCATAGGAGCATTTTGCCCTAACAAGACATAACTAGACATAACAACACTACATGTGTTACCCGGAGTCAGTGCAGTGTAGTGGGTGGGGATAGGGGCTAGGTGAAAACATAAATTTTGAGAACACTCAAGTTTTAGATACAGGATATGTACAGGATTACTTAAACATGAATGAATGGATCAAAATACAACTTTGAGCAAATTCAAGTTTACTGTTATAACATGTTTAAAAGCTCATGAAGTAGATATATTTACCATTTAAAGCAAGCATGCTTGCGTCTGCTATATACATCCTTGGATCTTTATGTTAAAATGTTCATATTCTTTGCAATATTCATCTAAAATGACAAGTTCGCAATCTTGAATTGATAAGATAAGATAAAGATTGTTTAAATATGCACAAGTCAGTCCAAATACAACATTTTGAAAGGGTAGATGGTAAGGGGAAACAACTATAACATGGCTAACAGCTCTTAAAAGTTTATTTGACATAATATTTCCAGTGAACAGTATGCCACTCTACAGTATGTCACTGGAGCGTATCATTTCTCTCTGATTATGTGTGCTGTGCAGATGAGATCCGGAAGCTGCACGTGCCTGACCTAGACCTGAATCAGGACGTGGGGGCGCTCTTGAGTAATGCTGAACTGCTGGATGAACTGGAGCAGTGTCTAATGAACTGGCAAACCCAAATCACCGTGGTGATTGAGGAGCAGCAGAGCAAGAAGCCGCAGGTCCCACTGCACTTTCACCACACACATAAGGGGATATACTACAGGCAATCAACTTCAATCCTGTGTTGTTTCCCCGTCAAGAAGAGTATGTGGTAATATTTTGTCTTCTGATGGCATCACAAAATTTATTCCATGCTTATTGTGGACCAAACAGAAAGTCAAAGACAAGCTTTAAAAGTAAGTTTAAATTTAATAAAGTCAAAAAAGATATAATTTAACAAAGGCTCAAATTAGGTAAGTCATTAACAAAAAAATCTAGGTCCAACTGGGGTAACTTAAATCAAACAGAACAGAACAAAACAAAGGAACAGGATATTGAACAACTAAAACTGAACACAAGAGGGAGGAATTACACAAAATAATTAAGTAAAACTATTAACTTAATCAAAGTAACAAGAAGGCAAATAAGTATAATACAGAACATAATAAGTGATAATAAAGTAACCTTAAACAAACTAGACAAACAAACTTAGTAAAACATTAAATAACCTTAATAGTGCTCCCACCCCTTTTGTTGATTCATGGATTTCTGCCATGAATCAAGTAAACAATTCAGACTTATATTAACGAAAATGTGTGCACCCAAATTAGAATATAAGTCTAAATAAAGGAATTCAATTCAACTATATTTACTATAATGAACTTAATGTAAATAAAATTAAATAATACTAACAGTGTGGAGTGGTTACGGAGATATCCACCACAATGCTTTTCAAATTATTACTATTAAATTATTGGTTTATCAAAAGTTGACAAACTAACTCAAGGCACTTCTCTGTCTGACCTCTGTTACTTAGGTTAGACTTTAGAGTTTTGGATTAACACAGTCTGAGTAGCTGGAACTTCAACAGGTGATCTGATTTGTGCTGTTAAACAATTGCCTCTCAAATAACATTACAGATAGTATTAGCTAACACCTTTTTAGTTCATCACTCACCTCATCTCTCACTCCTGCATTGGCAGGGCTCCTGACTGGGCAGTTCACCATAATAGAATACATTCACCTAGTGCCCCTCATTCACTTTTAATACATTCTAAAAATATGTGTGCAAAACAGACAGTTTTTAATAAATGTGCCGTGTGTCCCAGGCCTTATTATTGAGAAAGACAACACTCTCCTGCCCCAGCTCTCCATTTCATATTCTAAAATCTGAAACAATCAATCAACACATAGAAATAAGTCATTTGTTTGGTGCCCACAAGAGATTGGTAGATTTCTCAAATATGCATGGATGACATAAAAGCACATGTTTTTATACATTATAGATACACATACGTAAATTATAACTAGAAAAGTCCAGAAAGTTGATTTTCGTGACCCTGCTTCTTGTGTGCAGGCTCCTGGGCCTTTAGCAGAAATTGTCTTCTGGCAGGAGCGTGCCTCTATCCTGAGCGCTCTGAGTGAGCAGCTGAAGCAGCCGGCTGTCAGGAGGCTCCTCGACGTAATGGGGCGCTCCGAGAGTGGGACCATGCGTACCCTAGAGGCGACCCTGGCCGAGCTACATAAGTACCGTGTGGAGGCAGAAGAGAACCTCTGCTTTGTGAGCACGCTGGAGAGGCACTTCATGGTCAGTCTGCTGGATACTGTCTCCATGTTTGATTTGTTACACTTTGCTGCACTAACCTTTACTAGACTAGTCACTGTGTAATGTTTCAGTTAGTCAACTAGTCAAACGATTATTTTGTTGACTGTAGTGTTGTCACAATACTAAAATGTGAAAACACAATATTGATACTAAGGAATAGACTCAATACCGATTCTGATGCAACAATAATAAAAACACTCTTTTTTTAGGGCGCACTCACACTAGGACTTTAGAACTATGCCGTGCACAATTGCTGTCGTTTCATATGTTCCGCACTTACACCTGCACAACAAACTGGATCATGGCCTGATAACGTCATCACATGGTGCCGTGCTGTTTGTTTACAAGATGCGCAGCAGAGCTAATGCTTTTGGCTGAGAAAATAAGTTCAGCAGCATAATGGGGTAGATATGAGTTTTGCTGCAAAACACACTGTTCTGTGAGTTTATGGATATAATAACGGCGCAGAGGAGTGAGTACAGAAGGACATGAGGCTGCAGAACTGTTGTCGCTGTTACAGTCCTTATTGAAGGTAGGCGCGGAATCACTGTAGGTTTTAGAGTGGACTTTATTCACAGTTTTATCGTATGAGTGAGATCAGCGCACCTGACAGGGATCCTATAGTAATTTCATGTGTGTGCGTGTACATGAGCAACCATGTTGGGCTTTGGCCCTCCTCCTTCAAACCAGTCCGAAGTCCCAGCCATACCATGCCTGGACACGCTTCGATTGCTCTGACACTGGACAAACATACTTCTCTTTATGGGTGATCTTGATACTCAGACAGTAAAACGTCATTCTTGTTGTTATCATTATTATTATTATTATTATTATTATTATCTTTTACACTTTGATTCAGTAATGCCACTGTCTTTGGTAGTCACAATTAATTGATTAATCATTGCAACCAATTCAGACGATGCTCTGTGTTCTACGTGTATGTTCTACATATCAGTCTGGCCCCTGCCCAGCATCTGAGGCCACTTAGTTTTTTTTTTTTTTTTAACATATATTACATAAGGAAAAAGCTTTGATAGAAGAGAGACTTGTCCCTGCTCAGTGTGTGGACCTGTGTTGTTGTATTACTGTTACATAATGTTTTTTTGTCCAGCTTGAATTGCGCTTCTGAGTGTAATGTATTCTTCTGCTGTGACAGAACCTGGCCACGGGGAAGAGCCTGGCCCTGGTGCTGGAGACTTTGCCCCCTCTCATGAGCAGTTTGGGCACCGTGTGGATCATCTCCTGTCACTATAACACCAATGAGCGTATGGTGCCCCTGATGGAGCGGATTGCCTGGCAGTTGTGTGAGCGTGTGAGCCAGGCTGTGCATGTTCGCCAGCTCTTCACGTACGTCTCTTGCTTTTGGTGTCGGTCTATAGTCCTAGTCACAAGTGCAATGTCCCTTGTGTATTTCATTAGAAGCCGCTTTGATGTCTAATTGTGATTTTTCTGACGAGCATTGCCATTGTGATTAGATTTGTGATTTATATTTTAATATTAGGATTCTGTTCAAAGTTCACATTTTGCACACATCCAGAAGAATTGACAAAAACTAAAATATGAACTGACAAACTAATAGAAGAATCCCATTTCAGAACATGTTTGTACAGATCTAAAACACAGGATCAACATTTTTTGTAATGTAGAAAAAGGCTTTAGTTGTTAGTGAAGGAAAATACTGGTACTTCAAAATCAGTAGCCTTTGTGATTTGCTAATTGAGTTCATTCAAATTGTGAATTTGATTCAGTTGTGATTCATCATGAATCCCTAATTAAAATTAAAATATCCTGTACACATAGGAGCTTGTATTGTTTTAGTTAGTTTAGCCCCCTGCTTCCTCTCTGGTAGCTCTAAGACATACATCAACATATGTCTTAAAAAAGAATGTTGTAAATAGAGCTACATTACTAAAAGCCATATCCCTTGTGGTTGCTGTGCCCCTCCCAGGCAGAGGAGGGATGTTGCCATGGCGTTGGTGTGGGATGCGAGGCAGGTGCTGGAGCAGTGGAAGCGCTCGTATTTCGAGATGCGTGCAGACATCGAGGATCAGGGCCGAGTACGACGCTGGGAGTTTGACAGGAAGAAACTGTTTGAGCGCACAGACTACATAGCCTCTGTGTGTCATGACTTGTACAACGTCCTGCAGGTACCACACCCTCTGTACCAGAATGAAGCATCTGGCACAAAAAAAAAGCAGATAATTTCCACTTGTTTTGTCTGGTTTGGAAGGAGGCAGTGGGTCAGTGTGTTTTGGGGCAAGGCCCTTCACACACCCTGACATGGGGAGAGCATGCAAATGTCACACAGAAACCAAGAACCTTCTTGTAACTGTGTGAGCATGTGGGCATTTCTAGAGACAGGATTCACTATTAAATGTTCCCTCAAAAAAAAAAAAGTTTTATTCTCATACACATGTATGTACATTTTGCTACACTCAGTGAATCAATAATGCATTTGAAAGTGTGCACAAATGTACTTGGGGAAAGAACATCTAATATGACTGAAGCAGCTACATAACCTCTCCGGTGTGTGCGCAGGTTCTACAGGATTTCTACAACATCTTTGGTCCGGAGCTGAAGAGTGTTACTGGAGACCCCAAACGCATTAATGAGGTGCTGAGACGCGTCCACGGCCTGGTGCTGCCCATGCAGGATCTGACCTTTGACCCCTTCAGCATCTCTAAAATGATCAACTGGAAGATTATCATGCAGGAGTTTGACTCAACTGTGGAGGTGAGGCCACAGCGTGTCACGTCATAAAAGCATGTTTTTGGCCAAGTTAACTGCATGGAAGAAACGTGGGTTCTTACTGTGAGTGGGCTTGCATCTTCATAAACCTGAATCTTAATTGGCCTTATTTACCATAGAAATGTTGCTCCTTTGGCAATAATGGTCTTGTATAGCATAAAACACGTCTATCCCCTTGAAGATTTTCATGGAGTCATGCAGGTGACGTGCCACCTCCAGAAAGTTACATATTGTGCCTTTAAACAAAAACTAATAAGCAATCAAAACAACAACAACAAATGGAAACGGATCACTTCAGCCACACACACGATCAAAGCACAGATCTATTCAAAGATCTGGTTAGGAGATGACAATCTTTAATTAAGCATCTTGAGCTTGAGCTCTCCTGTTCCACTCTCTGCTCCACTCATATAGGCAAACCAAAATGTCTTCACTACACTGTATTGTTTGATGTTTTTCTGATTGCTTCACCTCCTTGCATCATATGGACCTTTAATTCAAAAATAAATACTGATACCTTTAAGGTGAAGTCTAGGGGTGAAGTTAACAAGAGGTTGGCTATTGCTCAAGCTGAAGCTCTGTTACTCAAATTAGGCTTTAAAGACATATACTTTTATACTGATATAATTTTTTATTTTTTTTCTGCAGTGTTCCAAAGTTACTCTTCACTAATCCTATGCAAACTGAGCAACCTAATTATTCACTGTGATGAGTTAATTGGTAATTTGCAGGCGATGTCATCAATGTTTCTTGGGGGTGTGATGCTAATGTAGGTACAGCTCTGTCTGAGGTCAGAAAATCAAATGCCTAAACAGGATCATGAAGGCTCAAATTGATTGATCATAGGCTCAAAGGAGTTTTCAGAAAGTCTTTTTTGGTAGTTAATGTGTGTATTGTGGAAATAGTTTTGTGATAATCACTTTCTGAAGTTTTGTGAGTTATGCATATGAAACAGAAAGCAGGTGTATTCTTTGTTACAACAAATATGGGCAGGACAGGGCCTAGTCTTGCCCTGGCCAGAAACAATATAGGGTATGGTACATTTCAGGGGAGAGAGACCTGAAAGAAAGCTGCATGGTCTGATTATATGTATCTGTAAATACTATTGGAGATTAACAAACAAGATGGAATAAAAAGTGTTACCTGAAAAGTTTACCCTCTGCAGTAGGAATACAGGCAGAACACCCTGAGCATGATGTCACTTTTTCTGTCAAAGACCTAAGCAGAGTTTTGATGTTACGGTAAAGCTGGGGATGGAGACATCATGTAGGACTTATTTTGACCTCAAGGGCTGGGCGACTTATACAATATACTGGTACTGTACATTTCTCTCCTTGTCGTCAGGAGATTGAAGGAGAGGCCATCCACTTCATAGACCAGTCCTTCAAGACCCTGCGGTCTTCGGCTGCTGCCTTTGACATGCTGCTCAAGTTCAAGCACATACGAACTCGAGAGGCCATCAACAGCCACCTGCTCCGCAAGTTCACGGACATCCTGGAACAGTACTGCAAAGAGGTACACAACCACACCCACCATCACTGCCTGACACACAACCACACCTGCTACCACTCCCCAGCACACAACCACCACTCTCACTGCCGCTCCCACCGCCGCTCCCACCGCCGCTCCCACCGCCGCTCCCACCTCTGCTTCATTTGGAAAATATACTTTATGAAACACACCTCTGTTTCCAATGAGTTGTTGGAGCTCTCTCTGCTCATCAATGTGATCCTATGCCAATAGAGCCACTTGTTTGATATGAACCCAATTTGACCACAGAACGATTGTGGTGATAGCCTGTAGGCTTAAAAACTATAGGAAGAGTCTGGATTATTACCTGTGACGCAACAAAACTGTCAAACAGTTTTGGGCTTTTACATCTAATTTAAACTCTTATCTTCTGCAATCACATATGTTCAGCCCTGCTTTAATTTACATCTTTTGTGCTGTAGGTGGACACTATAAATGAGATCTTTGAATCGAGCAGAGACAAGCCAGAGCTGATCCAGACAGAGCCCCCAGTGGCAGGGGCCATTCGCTGGGCTCGCTCCCTCATGCACCGCATCCAGAAGACCATCCTGCCCTTCATCAAAGAGGGACAAATGATGAGCTGTGAGGAAGGCCAGCTGGTCAGTCCACGTCCTCCAGTGAGGAGGTGTTTCAAACTCAAAATGCATTCTGTCACTGAGTGCGTTCACATGTGCTACCGAATGTTTATGATCAGCTTTCCATGTATCCTGCTTTTGTCCTGAGTCCAGTATCCTGGATAAACCAGTATAAGTCAGGGTATGATAGAACATGATACTCAATGAGATATTGACAGTATCCAGAGTACTGTGGCATGTAAATGATCTATCCTGATTTCTCTACACAGATAACATGGAATAAAAATGCTGGGTTAAAAATAACCCAACCTGTGTAAAATAATAACCTAGCGCTGGATCACTATTGGACCAACTCAACACTGGGTTGTTTTGACCTAACAGTTTGGGTTATCATATTAACTCAACTTTCTACTCAATTCTGGGTTGTATTTTACTACTCTGCTGGGTTCATTCTATCCAATACATGGGTTCATTTCTTATAATGAGTTTAAGAAACTTAGAAACTTTAACAAATTTATTAAAACAATCATTTTAAATAATTTCATTTAAATCATGTCACACCATTAATAATAACACTATGAATTTAGCAGTAAAATGCTCATTTAAATTTTCCATTTTGTAGTTTGTACTTTTACTACTTGTAGTGACAGAAGTTTGAGTGCTGAGTAGATTTCTCTCAGACTCTGGAGTTTCAGTCTGAAAGAGAGTCCACTGTGTGTAGAGAGAGAGAAATGGTCCAGTTTACAGGTCAGATAAATGTGGCTACACAGACTTTATCAAATATAATATTAAATATAATACTTACATTTGTGACTGAACACAAGACTTGGTGTGGAGTCTGAGTCCAACGCTCAGGCCTGTGGACACTACAGTCTGCTCCACAATGAGACGCAAGAACAGAGAGAGGTATATACAGCTCAAATGAAACTAGAAAAATATAAAATCTTACCCAAATTAACTGGATTCTTAATTTTAAAACACATTTAGATCCAGAATAAAAACACAATGTTCATTTAAGTTACTAACAGTTAAACATTAGTTAGTTGTGTCCTGTAGATGGTTAAGTTAGCAGGCAGAAGTCAAACATTTATTTAGTAATATTAACTGGTACAAAATGATCAACTGTAAACTGTGTAAAGTTTTAGATAAAAATCTCAAAGATAAAGTAATAAACATGTTTAAATACCTTTAACAGTCATTTCTCTGAAGTAATGGCCATTGTAGACAGTTGAAGAGTCTGTGTTTGACCCAGTTCTCTGGGTTTGAGATGATTTGACCCAGAATGCTGGGTAGATTGGAAAAAGACGGGAAAATGTCTATTATTATGTTAGATTTGAGACGACCCAACTATAAACCAACCTGTTGACGCCACGTAAAGAAAAACAACCGGACTCTGTGAAAATAACCCAAAAAATTACCCAACAGCCCTAACCCAACAGCTGGGTAGAAAAAATAACGCAGCATTTTTAAGGGAGTACGGAGCATGTGTGAAGAAACAGCTCCCACTCTAAGTATCTCTAATTATCCAGGATACTCTGATTCAGCATGTATATAGTGATGTTAGCATCCAGTTTTCTCTGAGCATATATAAACCTCTTATCTCTGTCATAACAGGGATAAGGATCATAAGCAGGATACTGAAAGCATGTATTCTTTAAGTTCTTTAGGTGGGTCAAGTGTCTCACCTATTGTATGAATGTGTAAACAGGTGTAAGTGTCAACTGGTTAAATTCTGTGCCCAAATGACATTGTTTTGAACAGAGGATGTAAAAGCAGTTCAAATGGGGTCAAACACACTGGGCTCTGTCTTGCCCCCAGTCTTAGCGTTAAGGGGGCGTGTCCAGGTTGGGCTGTACTTCTCTGCTGAAGGCTAATGGGACGGAACAAGTACATATACGGTGATGAAATCTCATCTGTGACTGTTATAGCATTTAAAAGCACTGCCAGTGTGTTTAAAGTCTGCAGTCTACCAAGCAGCAAAGAGGGGTGTGGAAAAAATTATATATGGTATAATTAAACACGATGGACGTACGCACCAGGAGAGGCACCAGGAATATAGAATTTTGGATGAGCCATGACAGAACTGACTGCGTTTGTGTTCTGTACACACCACGCACACGTGTGCCCCTCTCATGCACGCGGAACCCTGTAAGCCCATGCACATACGTCAACCTTTTTAGTTTTCTCTGCCTTCCTCCATTCATACTGATGTGAGCCATGAGCACAGAACAGGATGCTCAAGTCTGTACAGAGCAGTGTTCATGTGCACTATACATCTATTGAGCCACTGGATAAAGCTCTACTGCCCGCTGCTGCCAAGAGAGTCGCACGTACGAGACGTGTGTCTGTTCCGCTGTCACAGCCCCGAGCTGTCAGTGAATGCACGCCCTTGATCTCTGTCAGAGTCCAGCCGCTCCACAGCTCTGTACAGTTTTCCTACTGTTCTGATGGTAGACTACCTACTGGAGACTAACTTTATAAACTAACCAAAGCAGCACGATGGGAATAATTTGGTCACAAAATGAAACGGGACTGATGACAGAAAGAGTATGAGGATGTGAGGAAATCCAAAATGGCAACATTAAGACCTCAGAGAAAATACACTTTAGGGCAGCTCTGTAAACGGCCTCATATGAATGTGCAGCTTCTGTAAAACTCTGTGCTCTGCTGCTGGAGGGCATCCGGACTGCGCAGGAACATCCCACACAGGCCCACAAACATGTTATGCATGTTATACAAGATTGGGGGCAAGATAGGGCCCAATATCTGCCAGCTACTATGCTTTATAGTTAAGGTCATTTATAGATGAACTGATCAGCTAAAGGTGTAAAAATGCAGATCAGTACCTGGGTAATGAGGGTACATGCTCATGACCTCAGAAGGTAGACCCATGTTCTGGAAAAAAGAATGCAACTTAACAAACTTATTTAGGTAGGTGCATGTGGTTAAACCTAAATAAGACTAAGCCAACAATACACTACTCATGGCAAACATAATTTTAACAGTGAAACATTAAAACAGTTGATTTGGATCAATAATGAAGCTAGTGTCTAGACCACTGTAAGATGTGTGCATGTATTCATGCTCTCATGACTAGTTATTAAGTGTGTCTTTGGTACCAGGCCAAAGAGAAGTACACGAAGTTGGCCCTAAAGCTGAAGGAGTACCAGGCACAGAAGTACGAGAACTGGAAGAAGGAGGCTGAAAGCAGGCTGCCTCTGCTACTCAAGAACCCCCTGCTCCTGGCCTACAGTTCAGCCAGACCCAAGGAGGTGAGCCAGTACTGGTGCTTTGGTTCTCAAGACAACAACATCCAATAAGCCTCTCATTTGTGTTGCCAGTTTCAATGCTGAAATCCAGTTGGTTTACATCTAGAAGGATTTTCTCTGATCTGAATCCTCTGCAGACATTTATCAGTGATCAGAGATTTATCAGTGCTAGTATAGCCTTTGTAGCTCAGTGAGTGAATTCAGGAGGTTCTGCGCTTTCACATGAGGCATGGCCTGTCCATATACTAGGAATGAGAAAAACATGTATGTGTCCACTGTCTGCAGGCACTTGCAACACAGGTTAAGTTAAGTGATTGTATTACCTTTTTAAAACAGTAAGTAGTTAAAAGCTCACACTGCTGGTGAAGATTCCAAATGTAGTTGTTATGACCTGATCCTGAAACCTCTGGACCTATCCACCTGAAATGAAACTGGCACAAATTAATTGTCTCATCTGTCAGTGCAAGTGAACTAAGATTAAACAAATGCAATTTTTCTTGCTGTATGTGTCAGGTTTCAGTGGAGGCTGGCAGCAGTCTGCAGAGGTGTATTCGATTCTCCGTTAACTTTGCACCAGAGATCCGACAGATGGTGGCAGAGACTAATGACCTGGTGTGTATGGGCTACTCTGTGCCAGACCTGGCCAGGAACGTGGCTCTGCAGGAGGGCAAATTCATCAGGTAACCAGGGGAAGGTGGCAATAATAAAACAGGCTCTTAGTACTATCAGAAATGTGTGAGGAAATGTGAAATAGGATGTGTTCTTGTTCTAGCATTAGGTGATGTCATAATTCCAAATGGCGGACAAGGGCCTATTGGTGGTTTTCATATTTTAGAATGTGATGATCTCTTATACTTCCAGATGGAGAGCAAGAGCCAGTGTTTCCTATTTATTACACTGCACTCTGCCATGAAATATCGGAATATAAAATTTCCAAATGTGGAACCTGATCATTTTTATTACAGACTAGACTCATAACCAAACTATATTGCTACAAAAATCTGCAGTTGAACAATATTAACCCCTGACCCCCCTTAAATCATATTGGCCTATAGAATGTAGTGATATCATCTAAAACCCAACAAGGGAGATGTGCTGTTTCACTTTGTCATTGTCTATTGGGTTGAATAATAGCACCACTTTCTGAGTCTATAATTAAAAGCTTCACTTTAGTTTTGTTTCTGAAGATAGAGAAGACATCGGCCTTTGTACCAGTTTTTGTTTCTTTTGGATAGGCCCTGTAATTACAGAAATACGAACCACAAACCAAGTCAACAAATTTGCAATATGACTGTTACACAGCAAAATGCACCTGAGAATTCTGACCTGTCTACAACTCTATTTAAAGGGGCAGTTCGGCATTTTGGACATAGGGCCTCATTTTCTAGTGAGCCAGAGTGTTGTAGATGTGTGAAGACACTTTCTGAAATAATCCATCCAGTCCTTGTATTTGCAGAGGTCGCTGGTGCTAGGCTAGTGCATGTCAATGGCCACAGTTAGCCTATCGCTAAAACAGTCTTACCCACTCCACAAAACACCCGATGCAAATCTATTATTACACCAGTCTGTCGACGTGAATGTCTGTGTCAATAGAAAAATTTTAGAAGTAAAACTAACCTTACTGGGATAGATAGGCATAGACCTTACCGGGAAGGCTGAGAATTGTGATTCCCCTGTAGTCGGAACACACCTTCCCGTCCCCCTTTTTATACAGAGGGACCACCACCCTGGTTTGCCAGTCCAGTGGTACTGTCCCTGACTGCCACGCGATGTTGAAGAGGCGTGTCAGCCAAGACAGCCCCACAACATCCAGAGACTTAAGGTACTCAGGACGGATCTCATCCACCTCTGGAGCCTTGCCACCAAGGAGCTTGCCAACCACCTCAGTGACTTCAGCCAGAGTGATGGACAAGTCCACCTCTGAGTCTCCTCGGCTTAAGTATTCCTTCCACCATTGGACAATGTCCCCATTCGAGGTCAACAGCTCTCCTCCCACACTGTAAACAGTGTTGGTGAAGAACTGCTTCCCCCTCCTGAGGCACCAGAGGGTTTGCCAGAATCTCTTTGAGGCCATCCGATAGTCCTCATCCATGGACTCCCTGAAGTCCTCCCAGCTCCGAGTTTTTGCCTCCGCAACTGCACCGGCCCACTGGTACCCATCAGCTGCCTCAGGAGTCCCACGAGCCAAAAAGGCCCAATAGGACTCCTTCTTCAGCCTGACGGCATCCCTTACTTCCGGTGTCCACCACCGGGTTCGGGGATTGCCGCCACAACAGGCACAACAGACCTTACGCCCAGAGCTACGAGCAGCCGCATCGACAATAGAGGCCGAGAACGAAGCTCACTCGGACTGCATATCCCTCACCTCCCCCGAAATCTGTGAGAAGCCCTCCCGGAGGTGCGAGTTGACAGTGCCTCTGACAGAGGGCCAGACGTTCCCAACAGACCCTCGCTATATGCCAGATCTTTCCGGCTTCCTCCTCTGCCAGCGGACCCAACTCACAACCAGGTGGTGACCAGTTGACAGCTCTGTCCCTCTCTTCACCCAAGTGTCCAAGACACGCGACCGGAGGTCAGATGACACGACTACAAAGTCGATCATCGACCTCCGGCCTAGGGTGTCCTGGTGCCACGTGCACTTATGGACACCCTTGTGCTTGAACATGGTGTTCATTATGGACAAACTGTGACTAGCACAGAAGTCCAATAACAGAACACCGCTCGGGTTCAGATCAGGGAGGCTGTTCCTCCCTATCACCCTTCTCCAAGTGTCACTGTCGTTGCCCACGTGGGAGTTTAAGTCCCCCAGTAGAAAAACGAAGTCCCCGGTCGGTGCACTGTCTAGTACCCCTCCCAGGGACTCCAAGAAGGCCGGGTACTCTACACTGCTGTTCGGCCCGTAGGCCGACACCACAGTGAGAGACCTGTCCCCGACCTGTAGGTGCAGGGACATGACCCTCTTGTTCACCGGGGTGAACTCCAACACACAGCGGTTGAGCTGTGGGGCAACACCAGCCCAGCGCCGCTCCCCGCGGCCAACACCAGAGAAATGGAGAGTCCAGCCCCTCTCAAGGAGTTGGGTTCCAGACCCCGAACTGTGCGTGGAGGTGAGGCCGACTATATCTAGTCAGTAACGCTCAACCTCCCGCACAAGCTCAGGCTCCTTTCCCCCCAGTGAGGTGACATTCCATGTCCCCAGAGCCAGTCTCCATGTCTGGAGATTTGGTTGTCGAGGCCCCCGCTGTTGACTGCTGCCCAGATCTCTCTGCACCAGCCCCATATGGATCCTTCCGCAGGTGGTGGGCCCACGTAAGGGCGGCCCCACGTCGCTTGTCCAGGCTGTGCCCGGCCGGGCCCCGTGGGGGAAGGCCCGGCCACCAGACGCTCATCCTCAAGAACCCACCCCAGACCTGGCTCCAGGGTGGGGCCCTGGTAACGCCATTCCGGGCAACGTAACTGGCCTCCGTATGTGACTCATCATATGGCGCTTCTGAACCGTTCTTCGTCTGACCCATCCCCCAGGACCTGTTTGCCTTGGGTGACCCTACCAGGGGCATGAAGCCCCCCGACAACATAGTTCCTGGGATCATTCGGGCACTCAAACCCCTCCACCACATTAAGGTGACTGTTCAAGGAGGGGAGTATCAGATTTCTCTCATGGATTGGTGTCCTATAGACATATTGTATAAGCTAGGGTGACCATATTTCCGTTTGTGAAAATCCGGACACCTTAGAGGGGGTGGGGGTGTCCCACCTCCCAGCCTGTGCACATGGCCTCCCACTTGTCCCGACCGGGCTAAAAACAGGGGAATTTCTTGTCCAAGTCATCGTTAAATGTACACTTGTGCTTCGGCGTGTTGCAGACTGACCGACTGTTTGTGTCTCGCTCCTTCTGAGTCACAGACGCTACGAGAGACGCTCAGTTTAATAGACCCAATGAACGGTAATGAAAACCCGGACATTTCCATCACTTTAAAAAATAAAACCCGGACGCCCAGGACAGGACTTAAAAAACGGACATGTCCGGGGAAAAATGGACGTTTGGTCACCCTAGTATAAGCAGCTCCTGAGGTCAAAATAAATGAAATCAAATGAAATCAAACTTTATTTATAAAGCGCTTTTCATACAAAAATGCAATGCAGAGTGCACAAAACACAAAATAAGGTGTGTACTGCTGCTTCTAATTAGAAAGCATTTACTATCTGTTGTGCATGAGTAGCATATGAGTTGTTGTTAGCATTACTCCTCTGAAAGTTATGAAACGCTCTTATAAACTGATTACTGACAGTGAATAATTAGAAACTCAGAATGACTTAAGGTAAGTGAGGAATAACTTTGGACCACTGCAAAGTGTATGAACTACATGTTATTACTTGGCATGACCCTAACCCGCCCTCTGCCTGCCCCTACTCTGTGCCACAGATATGTGGACGAGCTCCAGCAGTTGGTCAGCAGCTTCCACGCGGTCATGGACGGCCTGAATGACACCATGTTTGTGATGCTGGACAAACACATTAAAGCCGTGAGGAAGGAGATGAGCTTTGGCTGCAAAACCTTCAACTGGAAATCCCTGGGTACAGTCAGCTTTAATCTGCTCAGGACACTAATACAGAAGCATTTTTCATTTGGCCTTATTTAGAAAGACAATCACCATAAATGAATATAAATTAACATAAAACAAACATAATTAGCATTAGCATCTACTGTACTGATACACTGTAGTGACATTACACTGGGATGACAGTATGTATGTCTGTGGAGCATTGTTCAGCAGATACCATGGTAACCAGTGTCAGGGAAGTAACTTAGCTAAATGTTACCGTTAAACTGTAAATAATTATGTTTTATTAAATAATTTCAAATTAAAATTTTGAAGAAATTAGTTTTTTAAACTGGCAAATGGCATCACACCAACTTTAGGAAAAGGCAACCTCACTACTACAAGCTGCTTCTCCCTGCCTCTGAGGTGTTGATCTGACAGAACTCATGTAATGTTTTAGTTTGACTAGAAACTAGAAGTTGACTTAAAAACTGTGATTTAGTCATTTTTGTAGTCCGTCCATGATTGAGAGTGTTCTTGGCTTCTAGGTATCCCAGACTTCATCAGCCGAGGTGTGCAGGCTGTGTCCAAGTTTGAGTCTGTGGTCAGTCAGATTCTCAAGAATGAGAAGGACATTGAAGCCAAGCTGCAGTCTCTGGAGACGGCCAACCTCATCAGGTTCACAGTGCACAGCAGATCTCAGGAGCTGCCAGGTAATACATGCTCGTCCAAATGTTAAGTTGAGTTGAGATCATAAATATTGTCAGCAAATATAAAAACAAAACACCACTGGACTGTTATGGACCAATCAAAAATGTAATTGAGAGCATCTCAAAACCATTAACATATTTTTGCAATTTATCTTTTTTAACTGGGTTATTTCAGAAAAATATGAAAATAGATAGTACAAGTAAAACCCATGCACAAAAATGGTGATTGGTGGTGAAAAATGGAAACACATTTTCACAAGCTACAGACCAGTTTTGCTCCTCCCTCAATTTTCTAAAATTTGAAGAAACTATTTGATACCTGATTAGAAAAATGTATTGACAAAAACAGTGTAATAAACGAAAGTCAGTATGAGTTCAGAAAAAAAAAAGATCAACAACAATGGCAATAATTGAGACGGTGGACATTACCCAAGCTCTGGACAAGAAAAATTATGCAGTTGGAATCTTCATAGATCTTAGGAAAGTCTTTGACACATTGAATCACTCTGTACTATTACAGAAACTGGTACTTTACAGGAGAAGGGGAGTGGCTCAAACCTGGCTATAAAGTTACTTTACATATAGACTGTAGTTTGTAAAAATGAGAAGCTATACTTCCGGATACTTGAAAAAAACTTAAAATTTAATCTAGACATCCATAACATATTCATATATTCATCCATACCCAAAATACAAAAAATGATTTTATATGCTGATGACACAAATATTTTACGATGATGATGACTATAATTATTATTATTATTATTATCTATTAATAACATAGCTAGCACAGGATACCACTTTAATATATATTTAATTATAAACACAGGCAAGTGGCTAAAACAAAGGACAAAGGCAGTAAATAGTGGAAAAAATACAATTCTTTATTTAGTTAACAATAATATTAAAGAGCTCATTTTACACATAAAAAAAAAAAATACATACCACATGTAACACCACAATTTGGAACTAAACATGGGATCCAAACCTAATCAGTGACACTGGGTGCACCGGGAATCAGGTTAGGGTACTGTATGAAGATGTAATAAATGTTTAGATGCAGTGGTGGTTGATGGCATTCTGGCAGGTGATGACGTGATCATTTAGGCTGGGCCTTGGATGTGGAGGGCTGGTGCGGCTGTGGCGGCTCGTGGTGAGGTGGGATGGTTGGCTAAAGACATGATGGCACTGAGTCGTGATGGAATATGCTTACAATTACAATACTGACAAGGATTAGCAACATTCATAAAAAGTTACATTTATTGAACGATGCATCTATGATGTTATGCTGTCAAGTTATGTTGGAAGAAAAAAAAGAAAGCTCTCCTCTTGGCCTCAGCCACACTGTGATGGTCTGACCTGTGGAGGCCTGAGAGCGTAACACTGGATAATGAAATTGGTTTGAGCTGAATCACAATCGGAAATACAAGTCAAACAAAAGCTGTGTGACACTGTTGGCTGCTGTAACATAGCTCAAAAATGAGAGGTGATGGCTTATTGCATTGCTTTAGATGGTGATAGTGTTGTTGGACTGCTGTAGCAGTACTGGCTGCTGTGTCCGGGGTCTGGCAGGGGTTAGTGCACTATTGCCTGTTGATTTTCTTGGTGCCATTACTTCTGAAACGTGTACTATTTATTGGACTTTGAGATCAGGGGTAATGATTACATTATTATTAGAGCCCGACCGATATGGATTTTGTTGTGGCCGATATGAAACAGATATAATGGGAGTTGGAGCTACCGATAGCCGATATATTCACCGATATATTTAGTGATGAAAAAATTCACTGTAAATCTTGAATTGTTTAAAAAACTTAGGTTTGGCTCTAGTGGATTCTAAATTGGGTTTATTTAGGCAACATTTATTGTTGTTCTGACTCTTTACATCATATTTACATACAGTAGATCGGCCTAATGGCATTTTTGCATCACATTCTAGCTACTAGTGATGGATATTCCAGTTTTTTTTTGGAACTGAAAAAGGACTAAACCATACGGTGGCCGACGGGGGCCAAACGCACTGCAACAGCTCAATGCGTCTCATTTAGAGAAAACAATTTCAAGTACAGAAACGATTCAAATTCACAGGGTCAAACACAAGTTTAAACGAGGTACAAACAAAATACGTGGTGCAGATGAAAAAAACGCGCTGCAAGAAACAAAGACAAATGCATCATCATCAAATGCGCTGCAAATAGAGAAACGATGCAAAGCGCGAAACGATGAAAACCAAGAAAACACCTGCAAAAGAAAAACGCTGCATAAAGAGTCGCCACAACAGAAGTGCTCCAAACCTGCAGGGGGCGCGCTCAGTGTAACAGCTCAATGGAGAGACACACCTGCTGGACAGAGAGAAAGGATCTGCCTTTGAGAGACAGACAACAGCTGACTGACGATAAACTACAGCGGGGACTAATGATTGTTACGGTAATGTGGCTTTTATTTGATTATATTCATCTACTGTGTTACGGTCATAACCCACAAAACTGTCAAATAAGTTTGTTTTAAACTGTGTTAACTGTGTGAACCTCGGAGCTTTGAGCTAAAAGTTTAGCTACTAATTTGGAGCTAACGCGATGAAAAGTCCGCTCAAACTTTCATATTTGGACAGAAAGCGTCGTTGCCCTGCAAATAAGTGCCATTTCTGGGTCTTTGCCTGGAACGATGGACCAGGCTGAGAGAGACTTTAGTGCAGCGGTTTTCAATAGGTGAGGCTCGCCTCCCCTGGGAAGCGCCAAAGAGCCACTGGGAAGGCGTGACACACGCGGACTAAGGCTCGGACTAGACAAGGACTAGACCAGAACTGAATCAGGACTGAGTGTGGGTGACCGCGGGCAAAAGGACTGGCGCAGAGCTCCACGCCCCACGGCGCTAAAGCAGCTGTCGCCTGATCGTGCTTTGCGGACACCTCCATGGGCTTGCGGTTTTTCTCTCTCTCTCTCTCACTCTCTCTCTCTCTCACTCTCTCACTCTCTCTCTCTCACACTCTCTCTCTCACACTCTCTCTCTCACACTCTCACACTCTAGTCCTGGTCTAGTCCTGGTCTAGTCCGGGCCTTCACAGTCAATAATTAATGAAATATTTTTGGCAAATAATAATATCAGAGGTAGTTGACGTATTCTGAAGGGATCCTTGATTGGTGACTGTAAGGATTTTTTTCTTTTTTGACTATTACTTAAACACAATACATCCAAGCAAGTACAGTAGTAAACTACTACTAACAGAGAAAACGGTAAAGAGAAAACTATTTGAAATATTTTATATTCATTTTCTTTTCTCATCTGCAGACTCCTGTATGAGGACACAACTTACTGCTGGGGCCACAGAACTGTTGGCTGATGAGACACTCATGATTCATGAAATGGGTCAAATGCAGATGACAAAGTAAAAGCCCACACTGCACTGGAGGTGCTGAACCAGACTCCTGCCACAGATTAGGTATGGTGCATGTTGCATTGAAAACTCCAGTATTAATAAGGGCTGCAAATGAATCATGCTCATGTTGAAATCATGATTCAAAGAGTAAAAATACGCATTTCTCAAATGTGTGGGATTCTTCTATTAACTTAGCTGTTTCAATTTATATATTTTCCTGTAATCATTTTGTAGTTTTCCTAATGTGTGTGTCATTACTGGTTTTCACTCTGCAGGACCTGACTTTGAACCTATCAGACATAAGGCCCATTCTGCTCTTCCTCCTCCAGAAGACAAGAGATACATCAGACTGAGTGGCCCAAGTACATTGGTTCATGCCTTCACTGTCCATGTCCACACTCACTGAGGAGGAGGTCGTCCAGACTGCAGCAGATCTGTAGGGCCTCTGGTTGCATCAGGCCTTCCTCCTGCTGTCTCTAATGTGTGTTAATAGTGATGTGTCCTTAAAGTTTAGGTTTAACTTCTAATTTCTTGCACAAGTAAAACAGTAAAATGGTGGTTCCTTTTCATCTTAGCTGAGGAGCACCTAAACAACTTCATCACTGAGGCAGTGTACCATGATAAATGTGGCCTTATATGATATTACCAAGTGTGTGAGACAAAACTGAAAACATATCATTTACTCATAAATTTTTCTGGATGTTTTTCGTCTGTACTGACATTTGTTTCATGGTGAAATGTGCCGTTTATTTAGTGTCTCTTTTGGTAGTAACTGATTACATGCACTATAAGAATTTACTATTGTACTGCAGTTAATTTGTCCATTTTGAATTGTCACCTGGTTCAGTAAAAAGGTAACAATTTGAGAGTACACTGACATACAGTTGTTTGTACAAACCTATTAATGCAGTGTGTGCGTAATGGGTTTAATGTTCGACTATTCACATTATGACAAACTATTTACAGAAGTTCCTATGATTGTTTAATAAATCATCTTTTCTCAAAGGAGAGATGTCTTTTTTAATAAACTGACATAAATGCATGCCCGGTATAAATGTAATCCCTTATCAATAGAAACATACTTCATAATGCATATCCCATCACAGTTTTTGAAACTTTGTCATTTAGTCTATTTTAGATGTATTCCAGAAATAAAGCCATTTTGTTTATGCAAAAGTTAAACATAAGTTTTTGCTTTTAACCATAAGATTTGGATGAGAATTATTAGAATAACTTGATCTCCTACAGTTTGAGTACCCATGCGTAATGTTTTTACCGATTCGTGTACGTAATTTGCGTGGTACCTGTTAGCATTAGCGTTAGCATCTAATAAAATAACTACTGTACACCTGTCTCATTTCAGCACGGCCTTTGCGGTCCGCGGACACTGCTACTGAGCGCGCCCCCTGCAGGTTTGGAGCACTTCCGTTGTGGCGACTCTTTATGCAGCGTTTTTCTTTTGCAGGTGTTTTCTTGGTTTTCATCGTTTCGCGCTTTGCATCGTTTCTCTATTTGCAGCGCATTTGATGATGATGCATTTGTCTTTGTTTCTTGCAGCGCGTTTTTTTCATCTGCACCACGTATTTTGTTTGTACCTCGTTTAAACTTGTGTTTGACCCTGTGAATTTGAATCGTTTCTGTACTTGAAATTGTTTTCTCTAAATGAGACGCATTGAGCTGTTGCAGTGCGTTTGGCCCCCGTCGGCCACCGTAAAACCAGGACTAAAACAGATTTAAACCATGTGTGAAACAGGACTAAATCAGAACTTAACCAGGTCTGAGTGTCGGGACTCGGTTTCTATCTCTCTCCTTCACTCGAGCCCAAGATTAGTCCTGGTTTATTCATTTTATGCTGAACTGCAGCCAAATATGCACTTTTATTTTTTTTTATCCTATGCACACGCAGATTTCTGAAAGTTTCGTTTTCAGCCGCTGCTGCTGTCAAACTACGGGTCTACATGCGGCTTGAAGAGAAAAAGTGAGAAAAAGAGAAAACACGGCTCCCAATGAGAAATATGCTCCCGTTGTTCGCTCTAAGAGCCGCTTCGATCGCGACCGACCCATAACTCCTAGCTAGTAAATAAACTACCGCTATTAGCCTTTAGCCGTGCGCGCCGCGGTAATTAATTATATGCATAAATGTGGATCATTCACACGTCTATTCACAGCTCATTTACATATCAATGCAGGTTCAGTAACAAATATACGGCCAATATAGTCACTTTACAATAGACCAATAAATAAAATTGGATTAAATGAACATAATGTAGAGAGTCTAAGCTTTATAACGAGGTATAACATGCCCACGTGAAATATCGGCCCATATCAGCGAGCATATCGGCCGATAGCCGATATGTCTCCAGGTGCCCATGTTGGCCGATAATATCGGCCAGCCGATATATCGGTCGGGCTCTAATTATTATTACCTCCGCCAAGGAGGTTATGTTTTTGCCGGCGTTTGTTTGTTTGTTTGTCTGTTAGCAACATAACTCAAAAAGTTATGGACCGATTTTGATGAAATTTTCAGGATTTGTTGGAAATGTGAAAAGGAAGAATTGATTTCATTTTGGGGGTGATCCGGAAGAAATCCTGGATTCTGGATCACTTTGAAATTTTAGTTAACATTGTGGTAAATGGGGCCAAAAATTTTGTTTCTCAATATCTCGGTTAATTATTGACCAAACCCCATGAAATTTGACTCAGGGATGAACAATGGGATCCTCTTTCATATTCCAAAGGCTGATCCGGATCTGATCCAGAAGACTGATTTTATCGCAATTTATATAAAAAATGGGAGTAGTCCTTGGCGGAGGTCTGCGCTCTCTGAGTGCTTTTCTAGTTATTGGTGTAATGACTAATATGCGTGGTAAACAGTGGAAGTATACAGTCCCTGACAAAAGTCTTGTCACTTATCCATTTTGTAGAAACAAAAGCTTATAACCTGACTTTAAATTAATCGATTGGTTTTAGAAATGTCTCATATGAAAGCTAAAACCCTCCCAAATTATGCTCAATAAACTAAAATTAATTTGCTTCACTGAAGAAAGATTGATCATTTAATGAACACAGAAAGGTCAGATTTTGGCAAGACAAAAGTCTTGTCGCCTACAGAAAATTGAACAAATAATTTACTTCAAATACAAAAATATGTTGCATAACGTCAGTGAATTAAGTAGTGGTGCTGTGAGATCCATATTTAATATCTTGTATGACTTCCATGAGCTTGAAGGATGCATCCATGAGGTTCAACAATGATTCATACAATTTGTTGATGAAGTCATCAGGAATAGCAAAGAAAGCGTCTTACATGCCTCCCAGAGTTCATCAAGATTCTTTGGTTTTGCCTTCCATGCTTCCTCTTTCATTCTACCCCAGACATGCTCAATGATGTTCATGTCTGGTGACTGGGCTGGCCAGTCCTGGAGCACCTTGATCTTCTTCACCTTGAGAAACTTTGATGTAGAGATAGAAGTATGCGATGGAGCACCATCCTGCTGCAAAATTTGACCCCTTTTATGGTTGGGAATATAAGAGGTAGCTAATACTTCTTGATATTTTAGGATATTGATATTGCCTTCCACTCTGCAAATGTCTCGCACACCCCCATACTGGATGTAACCCCAGACCATGATTTTTCCACCACCAAACTTAACTGTTTTCTGGGTGAATCTCGGATCCATGCGGCTCCAGTAGGTCTACTGCAATATTTGCGGCGGCTGTGATGTAATTCAACCGAGGATTCATCTGAGAAATCCACCTTCTACCACTTTTCCAGTGTCCATCCTTTTAGCAGGCTGTGGGCCTTGGCAAATGCCACACATTTTTTTAATTGCCTTTTGTTTAGTGCTGGTTTCTGTGCACTGATTCGACCATGGAGGCCATTTCGAGACAGAATTCTACAAACTGTTGTGGTTGACACAGGGACTTGAGGTGACCAGGCCTGGTGGAGTCTGCTGCAGTGGAAAAGGGGCTGGCCTTGGATTTTCGAATCAACAAATGGTCCTGCCGAGCAGTTGTCTTGCGGCGTCTGCCGGACCTGGGCTTGTCAAAAACATCTCCAGTCATTTCAGATCTTTTTCTTGTTCTTTGTACTTGATGCTGAGACACATTGAAGGTGTCACCACCTCAGCAGTGGATCTGGTCTTCAGCCTCTTGATAATTAAAGCTTTGGTCTCAGGGTGGATCTTAGGCATGTTGTCAGAGGTCAAGTTGCAGTTGATGTGAAGGTCTGGTGTGCTGGGGTTCTTTTTATACACACCCGCTAATTGATTGATCAGTATCTGATCACAGGTGAGGCTGTAATCTAGGATTGGGTGCATCATATGACAAGGCAACAAAACTTTTGTCTTGCCAAAATCTGACCTTTCTGTGTTCATTAAATGATCAATCTTTCTTCAGTGAAGCAAATTTATTTTAGTATATTGAGCATAATTTGGGAGGGTTTTAGCTTTCATATGAGACTTTTCTAAAACCAATTGATTAATTTAAAGTCAGGTTATAAGCTTTTGTTTCTACAAAATGGACAAGCGACAAGACTTTTGTCAGGGACTGTAAATTACAGAAAGTAACTGTGGCACAGGGCATGGAAGTTTATAAGTTTTTCTTCTTCTCACTCCCTTTCGAGCTTAACTTATCATTGTATTGTAAATACTGTATGTAGCAAACCTATTATGTGATCTTGACCATGTAAATGTATGTATGTATGTATGTATGTAAATACTGTCATAAGCTCGAAATAAGTAAGTAATACTTCCAGACATAAGAGGGGACTGTATCGACATACCTAACCTGCTAACCTTGTTTCAAATAGGAAGTGAGCGTGGGTGCACTTTCGGCTCGGCCAATTCACTTTCCTGAATTGGCTGGGCTGTCCGCTTGAGACAGAGCCCCCCTAAGTCTCTACTTAGCCACCACATCAATCCATATCACCAATACATATCTTTACTGTGTACCATTGTTGTGTCATGGTAGTTGTAAGTGAAAGTTCATTTTAGCTCAAATATTATTGGAATACAGAATGTTTTCATATCTTCTGAGACCCAGCAATAAGGACTGTATTCACTTTTTCCTAATATGTTCAAATAAAAGCCTGTACTTGTTTCTTTGTGCTTTCCAAAGGAGTGAAGCAGTTCTGTGAGCAGATCAACCAGGAGCGGGCAAAGACAATGAGCGTGCTGACCAGGAGATACGCAGACATTGGGCCTCTCATTACCAAAAGCGAGCACCTGATCCTGGAGAGCAGTAGTGGCCGGGCCAAGTGCATGGCAGAGTACTACAAGGCCTGGGAGCGCCGCGTACTGGACTCGCTCATCAAAATGGTGCTCAGGTAAAGACTCCTGTGTGTGTCTTTTACCATCGCCTTATCTTATATCCTCATAATTCCTCTGCTGCAGGAACATCCACACCTTCAACACCTCGCTTATGGGCTCCACTCCTCTGTTTCAAATCGATGCTATCTTGTCTGCCCCTAAAATAGTGATTCAGCCTCTACGTAATGAGATCTACTGGCTGATCATGCAGTGTGTGAGGGACTGTGTGGAGAGCTCCAAGGTACGCCTCCCCCTTCTACACATATGCTGTTCCTTTGTGCTAGCGCTAATCATAGTATGATTTTTTTCTGCCAGCATTTTGTGCGCTGGATGCATGGGACATGCCTGGAGTGCCCCCCTCAGCCTGTGGGAGGAGATGATGAGATGTTTACCTTTAACTTCTACAGTGACGTGTGCCAGCAGCCCCAGATCAATGACTGTGCCATGACCGTGTCCCAGAACATCCAGAGACTGCTCTTCTCCCTGGAGCGCCAGCTCAACCACTGGAAACATTACCGCCCCCTGTGGGAAAAGAACAAGGTCATCGTCAATGAAAAGTTTGCCACACGGAAGCCGAGTGTGGTCAAGTACGACGAGAAACTGCAGTACTTCACCTGCATGACACAGGAGCTGTCCCAGGAGCCTTTGTTCATAGAGCACCACAGCATCTACCTAAACCTGGAGCCTCTGGCCCACACAGCCCTGGAGGCAGCCCAGGCCTGGATCTCCTCTCTGGGCAGCTTTCTCAACATGTCAGCCAAGGAGGACCTGTTTAGCCTACGGGACCAGCTTATGGTACGCACTATTACTGGCATGACACGTTCAGTATGTGACACTAGTAAATCTAATTAAAACACTGATTTATGTTCACATAATGCCAAGTGTGCATTAACCTGCTGGTGCAATGAGAGCAGCTTGACGGTTACAATAGCTGCAGTTTTAACAATGTCTTCAAAGAATTGAATTCAGACAATTGAGCTTTACAGAGGGAGACAGACTAAATATGCAGAATTAAATTATTAAATAGAATTAAATGTGTGACTGAAAATAATTAACAGCTGAATGGAATCAACATGATATGGCAGAAAGCAGAATAATGATTGAGGAGAATATTGTTTTAAACTAGCCTGAATGTGTCTTGTTGGTGTCACTCTTCAGCCTTGTTCTGGTGTTTGTGTTGTGGCAGACGCTGTCAGAGAACCTGCACCAGAGCCCAGACTCTTTCGATGAGCTCAAGTGTGTGCTGGGAACCATCGCAGACATCCGCTACTCTGAGCTGTCCCTGCAGGTGGAGATGAGGCTGCGTGACATCCAGGAGCGCTACCGCACACTGCGAATGTACAACATCCAGGTCATACACTGCTCTGCTCTCTCATTCATGACACAACTCATGGGAAATATATTTTACAATAGCTGTAATATCATATAATTTTAAAGAAGCCTCATCAGTATTACTTTTGAAAAAAAAAATATGCTGACTGATGTTTGAGTTGTCCCCTCTGCATGTGTGTTAGGTATCTGAGGAGGAACAGCAGCTGGAGGCCAGTGTCCCTCTCATGTGGACAGGACTGTTTGCTGAAGCTCGATGTGTGGACCGCAGCCTCACCAAAGTCAAGAAGTCTTTCACCGAGGTACTCTCCCACAGCAAGCTACTCCCAATCTGCTCATGATCTGCCCCAGACAACAGCACAGGGTCTCACTCAGAGGTCACTGCATTTCCCCAAAAATACTGATTGTTTCCACCGAGAAGCATCCCTTATAGTTTCACTTCCCTATATCCATTCTCTTCTGAAACTATTGAAGGGCTATAGGGCCTATGCAGATGTTAAACTATAGCTAAACCTTAACAATGAATAATACTAGCTGGTATAAGGCCTTCTGGCCTTATACCAGCTTGAGAATGGTCTGACGTGGAAGTACTACCTTCACATTAACTCTATGTGTGGTTCCACCTTCAGAGCACCAAAGAGAAGATCGAGGTGTTTAAGCAAGAGGTGATGATCTTTGCTGAAAGCTTCAACATGCACGGCCCTGGAGCTGTGGGGGACAACCTGGAGAGAGGTGAGACAAATAGAAAATTATTTGATAAGGGGGTTCAGCCATTACCATGTATGCACTATTTGTGACCAATAATTGGTATTTGTAGATATTGTTTTTAATATAAAAACATTCTAATGAAGATCTCCAAAAAAAACATACAAACAGATCTTATTTATAACTATTTCAGCTCAGCAGATTAAGTATTTGTATTTACCTCCATTAGCTGCGCTTCCACATAGCTATTCTTTCTGGAGTCATTGACCTATGGTGTATGTGTTTGGGTTGATGGAGGAAACTGGAATGCCCTAAGGAAACCCACCCAGACACAGGGAGAACATGCAAACTCCACACAGAAAGGCCCGGGCAATGCAGGGTTTTAACCCAGAACCTTCTTGCTGTAAAGCGCGAGTGCTAGCCACTCAGCCACTGTGCCGCCAAGTCTTATCTGCCTCATCTGGGGCCACACATAGGCCATGTTTATAATCTTTAATGTTTATAATCTACATACCTTCCCTGAGTTTGAGCTGAGTGTGGTAAGGTTTAATTGCTTATATATGGTGGTGAAGTTGAATGGGCCCACGTTGGGGGTTTGTCCCAGAGCAGACAGTGTATAGCTACTGTAAATGCATGTTCTCACTCACCTAAGGCCAACCTGATGGACACTTGTATTGTGCTCAGGTCTGATGATCATGGACAGCTATGAGGTGGAGCTGGCAAAGATGGTGTCCCAGCGACAGGAGCTGACCAGTGCGGAGAAGCTGCTGGACCTGCCTGTGACAGTGTACCCGGAGGTGGTGAGCATGCAGAAGGACATGCGTGGCCTCAGGATGATCTACGACATCTACAGAGCGCAGAAGGTCAGAGCAGCTGATGACCACCCTAGGTTTAGACCAGGAGGAACTCTCTGAATAATCTTGCCTGATCAACTAGACTCATCATGAGCACCATGGGATACTATGGTTTTAGATTTTTAAAAATGAATTTGAGTGAAAAAAAAAGTTCTTTGTGGTAAAATTTACATTTTTAACAAGAAAATATTTATTATAATAATTAATTATATTGATTATGAATATCAATTAACATATTTATTGCCAATATACTACTAACTGTATGTGCCTAGTTCTCTGAGTTTCAGACAAAGCTTGAGGGGCACTTGAGAGAAAAACAGTTTGGAACTATTGGACTAGACAATTTTGTACTTTCTACAGTGACATTAAACTTGTCTATCTGACATTAATTCAATTGCAAGCTTGTTACTGCGGCAACTCAACGTCACTTTGGTGGAACGGAGGCTTTGGGCCTGGATTGCCCAAATAAGCCAGAATTTCCCTTTAGTTCGCTTAGTGGAAAACCCCCAAGGAATTGTGTTTCATTCACAAATGTGTGAGTAATCTTACATCATGTCTCTTGGTATTGCCAAAGCTCATAATGCTCTGTTCCAACTATTTTTTTTTACATTAACAACATAAAAAGGTAGTGGAACACCTCCTGTATTACTACATGTGTTATCACATGACACCACAAGGAGTGTTTTCCCTTAGAGACACCTAAATATGCAGGGTTTGTGTGTTAAAAATGTGTTAATGAAACAAAACAAACCCAATTCTGGCGATGTTTTTGATGAGGAAACAATATAGATCAGAAAATAGCTCTTTAAGGTGGAACATTTACTTGACATTTTTTAATCCTCAATCACATTTAGGAACTTTTTTGTTCTTTTTCTTTCTTGCATAACTTCTTCATTTTTTATGCAAATGGGCTGATTTGATGATGCATCAAATTTTCCCATCAGTTTTCAACCTTAGCCTTCTAATTATTTCTAATTAATTCTTGAGCACAAAAAATATTAATTGACTTCCATTATAATCACTATTTTTCAGTCTGCCCTCATACAGAGTTTAAAGCATGTTATGTCTCATTCGTATATATTTACTGAAACTCTCTAACTTCAAATTAGTGTCCTGGCATAATTTTTGAATGATGAAGTAATTTTTTATCTTTTAAGTGGTTAAAATGCCTCTAAATTTGCTTCTGGGGGACTCACCCTAGCCCCTCCCCTCAGGGTTCCCTAACATCAGCTGGATGTGACTGGGTGAGTGTTTGTGGAGTTACAGGAGTCCCAGAGAACAGTGAAAGACAGTATTTGACTTTTGCTCCATGTATTTGTAAGAACAGCAAAGATACAGTATCAGATACATACGTCCTAAATCTGCTCATCCTTACACTTTACTATACGAAAAATATCATAGTATTTCATTTTGTCCATAAACCTTACAGTTTAATTTGGGTGAGTCTCTCCGGAATTAGGAAGTGGAAGACAGGTTTTTTTGTTTTTGTTTGTTTGTTAGTTTTTTTTGTAAAAATTAGTTTTTGATGAGGTCATTGTAAGCTTTATGTACACCAACACAACAGAAGTATGAAACATATGAGCATGATACAAAATGTTCCAATGAGCCCAAAAAGTCCTATAAATCAAATGAATCATTATTATCATTATTAAAGGGAGAATTATTAGAGAATAATATTTTAAATGATTATGAAAAGGATACTTGTTGGTGTAAAAATATATGTACATAATCCCCTACACTTTCCTACGTATATGATATTTATGCATGATTTTATATGGGCTTCAATGGAAAAAGTAGCTTTTCATTTACACTGGGCTAAATATCAGAAAAAAGTGCCCCAGAACAGATGGTTCAGATGATGTAGAGAAAGTGAAGATGCACATTTTAGAAAAGGCACGTTTTAGAAAAGGCACACTTTTGTACACTTTTGTACTCCCACAACGTGTTTATTTAACTTAACTAAAACTATGAGTTCAAATAAATAATTGTTACTACTAATCTTTCACATAGACCAGTATTTAGTCACTAAACCCTGGTAAAATCCAAATTCTGTCAACTGAAATTAAAATAATCCACTTTTTGTGATATTTAAACTGTAAAATGCAGTGAATTTATGACACAACATTGAAAAATAAAGGGTTAAAAATACGTCAAATGTTAAAATATGTAGTGATTGAGTGATTGAGGGTTAAAATGAATTGCTTGTCAAGTACAGCTGCAGCTGTAGTTTAGAGCTGATGTATGACCTGTGATGTCCTCTGTTGGGGGACAGGAGGCCAAAGCCCAGTGGTCGCAGACACTGTGGGTGGACCTGAACCTCCAGCTGCTCCAGGAAGGAATTGAAGACTTCCTGAAGCAGCACCGGCAGCTACCCAAAGACGTACGTGCGCTGCCAGTCTCTTTCTTCCTGGACGCTCGCATGAAAGAGTTTAAAGAGTCTCTTCCTCTTCTGCTGGATCTAAAGAACGAAGCTCTAAGGGACAGGTCTGTGGGGCTGTTCCTACTCCATCACTACAATACTAATACAGCATGAACACAATATGAACACAGTACTGGAACAGTATTTAACGCTCTGAACCTAATACTGACAAAGTATTTATACAGTATTAAGAGAGTAGGACCACGATATAAACACAATATGAACACCAGAAGCTTCAGGCTTTCTATTTGAATTAATTGGCTGAACAACCAGTAGAACCAAGATTTACAGTATAATATTACCCTCATGATTTAACATTGTGACTGCGTTTTGTTTGCTGCTCACAGACACTGGAGGGAGCTGATGGAGCGCACAGGCACCAGCTTCGAGATGAACGCTGAAAGCTTCACCCTGGAGAACATGTTTGCTATGGAGCTTCACAAATACCCCGGCGTGATTGGAGACATTGTCTCGTCTGCAGTGAAGGAGCTGAGCATTGAGAAGGCACGCATATGCATGGGGGAAAGGGGAGGGGGCATAGGAAGGAGACAAATGAATGCATAACCATAGTGTAACGTGCATGTTTGGGTCCTCTCATTGTGTGCAGGGCGTGAAGGAGGTGGTTGAGACCTGGGAGAGCATGTCCTTCATAGTGCAGCCCTATTTTAAAGGCACCAAAGAGCGAGGCACCATCCTGGGCTCTGTGGAGGAGGTTCTGCTCAGTGTGGACAATGACACCATGAACCTCCAGAGCATGGGAGGCAGCCGCTTTGTGGGGCCCTTCCTCATCACCATCCAGCAGTGGGAGAAAAACCTGTCTCTCATCAGTGAGACCATTGAGGTGAGAAGCAGCCTGCTCTTGCTCACTGGGCCTCAGCAGGATGTTGTGTGGGTTCAGGAGTTTGACCATGATCCTCAGTCCTTGTTTAAAACTGGCACATATGATTCACTGTGCTAATTTTTTATATTTAAAATGAAATGTGTCACAAAGACATACTGCTACGGCCGTCCACTTGTATTGGTGTAATGATGTCACTGGTTTGGCAGCTTGACATGTTTGGGAACTGTCACGGGTCTTGGGGGAGACACATCATAATCAGTTATTACTTCCAGTAGGCGTGGTCAGCCTGATGAACCTGGCAAGTTGCAAGAGAAATGCTCCCTCATCACAGTTAATGGTGTCTGCTATTTGTTTTCTGGTTTCAATGGCCAGCATTTGAACTTGTTGGTTTCAGCTGATGTCTGGCAGCAGGGTGGCTGAGGCCACTCATACTTCATAGCAAGAAGGTTTGATTCTCAGGTCGCCTAAGCCTTTCTATGCAGAGCTCCCATGTCCTCCCTGTATCTGGGTGGACCCCCATCAAGCCAAAACATATAACACGTTCAGTCCTGCAGCTAAAGAAGTCCTGACTAAGCCTAGCAATAAGATTATGGAGATGGGTACCTGGGCGTAGCACTGCTCCTGAGGAGATACCCTGGTGCCTTTGACCTCTTGGGGTGGAAGCCTCAAGAAGAAGGATGTGTGGTTGGATAAGCTGGTGATGAAATCAAGCTCTGTAGTGGGTGCAGAGCTTGATTAATTCACATCTGTGGCTGAGAGGGGGCTAAAATTTTAGCTCCCATGGCAACGGAGTAGTTGGCTGCTCTTGTGGCTAACTGTCTCACACACTGAGCAGTTTTTGAAATTTTGTTTTTCAGCTCAGTTTTTAACATCATATAATAGGATGATGAAGTACAGCATGTGCAGTTCATAGGACACAAGTAAAGGACTGTTAGATTTTGTGAAATGAGCTGTTTGTTTTTCGTGTATCCTTGGAGACCAAGCAAGAGGCTAGCTTTGGACATTTGAGTTGGAACTCAACTGTTGGATTGTGTGAAATTAACTGTTGCTTTTTGTCGTATCCATGGAGACTGTGCAAGAGGCTGGCTAAGTTGCTAGTTATGGACATTTGAGATGCTTTTTACATCATATGTGGCAGCAAATGTGTAGCAGAGTGTGTGGCAGAGTGAAGGGCTTTACTGTTGTGTTCACCTGGTTCCCCCCTGGACACTGCTGTGATGCTGCAGGACACAGAGGAGAGACACATTTGGATCTTCCACAGGATCTGTTGACCCTCCCTGACCAGACATCCTGTTAAACTGACCTGAGACTGTAGATTGAGACACAAAGTGTAAATGTTGTAGCAACAGCAACAGTTTGCTGCAGCAAAACTTGAATTTTCCTCAGGATCAAAAAAGTCTGCCACCACCCCCTGCACAGCCCCATCACCAGCACCTTTGGGGACAGGCTGCTGTCCCTGTCCTGCTCTAGGGTCAGACTCTGGAGGTTGTTTGTCCCAAATGTCATACTTCTGTACAACTCATTGCTATAAAAGATGAATGCAGAGGATGGACTGCTCTGTTATTATTCTTATGTTTGTTTCAGAATCATCCATGCGTCGTCTGCTCCTCACTGTCTGCTTGTGTGTATGTGTGCAGGTGTGGCTGCTGGTACAGAGGAAGTGGATGTACCTGGAGAGCATCTTCATTGGTGGAGACATCCGCTCACAGCTGCCCGAGGAGGCTAAGAAGTTCGACAACATTGACAAGAAATTCAAGGCGGTGGGTAGTAGGGTTGGGCGGTATCCAAATTTTGATACCATTAAACTGTCTCAGGATTTTACCGGGGTATAGGGTATTACTGTATTACCAAAATGTTTTAGTATGACTTTGGTAAGCTATGAAGCCACACCGCTGTACGGTCTATGCGTATGACCTGCAGACTTAGGGCCTGGCATGTGTATTTCACCCTACGTGAGCATAAAAACTGCAACTTTTGGACGCATAACTTTTAGAATGCATGGAAAGTGAATGAGGGCAGCTCCACTGCGTGCACTAGATGGGCGTATAGAGCAGCACGCCCTGCACACAGAGATTTCAGAAAACAGGATCCATCAAAATACACAGAGCATTAATCTTTGGTTGTATTTGTGTGTTTAACATCAGCACAACGTGCTCCTGGGGCAGATCTGTGTTGTGTGAAAGAGCCCAGGTCCAGAAAGACTGTTAATAAGTGCTTTAAATTTTATTTTTGAAATCCTGTTGTTTGCCGTGGTCAGCCTGTACAGAAGGTAAATACAAGTGTGTTCAGCTGTTAGTTTCACCCTAGACCTGATGTAAGCGGCTAAACGCCTCAGTCAAGTCTGATCATCTTTCCCATTGACAAACACAGAGTCAGTGCTGCGCGTGTACGTCCTGCTGCAGCTGCCGGTGGAGCCACCTTTGCGCTGATGCTCAGCTGTGGTTTCACGAGGTTATGCACGTAAACGTTGACGGGTGCAGTATTTTTGGGGGGGACCAACTCACTTGCAGCCGGACTTACCATCTTGTCTTGGTCTCCCTTATGAGCGTCATGTGACATTGGAACGAAACTAATCAAACGTCATCTCCCCAAGAAACATTGTAGACACTATTAGGTTTAAATTGTGATCACATTAAATTGAAAATACAACCACACATTAATTTGTGCTGAGCAAACAAATTTAGATATCAGTAAATTATAATATTATATTAGGTCCTTATGCGCTGCAGATTTTTTTTATGACGGTAATGAAACTGATACTGTTGCTATTTTTTGATACCGCAGTAGACCGTAATTCCGTATTACTGCCCAACCCTAGTGGATAGTGGTTTTATTAACATGATTAAGGGACAGGGGGGGGCAGCTCTATGGGAAGGCCACTGAGTCTTGTTTTATTTCCAAGAGGTCTGGTGTGCTGCGTGCGGGAGAGCCTCAGCGTCCCCGAGCAAACTGCTCAGTGTCTCAGCCAAGCCACAAAAGTGTGAGGTTTTTAGTACTATTTTTTGTATAGACCTTGAAACATTACGAGTTCAGTTTTTTGGGGTTTTTTTTCAGCTTGGCTTTTTTTGGTCTCAGGACACAACACCCCTTTTGTGAGACCCACCTTGTGTAAAATGATATGAGTGTGTTAAAAGTGGTGCTATAGTCACATACAGTGTCACATAATCCTGAAGTCTGGAACAAAGAATACTGACATGATGAGGAATACAACAATATAACCTTACAGGGGTGTATGCAATTCTGTTTACAGTTATTAGACCATAGAGAAGAAAATAGGACAACTCCTCTTCACAAACAAACTGATTGTGACACATCAACGTGGAATTACAGTTTCATATGTAAATAGAAAACTTCCTTAATTTATCAGCTTTATCACCAGTTGGTCATCTGTTATAACAGAAATAATATTCCATACCCCACAAGCCAAATCCAAATACTGGACTAAATATTTCACTTCTTGTACATTATTAGTAATTTGTCCTTGAATATTATTAACACAGATTTGTTTTTTGTTAAAGTACATTGTAACATTTTTTTTGTATGGTGTGAGGCATGACACTTGTAGCCATTTGGCTATATTGTCATAATTAATATTTGTATAGCACTTTGGGGCAGTGACTGCTGCCTGTAAGTGTTCTTAAACTTAACATATTAAAGGGCCCATTCACATATCTCTAACACACAAACCCTGCATATATAGACTGAGTTCTTTTCTTAAATGGAAAACACTCTGTTTGACCCTATGATATCACAGGGTAATACAGGAAGTGCTCCACTATGTTTTAAAACTCCATACACCTTCTCTAAAATTAGTTGGATCATTTCAGCCCTGGAATTACCGATCTCTAACTAAATGTAAAAGGAAGTTGTAAAAACTACTGCTTGATGGTGTCACAAGGTGGAACAGAGCATTTTGAGCTTTAGAGATGTAGACATGTAGACATGATGTAAACTGTCCTTAGGCAAGACACTTCATCCACATTGTCTAGTAAAAAACTGGAGTGTGTGTGTGAGTGATGATGGTAATGATTGGAGAGGACCACGGCACAGATTGGCAGTGTCACTTCCGTCAGTCTGCCCCAGGGCAGCTGTGACTACACTAGTATCTTACCACCATCGAGTGTAAATTGAATAAATAATGAACTGTAAAGTGCGTCTTGAAAAACACTATGTAAATGCAATAATTATTTTATGTTCTGATAGATCATGAGTGACGTGGTGAAGGATCCTCACATAAAGCGCTGCTGCCTGGTGGCAAACAGGCTCGCTGATTTGCAGAGTCTAAGCGATGGAATGGAGAAGTGTCAGAAGAGCCTGAATGATTACCTGGACTCCAAACGCAACGCTTTCCCACGCTTTTTCTTCATTTCAGATGATGAGCTGCTCAGCATCCTGGGCAGCAGTGACCCCACCTGTGTCCAGGAGCACATGATCAAGGTGCCCGCAACCATGTACAGACAAAATTAAACTGATTTTTACTGTTATGAAAAACACAGCTAGTACATTTTAAAACGTTTACACTCGTCCAAAGTTATACCTCACTTATCTTATGCATTCTGAGCAGTTTAGAAGCAGTTTTCACAACTTTCAGAGACCAAAGAGGAACAACTAGCATCTTAACACTTCACCCAGGCAGGAATTAGATACAGACAGAATGCAGGACCTCAGGAGCTACTTAAACAATATATCTGTACTGCGGCAAGACTAATTTAGTTGTGTTCAACACATGGGAAAAAACTGGGTACAGGGTCTTAAGTATACATTGCCTTTGATATTTCAGCTATATTTTGATATTTCAATTTTCAAGCATTACCATCAACCTGGGTAAAGCTAAATTCTACTTGTTCCTTGAGTTATGTGGCTGTTTCCTCAATGCTTGGGAGCTACCACAGCTCTCCACATTGTCACAGTTTTATCTACTCTATTCCTTGTGACTGCTAAGAGGAGTAGCTCTCTGCCATTTTGTTTGACCAGTTGAAACTGATTTTAGTAACAGGCCTCATATCTCTTTGTGTTTGTATGCCCCAGATGTATGACAATATAGCGTCTCTGCGGTTTGAGGGAGGCGATGGCAGGGAGTCCATGGCTGGGGCCATGGTGTCTGCGGAGGGGGAGGTGATGGAGCTGAAGCGACCTGTCCCAGTGCAGGGCCGTGTGGAGGAGTGGATGACCAGAGTGTTGCTGGAGATGAAGAGGACCAACCGCCTCATCACCAAAGAGGCCATCTTCCGCTACTGTGAGGACCGCAGCCGGTACGTGTGCCTGTCGCCTGTTGCCTGTCGCCTGCTGTTTGCTGTTGGCTGTTTGCTGTCTAGGGCTGGGTATCATTAAGAAGTTGCCAATACTGTCCGTACCTCGATGCATAGGCCACGATATGATACATATCTCGATACAGTGAGCTTTTGATTCGATACAATATATTTTAAATTGATTCAATATGGTCCAATAAAAAATAAAGGCTAAATCATTACTGTAATACTAAAAGTTTTTGTTAAACCACTTCTTTTGCAAAGTTCATATGAAACACAAACATTTTAACCGTCAAAACAGTGAATGTGTCAAATGTGTCGCATAAACGAGTTTCCAACAAAACTGTAGCGCTGTATCAAAATAATTTAGTAAAACTTACCAAAAAATACTCTTGGTAATATATCGATACAGCAGCCCATGATATTGATACTGTATCATCACAATAAACTATACGATATATTGATATTTTGACACCCATACTGCTGTCTGCCTCTTCTTGGGACATTCACAGTCATCCAGAGACTGAAAACATGGCAAACATGCAGAGTTATGAAGTCCATCTATCCATCCATCCATTTTCGTCCGCTTATCCGGGGCCGGGTCGCGGGGGGAGCAGCCTAAGCAGGGACTCCCAGACTTCCTTCACCCCAGACACGTCCTCCAGCTCCTCCGGGGGGACCCCGAGGCGTTCCCAGGCCAGCCGAGAGACATAGTCCCTCCAGCGTGTCCTGGGTCTTCCCCGGGGCCTCCTCCCGGCGGGACATGCCCGGAACACCTCCCGAGGGAGGCGCCCAGGAGGCATCCGGAACAGATGCCCAGCCATCTCAACTGGCTCCTCTCGACGTGGAGGAGCAGCGACTCTACTCCGAGCTCCTCCCGTGTGACTGAGCTCCTCACCCTATCTCTAAGGGAGCGCCCAGCCACCCTGCGGAGGAAACTCATTTCGAGCTCTTGTATCTGCGATCTCGTCCTTTCGGTCACTACCCAGAGCTCATGACCATAGGTGAGAGTAGGAACGAAGACTGACCGGTAAATCGAGAGCTTCGCCTTTCGACTCAGCTCCCTCTTCACCACAACGGTCCGATACAGCGACCGCATCACTGCCGAAGCTGCACCGATCCGCCTGTCAATCTCACGTTCCGTCCTTCCCTCACTCGTGAACAAGACCCCGAGATACTTGAACTCCTCCACTTGAGGCAAAGACTCCCCACCCACCCGGAGAGGGCAAGCCACCTTTTTCCGGTCGAGAACCATGGCCTCGGACTTGGAAGAGCTGATCTTCATCCCAGCCGCTTCACACTCGGCTGCAAACCGTCCCAGTGCACATTGCAGGTCCTGGTTCGATGAAGCCAACAGGACAACATCGTCCGCAAACAGCAGAGATGAAATCCTGTGGTCCCCAAACCGGACCCCCTCCGGCCCCTGACTGCGCCTAGAAATTCTGTCCATAAATACAATGAACAGAACCGGTGACAAAGGGCAGCCCTGGCGGAGTCCAACATGCACCGGGAACAGGTCTGACTTACTGCCGGCAATGCGAACACAGCTCCTGCTCCGGTCATACAGGGACCGGACAGCCCTTAGCAAAGGGCCCCGGACCCCATACTCCCAGAGCACCCCCCACAGGACACCACGAGGGACACGGTCGAATGCCTTCTCCAGATCCACAAAACACATGTGGACTGGTTGGGCAAACTCCCATGAACCCTCGAGCACCCTATGGAGAGTGTAGAGCTGGTCCAGTGTTCCACGGCCAGGACGAAAACCACACTGCTCCTCCTGAATCCGAGGTTCGACTATCGGCCGGATTCTCCTCTCCAGTACCCTGGCATAGACCTTACCGGGAAGGCTGAGAAGTGTGATCCCCCTATAGTTGGAACCCACCCTCCGGTCCCCCTTCTTATACAGAGGGACCACCACCCCGGTTTGCCAGTGTAGTTCAAGAGTTATGAAGTGTAGTCTAAAAACAGTGGAACTATCTTTGGAAATATAAAATAAATATAGTTTCTGAAGGCTTTGACCAGATTAGATTCATTTTTAAAGCGCTAGTATGTTAATTTTTTTCCAAAAATAAATAACATAAATAAAATAAATAACTTTTTTTTTTCTAGTATGAATGTGTTTATTAAAATGAAAAAGATACATGTGAGCTGGCTTGCATCTCCATAAACCTGACTCTTATTTAGTCTGAAGAAGGGCCTCTTCCTTCTTGTTTCCAAAGAAATATTGTTCCTTTGGCTATAATGACTCACTGTATGGCATAAAACGTATCTATCTCCTTGGGGAATTTCTCTGAAGTATTGTTTTAACTTTCTATTTTCATGAAATCATGCAGATGACCTGCCTCCCCCAGAAAGTTACATACTATCACTTTAAATAATGAATTAAATAAGCTGATAACATAATACAGAGAAATATAAAACAGCATACTTTTGCTTTTTGATGCCTAGCATGTATGCATCGACATATGCATACATTTTTTGATACATTTCAACATTTAATCTTGTATTTATTTCCAGCTGTGTGATTTTTTTTTAATCCTCTGTAGACATAATATTGAATTTTAAAGTGTTTAATTGTGGACAGTGTGTAAATGTGCATTGATGGCCGGTGATAATCTTTTGGTGACTCTTGTATCAGAGTGGACTGGATGCTGCTGTACCAGGGCATGGTGGTGCTAGCGGCAAACCAGGTGTGGTGGACGTGGGAGGTGGAGGATGTGTTCAGATCGGTGAAGGCTGGAGAGAAGCATGCCCTAAAGAACTACGCCAAGAAGCTCCACGCACAGATAGACGAGCTGGTGACACGCATCACGCAGCCCATGAAGAAAAACGACCGCCGCAAACTCAACACGGTCCTGATCATTGACGTTCACGCGCGCGACATCGTGGACAGCTTCGTCTTCAACAGGTCTCACAATTAGCCTCTCTGCACAGGGGCTATATTTGGACTGTTTTTAAATTTTCTTTTGTAATGTATAGAACAAGGACAAACAGATTTTTCAGTAGTAGCTGTCTTTCAAATGACATCCCAACACTGATTAATAATATTTAATACAAATGGGGGTAGCTAAAAATTTAAATGCTGATTTTTGTGATATAGAAAGCGCTTGGGCCTATTCATTAAAAGAAATAATCTGGATCTGGTTGAGCATTTGAGAGATATCTTATGAAAGTACAATGGCTCCTGTACATAATACTCAAGTGAACGATATACTATATACTTTATTCTACTATCAAGATTAACTGTAATAAAACTATTGTACACATGCTTGGATTCGAATATGGCCCTCAGGAAAAAATCCTTGGTCAAGAGCATAGGCTGATGTCTGCTCTTGTCTGTTTCAGTATCATGGATGCTCGGGAGTTTGAATGGGAAAGTCAGCTCAGGTTCTACTGGCAGCGTGAGCAGGACGACCTGTTTGTGCGCCAATGCAGCGCGTCCTTCTCCTATGGATATGAATACATGGGTCTGAACGGGAGACTGGTCATCACTCCGCTGACTGACCGCATCTACCTCACCCTCACTCAGGTCAGGTCATCTCCTCACCCTCACTCAGGTCAGGTCATATCCTCACCCTCACTCAGGTCAGGTCATATCCTCACCCTCACTCAGGTCAGGTCATATCCTCACCCTCACTCAGTCCATCTCCTCATACCGTCACACAATTTAGACCATCACTCAGGTCATCTCCTCACTCTCACTCAGGTCAGACCCTAACTCGGGTCATCTCCTCACCCTCACTCAGGTCAGATTCTCACTCAGATCATCATCCTCCACTCTTACCCAGGTCAGGTCACCCTGACTCACGTCATCCCCTTACTTCTCAGCCTAAATTAAATGCGTAATATGTTTTATATTCCATGGACATTGTGAACACAGGCCCTGTCCATGTTCTTGGGTGGAGCTCCAGCAGGACCAGCTGGTACTGGAAAAACCGAGTCCACCAAAGATCTGGCCAAAGCTCTTGGTCTTCTCTGTGTTGTCACCAACTGTGGAGAAGGCATGGACTACATGGTGAGACAGCCACATATGTGGTGCAGCTGTAGTATATGTGAGCATGTGTCCTGATGATGAGTGTGTGTAGGCGGTGGGGAAGATCCTGTCGGGGCTGGCTCAGTGTGGGGCCTGGGGCTGTTTCGATGAATTTAACCGGATTGATGCTTCAGTGCTGTCCGTCATCTCCTCTCAGATCCAGACCATCCGCAACGCGCTTATCCTGCACCTGCAGCGCTTTCAGGTCATGATTTATTCATTTGTGCTTGTTAATTTACAAAACATAAACGCACAGAATAATTCAGGTATGTCAACTGTGTCCAGTTATCATAGTTTTACATTCCACTGTAATATGCCTTTTAGCGTTCAATAGTAAAAATGCTTTCATCCATATTATAAGAGAGATCAGTCAAATGAATTAAAGCTGCCCCGGCACGCATGCCCCGCCCATGTGACCACCGGGGACTCGTGACCGCCCCGACACACCATTATCCCTTCCTGACAGCCGTCCAGGTCAACAGATCCTCCCCCAGAAAAATTGCATAGTGCACCTTTAAAACTGGAAAATGTGAATGACTCTAGAGACAAACTAGGCCATAGACTGTGCATGAAAACACACCCATGTATGTAACAGAAAAGTTAGGGCAGAGATCTCATTGATCTGGAGCATATTAGAGAATGTTGTGCTAAAGTTTCACAAATTAATGTTTCCCCATATTAAACTAAAGGTGGTGCTGTAGCATTGATAACTGTGTTTGGCATATCAGTGGAATCAGAGACATGCTTTGTATAAGCAATTTAAATTTCAGCAAGATCGGACGAAGCATGTGTATTTTAGAATATTTGGGGGGGGGGTCTTTGCGCCCCTCCTTTCCAACTGTGAAAAAAGCCCCATGTCCATAATATATATATTTTTTTTACTTGTAATCATGCTAGTGGAGCTGTTAAGGACCAAAATAGTGCCCAGTTATTCACTTTTATGGCATAAACTTTGCCAGATTATTAACATCACTAAGACCAACATTTTTGGATATGGAACCAAGCCCAGGTCGACCCTGGAGCCGAGTACTGCACATGTCACAAAATGGCTGACATGGAAATGAGGCTGGGAGCTAAATTACTGCTTAAACCTCCTTTTTTGTAAAATAATGTTAAATTATCACATAGGTTATAAAGAAGAGTATTTATCAAGATACCTGCTACTGCAAAACGGTTTTCAATGCTGTTTTTAAAGTGAAAGTAAAAATTAAATCACACAACAAATTGCTACTAAACTAATGGTGTTTTTTCATGAAGTTTAAACAAGGCCAAGATACAGGTCAGATCTGTGGAGAGGCGACCCCGCTCACAGTCAGAATGTCTGTTTTTCGAGGTATTTTTGAGCAGTAAAACCACCTGCGAATGAATAAATGTAAAGTAGAACTGTTTAATGTCACACTGTGGAACATTCCAGGCAGAGCAATGACATCTCCATAGAAATAAGCAGGTGAGGGACCCCGAATCAAAAAGTCACACAGTGCATTTTTAATAGTGTTATTTACTCTTTCTAGTAGTTTTTTGGTAATTTTAGCGCAAACTAGGTAAATTTCCAAAAGAATCTGTACAACAATGTGTAAAAATGAGAGTGTGTGAACTCCAATGGCCTCTGTGGTATCAAGTACTATGTGACATCATGCAGGACTGCCCTGATTACAGCCTGTTGTTTCTGTTTACAAATCCCCTAGCCCCGCCCCTCTCTCCTTCACTCTCTTCTTTACTCCTCCAGGTACCACTCAGTTTTTCAGCTCGATTTGAAATGTGTTTGTGGGCGGAGTTTAGTCTCACTTTAAGGCAAATGTTAATCTTCATCTTTGATTTTCTATCTTCATTTCTCTCTCCTCCTCCTCTTTGTTTAGCCTGTATATTCAATGGGTCAATCAGCTCTTTGGTCTTGCTTTTAGTTTCCTGGTTCAAATGGTGAAAGATGACTGAAAATCTGTCAGTACAAGTACAGTTACATAATAAAACATCTACTCAGTTACAAGTACTCCTGCAAAACTTGTACTTGAGAAAAAGTATAAAGTATGCATATAAAAACCACTAACTACACAAATGACTTGCATTTTATAAAAGGCTTTGTTTATAAAACCTGAAGCTGACTTAAGTTTCTTTAATTCAGTCTTGTTATGGACGTTAAGCCTGCTTGTTACCATGGAGATTTTATTGCTTTGCCTGAAATATTTGGCAGTATGGCATTAAACCTATTTATATAACCTTATAACCTATAGAACCACCTCTCCATATATCTGACCTGTAAACATGGCCTGGTTGCTCCACTGTCTCGTCTCCATGGAGATAGTCAAGTTTAATGCCATACTAAGGAACAATATAACACTGCCATTATTGCTCCCAGCAAAAAAGTTACATAGTACATCTTCAACACTACTAACGCATTTATGCCTAAAAATCTCTATGCATTAATATTAGAATTGCCAGTGTGTAAATGACCTTGCATTTTATTATCCTTACCATAATGTTAGATTAGCAGCATCTGCTCTTACATTGTTTTTGACTTGATTTTAAATTCATAATAATAATGACAAGAGCAGAGGTGGACTGCTCATTCCAGTGATCCCACACCAGCCTGAGGCAAGATTAGACCAGGTTTTGTTTGTAGTTTCATTGCAACTCCCAGTCTGGAATGAGCTGCAGATGTACAGACTATAATCTCATCTAAAGAGGAGGCTCTGTTCACACCTGTACTACAGTGAGATATGGATTGTAATAAAGACCACAAATTAAGACCACAAATTTACTATGTTTTAGCATCAAATGTTAAAATTAAAGTCTAATTAAATCAATATTTGTTCAAACTGCTGAAATAATGTTTTTTTTCTTTCCATAATGTGAGATATACTGGCTATGTAAAAGGACAATGGACAATTAACGTCTTTAGAGGTGCACAATGTAACATTTCTAGTGGAAGGTAAGATACCTGCTTGACACCTGCCATGAAGATGTTATTGCTTTGCTTTCACAGTATGACATTAAACTTATTCATTGGTGACAAGTAAGAGACCCTGCTAAATGTAAGAATGTCTGCATTTTAGGTATTTGAGCAATAAACACATTTTCAATCCTTAACTGAATAAACACAGACTGATATGTTTAATGCCATACAGTGAAAGATTCCAGCCAAAGCTATAACATCTTCATGAAAGAAGCAGGTTGTGGACCCTCCCCCCACCAGAAAAGTTGTAATTCCCCATTAAGAATTGTAGTATTTTAAGACACCAGATCTCCCCAGCCCTGCAGACTGTAATGGAAGTGTGATGACAGTCAGTGGTTACTGTTGTGGACCACGCTCCCCCAGCAAAGGACACATGCTCTGAACTTATCAAGTGTGGATGTAGAGTAGCCTGATGCAAGTGTGCAAAGGCAAATATGGCATGTACAGATTTATGCCAGTGTGGTGGCAGCAGCACTTAGGAGCACTTTGAATAAGTTTAATGATTTAAGGTAGATCAGTTAAGTGTTTGGGGTTAAGCACTGCTTCCATGCAGCATTTAATTACCACTGTGAAATATGATATGGCATTTACAGATCTTTAGAGATGTTTAAATTGTTTTTGTTTTCAAAAACCCAGTAACCCAGTGGGGCGGCGGTAGCTCAGTTGGTAGAGCATTTTTGCCCACTGATCTAAAGGTTGGCGGTTCGAATCCTGCTCTCAACATAAACATCACAGGTTGAGCAGTCAGATCCACTGACCCACAGGTTGGCTGGTGTGATTCCAGCTCCCACAGATGAATGCTGTCGTTGTGTCCTTGGGCAAGACACTTAACCCACCTTGCCCACAGTGTCTGCGTACACTGGTGTGTGAATGTGCGTGTGAATGGGTGAGTGGTTCCTTGTTGTAAAGCGCTTTGAGTGCCTTGAAGGTGGAAAAGTGCTATAGAAAAATGTGACCATGACCATTTAAATATGGCTTTGAAAGATAAAATATTTTATTAACTTGGATTTCAATAAGAGGGAAATCATACAACTCTTAAATAAATGGTCACGTGACCTCCTTAATGCTTTGGACTTAAAAAAAATTTTGTTCAACATTAAACAAATGGATAATTAAGCAAATTAGACTATAAGAAATTAGGATTATGCTGCGTTTTTTATGCCAGTCTTGTTTTTATGTAGTCCATTTTGTGACATGTGCGGTTCTCGGCTCCACGTTCGACTTAGGCTTGGTTCCATATCTAGAAATATTAGTCCTGGGGGTGTTAGTAATGTGGCAAATTTTCATGCTTGTACCATAAAAGCAAACTATTTTGGTCCTTAACAGCTCCACTATGCATAGAATTGAATCCCCAAATTGGTACAAATCCAATAATGTTGGCGATTCTTGTCAGCATGATCTATAGTGCACTATAGTGTACATTTTTCACACGCTTCATAATATCTTATATTTAGGCCCAGATCACGCATTAGTGATTCAGATTTCTGCAGAATAGAATTTAATCCCCAAATTTGGTACAAATCTGATGTTGACATTTTATATCTATGGTAGAGGGTGCTATAGTGTTCACTTTTATGAAACTTCATAGTCCGTTAGATTCAAGCCGGTATCATGACAGGTCACCAAAGGGACAGGAAAAGCCAGAGTGCTATGGGCAAACTGTAAAAAGTATCCCAAAAAACCCAAACCCATGCCTCTAGATGTGACATGACAAATATGAGCTCATTTGGAACAAAAACCAGGGACTAGAGGCGTTTTGCCAAAACACAGTGAAAACAGCGGCAAATGTTTTGATCCGATATGGCTGACTTCCTGTTGATCAAAGGGGTAATGACTTGGCTTGTCTCACTGTTTTTATCACTGTCCTGACTTTCGTTTGCGTAGCCAAACTTTGCTTTTCCCACTCCCATAGGGGTTCACTTCTAGGCAGCGTTGTTGAGTCGGGTCACTTCACTCATTGTTGTGATGACCATTTTATCAAATTTTTCTCTGGGCCGGTCGATTCTACACCCCCAACTGAGACTTTTTTGTTGATGTTTAGGAGTCAGAAATGCGATCATTTTGTCAGAAGAAAACAATAAAAAGAAACCAGTTACTTCATTCCTCATGCCAATGTTCACTTTCAGTACTACAGAAATCACATTTGGGCTCTACTGCAGTATGTATATAAGTAGATGGATATAAACTTTGTAATGTAGTTCTTTAATTGTATTATAAACACCAAATTGATATGGAAAAGCCAAGCAATTTCCCTATCTGCTAGAACAGAGTTCCAAATAAATGTCCCTCTGGAGGTTACTGTGTTGCTATTAAAACTCTCTAATGTGTGCTATCAATCATTCATTTTTGTTGGAATCATTTGATAACTTTCACATTCTTTCTATATCGTGTTTGTGTGGAACAGTTTGAGGGCCAGGAAATCAGCCTGGACAGCCGCATTGGGATCTTTATCACCATGAACCCAGGGTACGCTGGTCGCACAGAGCTGCCAGAGTCTGTTAAAGCTCTGTTCAGGCCTGTGGTGGTCATCGTGCCCGACCTGCAGCAGATCTGTGAGATCATGCTCTTCTCTGAGGGCTTCCTCCTGGCCAAGGTGCTCCTTTGCCGTACACGTCTCCTTAGTGCTGTCTCTGTCTCTGTCCCTCTGCTTCACTCCTCAATGGTGTCTCTGTCTCTGTCCCTATGACTGCCTGTGTGTTTGTGATGACCAGGTCCTGGCTAAGAAGATGACGGTGCTGTACAAACTGGCCCGGGAGCAGCTGTCTAAGCAGTCACACTATGACTTTGGCCTGAGGGCTCTGAAGTCTGTGCTGGTTATGGCCGGGGAGCTCAAGAGAGGCTCCCCACACCTCAATGAGGTTACTCTCATTTTATGTCTTTTCATTTACAACTCCTAACACACTGAATCATGAAGTTCATATTACAGACCATCCTGTATTTTACTATTATTTGAGAAAAATGAATAGAGTGCCGAGATCGGATACAAGACGTTTTATCTTTCTGCTTCTTCTGATTGAGTCTGAAATGGATGGTCTGTTTGTACAGATCATCTAAATCAGTGTTTCCCAAACTTTTTTTCTGGGGACCCAGATTTTAAAAGTCACAAGCCTTCGTGACCCAAGTCAACAGACATTATTCATAAATCACAAAATAAAGATGGATTTGGGCATTATTGAACATTGATGAGGATATTTTATAAGTCGCCTATTTGGATGTTAAATGTAGCCCATTTCTTTTTCTTTTCAACATTCAATTGAACCAGCAATACTGGAATAAAATAGTTGATAAAATAATTACAAAAAGATTAGAAATGATACAAAACATGTCTTAACGTTTGAACATTTCTAATGAGATAGGTTGGCCTGTGTGTGTTTTTGTAGTGTTTTCAGTCCGGCTACAGGAGGAGACGCAGCAGCAGATCAGGAGCAGCATTCAGGCTGTTTCTGTGCTTTGGCTTCATTTTTGTGAGCACAGAAATGAGAAGATTTTCTGACTCACAAGCTTCCTCATGTGTCAGAACTGTATGTGTAGACAAGGTGACCCAAAAAAAAATCTTGTGACCCACCTGGGAGTCGCGACCCAGTCTTTGGGAAACAAAGATCTAAATGATTACCAGTTATTATGCAGTATAACATAGGAAATTTGAATGTTTGTGGAGAAAATGTTGGCATTTTAAAAATTGCAGCCTTTGAGATGCATGTCAGATGAAATTGCACACATTCACATTTTGATTAACCTTGCAGTTGTAGACACTCTAACAAACCTTGTGTGTGTTTGTAGGACGTGGTTCTGATGCGTGCCCTGCGGGACATGAACCTGCCTAAGTTTGTGTTTGAAGATGTCCCTCTGTTCTTGGGGCTCATCTCAGACCTGTTCCCTGGTCTGGACTGTCCCCGTGTTCGCTACCCCGACTTCAATGACGCCGTGGAGAACACCCTACAGGACAACAAATATGTGCTCCTGCCAAACCAGGTGAGGGCACCACAGAAGTACAAGCTGATTGGATTAAGCACATTAGTTTAGCAATATTTCCCACTGAGAATTCTATACTTTGGCTGCTTAGAAAAGTGTCATACAGGACTGACTTAACTTGGCAGTTTGGTCCCTGCACCCTCTTGATCAATTGTTTTTGATTTGAGTTCAGAGGAGATTGTGGAGTTTGGTCATGGTCATGTTTTTGTTAGTCAGTCCCAGGGCAGCTATGGCTACACTACGGGCTGTAAGTGTAGGGGTAAATGAATAATGGCTTCTGTTGCACTTAAGAAGCTTATAAAGAAAAAAATTAATCCAAGCCAATAATGTTATTTAATTTAAACCAGTGAACTCTTTGCCCAAGCAGCCAGTCTACATTCTGTTGATACTGAAAGGCCTGGAATTGGACCACAGACTGTGCATTCCAAGTCTACATTCTGTCCTTGCTGGTCATGTAAGCGAACAGTCATACCTGACAAATCAAACATGAGAGCTAGTTATATCTCCCTTCTGGAGGGCAGAGGCACAGGTTTCATCAACACAACAATAGTTTTATACAGCAAGACTTTTGTTATGCTGCCACGTATCATCGAGCCCTCTGACTGGCTGAGGGCAAAGTTAAAGATACACAAAGATGCAGCAGTGTATGTATTGTGTATGCATGTTCAGTATGTATGTGACTGTATTGTTCAACACATCATGTAGATTCATCTTAAAATGTAGAACTCATCATTAAGTTATATGCTCAGCCTGAAAAAAGATGCATTTATTTTGACTTTCATCATATCTGAAATGTTTTCTTGCTCAGTCTACTACAATTTGCTCTCTTCAACACTCTCAGTATCTAACATTTACTGTACCTACCGTCCGTAAGGAGGTGGGTCGGAGGTCCTTTTGTTTTAAAGCCCCCTCAGACTGAAACAATCTGCTGTCATCACTAACGTCTCTAACTTCTCCTTTAGAACTCTCTGCTCTGTTAACTCACCTGAAAACTGACTGTCACTGCTGTTGATTCTATATACACTGTGTCTGTGTTAATGACTATATGAGATGAACATATGGAGGTGGGGAGGGATATGAGCAAAATCATCCTGTTACTTGCCTTGTATGTATGTACATATGTGTATGTGTGTATTGTATTTTGATTTATGTGTGGGTGTGGAACCATGTGTCTGTAAACTGTAAGAGACAATAAACTCTTATATGTTCTTGGTCCCTCTTAAAAACGAGATGCTGCATTTCAAGGAGCTTTCCATGAATAAATTCAAATTCAGTGTATGGAGCATGAGTGAGCACCCGTTCTGCTCCCATTCAGGTGGACAAAGTGGTGCAGATGTATGAGACCATGATGACCAGGCACACCACCATGGTCGTGGGCCCCACAGGTGGAGGCAAGTCTGTGGTGATCAGCACGCTGTGCCAGGCACAGAGTAGGTACGGTGAGGGTGTGAGGAGGAGGGGGGGATCATGACAAAACACTACTGACTATGTTCCTTCTGGTACAGGCTAGGCCTGCTGACCAAACTCTACCCTCTGAACCCCAAAGCCATGAGCGTCATTGAACTGTACGGCACCCTGGACCCAGACACGAGGGACTGGACTGATGGCATCCTCTCCAACATCTTTAGAGAAATCAACCGGCCCACTGATAAGAAGGAGCGCAGGTATGATCACTTCTTAGTTAGAACTACGTGGAGTCTACAGCTTTGTGTAAATCCTCTAGTTAAGTAAGTAATCCTGACAATGAACCTGCAGTGAACAAAATTCCAAACATAAACAAATGTTTGGGTTCATCACACTCAGTGTTGGGAAGGTTACTTTTAAAATGTAATCCCCTACAGATTACAGATTACACACCCCAAAATGTAGTTTGTAATGTAATCCATTAAATTACTTAAAGTGAGTAACGTAATCTGATTACTTTGGATTACTTGATATTGTCATGTTTTTTTAAACGACATGAATGTAGCAACCACATCCTGAAAATTCTTGTTTGTTGTCTTCAAATTGTCTGAGCCCAAGTCTCCATGAATAAGCAACTGTTTGCTGTAGAGAAACAAAGATCACGATATCTTAATATAAGAGGTTTTGTCTGTTAAAAGACAGTAACAAGATAAGCCTTTCCTTCACCAGATTAAAAAATATTATTGATAGAGAAATTTTTTGTTATATGACATCACCTTTAATTATGTCAACCTACTGTTAGGTGTCATGTTGTTTAGACCTGGTTTAGTCCTGGTTTAGTCCTGATTTTTAGACCTGGTTTACTCCTGATTTTAGACCTGGTCTAGGCCAGGTTTTTAGTTCTGGTTTAGTCGTGGTTTAGTCCTAGTTTAAACCTGGTTCAGTCCTGGGTTAGTCCTGGTTTAGTCCTGGTGTTAGTTCTGGTTTAGAGGCGCACAGGAGGAAGCGCGGTTTATGCGAGAAAACACGGTCCACACGCGGCGCACGAGACGGCGGTGTCCGCGCTGTAACTACGGAAGGAGACGTGGTCCGCAGGTTCTCAGGTTGATGATGATGATGAAGGTGTGTGTTTGTGTGCACGTCCACTCATGTGGCAGGTCACTATAGGACAGTAGTGCAGATATTATGAGTCTATGCAGGTAGCTCCAGTTTCACATTTAAGTTGTAGGCGATTTTATATTTGTTTTTTTATATATATATCTCACATCGGGAGAAGAATTTCCAAGACACATGCGTTTTTACCAATGCACTGCTGCTTCCACTGTGTGACTGACACCGCCAACTTTAACATGACGTTTACATCGCTCTTATTGCGCGCGTTCTGTTTGGGTTTCCGGCAATGAGTGGAATTACCGAAATAAAAAAAATAATAAATGGGATGTAGCACAAAATGTGAAAACAGGAAAATACCGCCTTGTAATCCACTTATTTCAGCAAAGTAACTGTAATCCAATTACCACTCATTGAAACAGTAACTGTAACGGAATACAGTTACTCATAATTTGTACTTTGATTACGTAACGGCGGTACATGTAATCCGTTACTCTGATCACACTAGAGTAGTATTTGTCTTTTAACAGCAAAATGTAAGTTGTTTAGCCTTTATGGTTAATATTTGCATTATTCCTTGCCCCTTCTTTAGCAATGAGCTGTGGTAGCTGTCAATCAAACTTGTTGCTAATGTGGGAGCGACCTCAGGAAGGCACCTGATTGGTCTGTTTTTAATGTTCATATCTTGATTTTCTGACATAGTCACAATCATGAAGAGCTAGTTAGTAAAAACATTTTAAGTTCAGGATTATGAGCCTGACAGCAACATTTACAGAGAGAGGGGCCACCATTTTCACTTCCTACATAGAAGCAGCAGTCTATGCTCAGAACAGAAGTGAACAATTGCATCACATGTTTTAATCAACTAGGGCCCTGAGTGCATTTCTATGGTAATAATAATAATAATAATAATAATAATAATAACTATTATTATTTGTCAGGTTTAAACCCACCTAAACATTGTAAAAACAAGAAGAAAGACAAGAGATTAGAATCGTTTTCTCATGAGGAGGGCGGACAGAGATTGCATTCACCGTTACAGTCTCGACCCGCTCTGGTGCACTCTCTGCGTCTCCTCTTTTTATTGTCTTAAGAGGGTCCCTAGTTACAATGAGTGTCTCCGCTCTCAGGGAGAGGGGGTGAAAACAGCGGAAACACCAGACATACAAATATGACAAATATGTGTTATCAACAGCAGGTGCATATGTTTCGTTTAGCTTTCAGACACAACTTTCTCCGTGCAGCCTTGAAAGTCGTCTGCTCTCATGCTCCGAGGGCCTTGAGAGTGTCTGCTCCCAGGCTCCGAGAGCCGAATCGCCGTTGCTCACACATGACTGCATACAGTTTCCAAGCACAAAAGATTATTCAAATACACATAGAATGGTACATAGCAAATATAGCAAATATGGGATAATATATAAAATTATTCTAACATTGTTATTATTATTATTATTATTATTATTATTATTATTATTATTATTATTACATTATGTAACAGTAGTCCAACTGTTGTGATGGTTTGGCAGGTATATTCTGTTTGATGGAGACGTGGACGCGCTCTGGGTAGAGAACATGAACTCTGTGATGGATGACAACAAGCTCCTCACACTGGCCAATGGAGAGCGCATCCGTCTCCAGAACCACTGTGCCCTGCTCTTTGAGGTGAGCCAGAATCCCAGGGAAGGGTCGGGGGGTGAGCGTGTTCCCAGGGGGGAGGGTCTGGAGGTGGGTTAGTACCACAGAGGTGGAGGAGGGACTGGGGTGCGGCATGGGTACAGTGGGAGGATGGTCTGGAGGTGTGGCAGTAACAAGGAGAGTGTAGAGGTGGGACAGTACCACAGGGGCAGGAGGGTGTGGAAAAATGTCTGTACAGTAATTGTTTGGAGCTTTCAGGTGGGGGATCTGCAGTACGCCTCTCCTGCCACAGTGTCACGCTGTGGGATGGTGTTTGTGGACCCCAAAAACCTGCGCTACACACCATACTGGCAGAAATGGTTGGAAAACAGACCTCTGAAGGTAAGAAGTTTAATCATGCCATAACCTACTGCTCCCAAGGCAGTGAAACTGAGTCCAGTGTACACAACAATTTAACTAATTTAAAACATAAAACAAACACCATTTGTGGCTGTTAGTGATTGTAGAAGAGATTGGAAAAATCATTTTACTAGTTATTATAGTGAAAAGAAAAATCACAATTACTGACAACATGGTCAAAGCAACAGTGACATCCTCATTAGGGCCACAGTGGCACAGTTAGTAGAGAGCTCGTCCTCTGATCTGAAGGTTACCGGTTTGAATTCCCCCTATGGCATAACCACCTTCAACAGAGTGGTCAGATCGACTGACCTACAGGTCAGCCCACAGGTAATTTCTTTGTTGTGTATATTATGGACCGTGTTTAACTTTTCTTTAGGCTACAGCCCTCCCGTTTTATCAGCATGTGTTTGGTACAGTGCAGTCTCTGTCTCCATGCAGGAGCAGGAGACACTGAACCTGCTGTTTGGGAAGTATGTGCACTGCTGCATTGACCTGATCGTATATGGGATCTTGGATGGCAAACAGAGCAAGAAGCTGAAAACCATGGTCCCTCAGACAGACCTGAACATGGTGAGGAGGTCTCACATACATATGAGACAGTGTCCCCAGGCCCTAACACTGTGCCTCTGCAGGTCACACAGCTGTGCCTGATGCTCGATGCTCTGTTGGAGGAGGAGGCCCTGGGGCCTGAGGTGTTGGAGGCCTTCTTCCTGGAGGGTCTCTACTGTTCCTTAGGGGCCACTCTGGTGGAGACAGAGAGAGTCACATTTGATGAGTTTGTTAAAAAGGTCTCATGTCTGACTCTGGTCCAAGAGGAGAAGGTTTATGCTGGACCTGGTCAAATCCCAGGTAAATATATCAACTTGGGCTTTGTTTTTTTGTGGCTTCAGAAAACTAATGCGTGTTTATAATAGTGATGCATCAAATGGTTTGTGAGAACTGAGAACAAGTAAATCCTACTTCCTCTCTCACTGATTGAAAATGGGTTACTGCTAGTGTTGTACATGAACGAGTTCAAAATTGAACATGTTCATTTTTCAGTAAACTTTGAACTGAACACAACATATTTGGAAATCAAGAACTTGAACGTGAATTTGTTCATATTATGTGAGATGAACAACGTCCGTCACTCTTGGGGTTCAATTAAATGTCGGAATTTGTTTTCACCTGATGAGTGACAAGGTCTGCACTCACTTAACCTCATGAAAGCACAGCTGTGTGTCAATGCGAAGGCGGCTCCACCGGCAGCTCTAGCGGAACGTACTGGCTCTCGTGTTTCTCAATGGAAAAGCCAATCACATTTGACTGAGCTCGTTTAGCCGCTTGTATTTACCTTCTGTACAGGCTGACCACGGCAAATGCCAGGATTTCAAAAGTAAATTTCAAAACACTAATGAACAGTCTTTGTGGAGTTGGGCTCTTTCACACGATACAGAACTGCCCCAGGAGCACGATGTGCTGATGGTAAACGCACAAATACAACCAAATATACATGCTCTCTGTGTAGTTTGATGAGGATACGCGCCTACCCTCACATAGAGCGTCAAAAAATAGGATGCATCCTATTTTCTGAAATCTAAGCGCGCAGGACGTGCTGCTCCATACATGTGCACTTGCAATGGAGCCGCCCTCATTCACTTTCAATGCATTCTACAAATTATACGTCCAAAAGTTGCAGTGACATCCCTCTGTCACAGAAAGAAAGTCGTGTCCTTTAGTCTGACATAAGCTGATGCATCAGTGCACAAAGAAAAAGCTGCTTTTTTTCCAGCGCTTACAGTTTATGCAAATTAGACATGCAGTTTTACGTTTCATTTCTGTAAGACGTAAACAAAGCTGCATTAAACACATTATAATCTCAAATGGACTGATGTGTCTCTATTGCTTATGGTTTATATGTTGGAAAATTGTTGTAAACTGGAAATCAGTTTGAAAAATAAGTTCAGCCTTTCATTTACAAATCTCATCTAAAAATAAAATTAACTGAACTTTGAACTAGTCCAAAATTAAAATTGTGAACTGTGAATGTGAACTGTTGACTTTGAAAATGTGTGAACTGAACTTTGAACTAGTTTATGAAAAGTGTGAACTTGCACAACACTTGTTACTGCAGCTTAAAACTCACATGACTGTGACATTTCTATTCACTGTGGATTTAAAAATGTGAAGACATGTATGTGCTCTCCTCCAGGACACCTACCCACTCTGTATGATTTCCATTTTGATGGGAAGCAGATGAAGTGGGTTTCCTGGCGCTCTCTGGTGTCCAAATATGTGCACGACTCAGACATGAAGTTTGCAGACATCCTCGGTAGGTCCTGAAGCACGGGTCTAGTCAGGCGTTGCATTTCCTTGGCTGGTGCCAATGTTGCAGAATAGAAAAAAATACAATTATGATTCTTCAGTGTCTGTGAGTAAACAAGAGAAAGTAGAGAAAGTAGAGAAGGAGGCAGAGTAGTTTTTTTCCATCTCCTTATTCTAACCACTCTGCTGCTCCTCCAGTGCCCACCATTGACACGACCCGGACAAGCTGGATCCTGGAGCAGCAGGTGAAGACTAAGAGACCTGTGCTGCTGGTGGGAGAGTCGGGCACCTCTAAAACAGCCACCATCCAGAACTTCCTTAAGAATCTGGATGACTCTAAGGTTGGACATATTTACAGTCTACTGAAACCTGAGGAACATATCCTGTCACAGAATGCACTTAAGATGATTACACATTAACTGTTTTAGAGTTTAGTCAACTGACAAATTAGATTGCAGATCATTTAATAGTGTAATATTTTAGGACAGTTGTGACAGAATGATTTCAACTTTGTGTTGTGTCAGGACAAGACTTATGCTTTGGTTTCATACAGATATATGGTACATATACTGCAGGTCCTTCTCTCATTTCTGACTCTAAATTCTGTGCGTTTATTTGACAGATCACAATGACCATCAACTTCTCATCCAGAACCACCTCGATGGACATCCAGAGGAACCTAGAGGCCAACGTGGAGAAGAGGACCAAGGAGACGTATGGCCCGCCTATGGGCAAGAGACTGATCATTTTTATGGATGACATGAACATGCCCAAGGTGCCCCTCTACTGCCTCTCTGCTACCCTTTGCTGTCTGTCTGCTCTTCTCTGATGTTTTTGCAGTCGGTGTGCTGGTTCTCATAGTAACACCAATGTCACTCATGGCAAGTACTGTAATTATAGTCTGATACAATAATATTGATCCATTAGCCTGGCGAGCCAGTCCCTCTTATTTTCTGTGTGAAAGCAGGGGTGCCTGGGACCAGACACATAGCCAAGCAGACATTACTATCTGCGACGCTAATTTGAGCACATTGTCTCTGTGTAAAAGACCTCTCCCCTTGACTGTTCTTGTAACATTCAGAATGAAATGTATCACAGTTTAATTTGTCTGCTGTGCTCTTTTGCTGTCATTGTGCAGATGTGGCATGTACAATGAAACAGTTCAAGAGCAGGCTGAAACCCACAAGTGCAGAGTGATCATTCACACAGCCCCTGTGACCACTGTAGCTGCCCCTTGTGTGCAGGTGGACAGCTATGGCACGCAGCAGCCCATTGCTCTGCTTAAACTGCTGCTGGACCGCGGTGGCATCTATGACCGTGCCAAAGAGCTTAATTACAAATTGCTGAAGGACCTGGGCTTCATCGCCGCCATGGGAAAAGCCGGAGGAGGCCGTAACGAAGTGGACCCCCGCTTCATTAGCCTCTTCAGCGTCTTCAGCATCCCCTTCCCCGCCATGGAGTCCTTGCACCTCATCTACGCGTCCGTGCTCAAAGGACACACTGAGGTGCGCCTCCTCTAGTTAGTTTAGTTAGCTCTAGTCCTAGTTATGACTTTTGCTCTGTTAGACCTGGTTTACTCCCTGTTCATTTCTTATTTATTCCACCCTATATTAGACCAGCTTTTGTTCAGGTATCATTTCCGTACTTGGTGTGAAATGTATTTTATCATCTTTCTTCAAGTTCAGAAATTATAACTTGTATTTTTCTACACTCTTGAAATGGAGATGCGCACTTAAAATGCATATGATAGGTTAGACTACCCATTTTATTTCGTTAAGTCAATGTTAAATCTGTCGGAAAAATGTGTTACATGTTCATAAATTTGTCTTTGCATTTTGGGTGGAATTTTCAGTGTTGATGACATAGTTAGAGGGATTCTGTTTTAGAACCCAGCCCTACTCTATTTTTGTAATGTCACTTAACTGATGTAAAACTATGATAAATATTTAGCACAGATACTATCCCACCAAGCCCAATAGTAAATAGAAAAACATGAAAACCTCTAATACGCACTTCAGAGCAGCACCAAAAACATTTTGTACCAAAAACGTTTTTGTTACAGATGGACATGTTTTTTTAATTCCAGTTGGACTGAGTGAAAACTGAAGCTGACACTATTATTCAGATTTTGTTTGTCTTCTTCCTATAAAGCTCTCACCTGTTTGACTAAACTTGGCAGGGACACCATATTAGCAATATGGATGAATGAATGGCGTTGCTTTTTTCATTAAATCAAATCTTAGACAATGATTTATGTTGAAACTAATCAGATTAAACATGAGTGACCCTTGCACAAGTGTGATTTTAAATAGTATTCATCTCATAGATTTCGCTTTAACTCTGCTATATCTGGACATCTGGTTAACTCAACTCGACAATAGGCAAACTTACATTTTTTGAATCATTATGGGATAACGGCTGAGTCATTCAAATAAAACCAAATAAAAACCTAATATCAATGTAAAAATGCATTCATATCTTAATTAATGTATGGTTTGATTAGCTGCTAGCCCATCAGTCTGAAGCTTTGTAAATCCGATAAAAGGCTCAGTCTTTCTTCTGTCTTTAATAGTGTTACATCTCTGTGCAACAATAATCCACAGTCCCCGAATCTCTATAAAGTTTGTTCATTGCTGCCCATGCATGGCCCGTGTCTTTAGTTTCTATGGGACTTTTCAGCTGCTCCATTGCCAGTGTGGGGTTTGGAGGTGCATGCTGGGATTGCTTGAGGACAACTGCAGGAGCTCTATATTATTATCTACATGAAACCTCATATTGATTCTTTTCTATTGTCCTACAGTGCCTTCTGAAACTATATTCTGGCTGTTGTTAATGAGTTGCAGATGTTTGAGGAGGTGGTGCAGAAAGCCTGTGACACAGTGACCATGTGCACGCTGGAGCTCTACAACAGCATCATCAGAGAGCTCCCTCCCACTCCATCCAAGTTCCACTACATCTTCAACCTGAGAGACCTGTCCAGAGTCTACCATGGGCTGACCATGACCCACCCCGAAAGGTACAGCCCCTGGAGGAGCAGACCAAGAGCCTAAATTGCTTGTGTTCACATTCTAGAATTTGGTGATGTCATAATTTCAGATGGAGGGCAGGAACCTATTTCACTCTATGAGAGATTCTTTTTAAATATCTCAAATGCTGACCGAAGCAGGGATTCTTGTTCAGAACTTGAGCTATAAGATGTTCCTAGTCCTATCCTCTGTATGTTTAAGTTAATCGGTAAGAGACAAAACATGTAAACAGAGAAAGACTGAAAATCCAGAAATTAATCTGGAGAAAATAGTAAGAGTCCATGCTGGCTGAGTGGTTAGTAATAGTTTTAAATATATAAATATATAAACATACTGTCCCTCTCTGCACAGGTATGTGAGCGTGACCAAGTTTGTGCGCGTCTGGAGGAACGAGTGCTTAAGGATATTCCATGACAGACTCATCAACAAGGCTGATAAGGCTCTGGTAACATGGCTTTTTTTTTTTCGGATTTGACTTTTACCATTTCTTATGTGAGAAAACAGGACACTAGACCATAATAATATACTTAATTTAATTGACAAACTCCCTCATTTAGTTGACAAAACTCTGCATACGTTTTCTGATAATATATAGGATTCTTTGCAGCTGATAACATCAACATGCCTTGTGTTGTTAACTTAGGTACTGCTCTGTCTTAGGCCTTTTTAGCCTTTATTCTGACCTTGATTTCAACATAACAGAAACAATTCGGGGTCTTTTTTTTCATTCAGTCTCAGGACTCCCACACCCCCTTTTTGAGACCTACCTTGTGTGAATTGATGAGTGTCTTAAAAGTGGTGCTATAGTCACATCTACATAGTTGTGAAATTTAGAACAAAGAATCCTGACATGATGATGAATAAAGCAGTATAATCTTACAGGGGTTTATGCAGCTCCATTTATAATTATTAAACCATTGAGGGCATGGCACAGTGGCATGGAATTACAGTTTCATATGTCAATAGAAAACTTTCCCAATTTATCATCTTGGGCTCTGTGTCTCCATCGGATCACCTGCTATAACAGAAATAATGTTCAACACCCAAAACCAATGGATAGAATTGACCATAGAATGTATATGAGGCCTTTCCAGGAGAAACATCAGATTTCATCTTAAACATTCACTTTAACTTTCATGGATTTTATTCAACCTTGGCACACTTCTATTTAATCTGTTTTTAATCCCACTTTACCACACTCGTGTGTGTTATTGTAAAGCACTTTGGGTGTCTTGAAAAGCTCGATATAAATGGAAGGTGTTATTATTATTATTGCTTCATATATGAAATATTATCTAAGTAAAATTGAAGTTGTATCTCTTACAATTGAAGTTGTATCTCTTACAATTGAAGTTGTATCTCTTACAATGTGACTTTTGTTGGCTTTTAAAGGGGGGTCATGGTCAAAATCAGTCCTAGCAGAAAATATCAAATATCATACATTTTATTCCAACTTTTTGTAGTTTTTATACAGAGTCAAGTCTGTTATAAATCTATAAGGTAGGTTTGGTGTAACATGAGTTGAAAGTAACATTAGTGTAACTGTTAGACATGTTCAGTGGCTTAATTCTATTACAATTACTGGTTATTCATTGAAGCACGCCCAGTACAGTGTCACTGCAAAGTATCAGTTGCAATTTTGGTGTTCCCGTCTTAGCCCTATGTAAGCTAATGTTGTCCTTTGACCTCCAGGTCCAGGGGCACCTGCGCAGCCTGGTGGAGGAGCACTTCCACACAGAGGCTGAGTCCATCCTGAAGGAGCCCATCCTTTTCGGGGACTACATAACAGCCCTGAGCGAGTCCGAGACACGGGTCTATGACGATATCCAGGACTACGAGGCCTCTAAAGCCCTGTTTGAGGTCAAGACTAACACTCGTCATATACACTGACTGAGAAAATCAGGAGGTAGAGCTAAAGATGGGCAGAACCAGAACTAAACCAGCGAACAAGGAATACACAAATATTTAACCAGGACTAAACCAGGACTAAACTAGGACTAAACCAGGACTAAACTAGGACTGAAACAGAACTGAACCAGGACTGAACCAGAACTCAACAAGGAATACACCAGGACTAATTAAAGAACCCACACTATTTTCTGACCTATATTATAATGTATTTTTCTCATCACAAACAGACCTGGAGTTGTGTTGTGTCATTCACACAAACAACACACAAACCCTGGATATTTAGGTTATTCTAAGTTCTTCTCTCAAACAGAAATCTCTCTGTTCCACCTTGTGATGTCATGTGGTAATACAGCAAATGCTCCACTGTGTTTTTAAACTTCACACACCTTCACTAGAATCATTTGGATCATTTCAATCATGGAATTGCCAATCTCTACAGAACTAAAGGTAAAAGGAGCTGTTGACTTGAAAACTACTGCTTCATGACATCACAAGGTGGGACAGAGGACTGAATATGAAATACACAAATAATGAACCAGAACTAAACCAGGATTGAACAAGGACTAAACCAGGACTAAATCTGAATTTCCTTTGGAATCAATAAAGCATCTAAACCAGGACTATACCAGGACTTCAGACTCAACAAGGACTCTACACAGACTAAAGGACTAAATATGGAATACACACATGGTGAAACAGGACTAAACCAGGGCTGAACAGGGACTAAATTAGAACTGCACAAGGACTAAACTGAGACTTAAAAATAAATGGTGAGGAGAGGTTAGATCAAGTAGGTGGAAATAAGTAGCATATCTATCCTGCATTATCTATAAGCAAACATATCTATCCTGCATTTATTGAATGCAGTGCTGTACTATGGAACATTCCAGGCAAAGCTATAATATCTCCATGGAGACAATCAGGTTCTGAATGATGGTCCTGCCCACGTGAACGTGGTCTCTGTCTGTGCAGGAGATTCTGGAGGAGTACAGTGAGGCCAAGACAAGGATGAAGCTGGTTCTTTTTGATGAGGCCCTGGAACATTTGACTCGGGTTCACCGCATCCTGCGCATGGACCGAGGACATGCCCTGCTGGTGGGGGTGGGGGGCTCGGGGAAGCAGTCCCTCACCAAGCTAGCAGCCTTCACCGCAGGCTGTGAGGTACAGCAACACCAGGAGGGTTAAGATAAGGGATTTAAGGTGTAAAATCCAAATATTCCAGTCACCTCTTAGGTGCAACAAAAACACTTAACTGACTGAAACAGCACCATCTACAGTCTTACTTCTGCAAATGCTCCTTGTTGTGGTGAGAAAACACCAGCTACAGATTCATGTTAAACTTCTTCCTTACTCCTTGTAGGAAGCAACAAGCTTGTACCTTGTACAAGCTTGTTGCTCAAACAAGTAAAAAATTGAAACTTCATCAGCCTGTTGCTAGAAGCCACTTTTATTTGAGTCTGAGGTAAGTGCAGGTCACTGAAAAGAGATTTGCAGGTTTTGCAAGCATAAAAACTTGAAACCCCTTATAACTCTGGCATACAACCAACCAAGATTCCAAGTGTATAATGTACAGGTCCATACGTTCTACTTGCACAGCAGAAATGGTATTGATATCTCTTGTAGTTTTCCCACAATTTCACTTTTGAAGTTTAGGTACAATACATTGAAATGAGTCAAAAACCAATGGGCTGATCTGGCCACAGGTCAGTGTGAATCACCTCTGCACCAAACTCAACACATAACTTGCTCTGGACATCTGGTCATCAGTGGCATTCAAATAAAATAGACACATGAGCATGTCCATGTTATTCAAGTCAAAGATGTCATATTAGATGTAATGTGCACACAAAAACATTTTGCTTCTGCTTGGCCTGGTCACATCCAGGAGTTGTAGAATGATGAAAAGTTCAGAGCATTGCCATCTCAACTGTCCTCAAAATGGCATCGTATAACAGGAAACTAAAACCCCTAAATAGCAACAATTTATGTGAAGTGAAATATCTTTTATGCCTGGAACAATGTAACTAAACTAAAACTGAAAGTGTCACTTCACTTCAATGTTACAATCTTCTTTTCACGAGGAGAGACTGGCATACACCCAGCTCATACTGCTGGGTTTGCCATGGGTAAGGCAAACAAAAAAGTTTATTTAATGTAAAAGTACAGTAAAGGGCCTTTTAAAGAGTACTATGTATGTTTTTAGACGGATGCTGCAAAACCAGCTTTTCTCCATGGAACTGTTGTTTTTCCTGAAATCCTCCACAGAATGGCATGAAATTCGGAGAGAATATAATATACAGTTTACAGATTTACAAGATTTAGATTTGGATTTACAATTATACATGTTCATGAGACAAGCAGATGACAAACCTCAGAAACCTTACAGGGCACCTTTCTAAGTAAAGTCTTAGTACTTGTTGAGCCCTGTGAAGCGTGCCTGTGTGTGGCAGGTGTTTGAGATCATCCTGAGCAGAGGCTATGGAGAGTCCAACCTCCGTGATGACCTAAAGAAGCTCTACCTCAAATTGGGCATCGACAACAAGAAGTGTGTGTTTTTGTTCACTGATGCACACGTGGCCGAGGAGGGCTTTCTGGAGCTCATCAACAACATGCTGACCTCAGGTACCCCTCCTGCCCAGTGCCCCTCTCCTCATGCCCTCAGCCCTCTCCTCCTGCCCTCTACCCTCACCACCTGCCTTCTGCCCTCACCTCCTGCCCTCTGCCCTCTCCTCCCGCCCTCTGCCCTCTCCTCCCGCCCTCTGCCCTCTCCTCCTGCCTTCTGCCCTCACCTCTTGCCCTCAGCCCTCTCCTCTTGCACTCTGCCACTGTCCTCCTGCCCTTAGCCCATCTCTTTCTGCCCTCTGCCCTCTCCTCCTGCCCTTAGCCCTCTTCTCCTCACCCCCTGACCTGTGATGGCTGCCTTTTAATCCTTTGTCAGACATTTGAAAAATAAAAAAGTTTACTTTAAAAAAGTTATTTTAACTTTATGATCCAGTTTGTGTTTCATGTGGATAGGCTCAGTAATTACAGAGTTATTAACCATAAACCAGGTCAACAAATCAATCAGTCAATCTGAGAATTAAACGGAGGCAAACTGTAGAATGTCACATTCCCAGCTTTTCTCCTCTGAGCCCCTGTCTGCCTGTCTGTGTTCTCCAGGCGTCGTTCCGGCTCTGTTCCCTGAAGATGAGAAGGAGACCGTGCTGAACCAGGTAAGGGAGGAGGCTCTGAAGAGTGGAGCAGGCCCCTCTAAAGAGAGCATATGGCAGTTCTTTGTCAACAAGAGCGCCAACAACCTGCACATCGTCCTGGGCATGTCTCCTGTGGGTGATACACTGCGGACTCGCTGCCGCAACTTTCCAGGTTAGACCCAGACTCATAGTTATTATTACATACAAACTCATATCTCAGTGTTATTATTACATACAAACTCATATCTCAGTGTTATTATTACATACAAACTCATATCTCAGTGTTATTATTACATATAAACTTATATCTCAGTGTTATTATTACATAAAAACTTATATCTCAGTGTTATTATTACATACAAACTTATATCTCAGTGTTATTATTACATACAAACTCATATCTCAGTGTTATTATTACATATAAACTTATATCTCAGTGTTATTATTACATACAAACTTATATCTCAGTGTTATTATTACATATAAACTTATATCTCAGTGTTATTATTACATACAAACTTATATCTCAGTGTTATTATTACATACAAACTTATATCTCAGTGTTATTATTACATACCAACTTCTATCTCAGTGTTATTATTACATACAAACTCATATCTCAGTGTTATTATTACATACAAACTCACTCTCGTAGCTTTGTCGTTGGCACTATTGGTTGAGGGTCCATAAAAAAGTAGCCTGCTCTGTCCTCCCCATCCCCTCATGTGTTGTGTGCTTGCAGGGCTGATGAACAACACAGTCATTGACTGGTTCCAGCCGTGGCCCCCACAGGCTCTGCTGGCTGTGGCGCAGTCCTTCCTGGGTGAGTACTCTGCTAAAAACAAGCACAAACCAGGAATAAATGAAGACCATGGGGCCAAACCATGACAGAACGCTGTTCTGTTCATTAGGTCTATCAATACATTAACAATGTACAATGTACTGTACATTGTTTGCCTTAACAGGGAAAAAACATTTAGTAGCTTTGTGTTGTGTGTGTTTACAGGTCAGAACACCATGATCCCAGAGCAGCACTCAGCAGCTGTCATCTCTCACGTGTGCATGGTTCATGACTGTATCCGAGACTATAGCACACTGTTCCAACAGAAACTCAGACGCTGCAACTTCGTCACGCCAAAGAACTACCTGGACTTCATCAACACCTACTCAGCTCTGCTGGAGGAGAAAGACCAGGACATTCTGGGTACAACTCATAGACTGTATATAGACATATAGACTGTAAATAGACATAGCTAACCTGCTAGCCACCGTGTTCCAAACAGAAAGTGAGCATGGACGCGCTTCCTGCTCCATTGACATTGATAAATGACACCCTTCTCTGCATAACTGCTGCTGTCAGACTCGTCATATTGGTCTTAAAATGTTGGTATTAACCTTCTCTACATGATCCTGTTGTCTTTATTTCCTGTTGGTTTTATTTAATTTTATTTTGTCTGTAAATCAACATATTAACATTAATAACAGACAAATCACACTTTCATTAGCAACAGGTTTGATTGACAGCTAAACCAGTGGTGCAGGCAGGAAGAAGCGTTACCTTCAACAGCTTTGCTATGGATTGGCTCTTTCTTTGATACTCACGGTCAGGATTCCAGATATGGAACTTGGCTCCAAATGTACCACCCCTATTCCTGCTAGTCTCTGTGAGCTTAATTTTACTGAAGCTGAACATGATGTTGACATCTCCTCCTCACCCCTAACCTGTGACGGCTGCGTGATGTCACACTCACTTTATACAGTCTATGGTATGACATGGACAGAAATCATAAAATGAAAATTAATTAATTTTCATGACACTAGGATGTCAGAATGGCCCTGGCAACTTTTTACCCTCTATGACACCTTCCAAATGTTGCGTTGATAGAGCTTAAAGGTGCACTGTGTAAACTTTCTGCTGGTGGGTCCTGCCTCTTCTTGGAAATGTCTTTCCTTTTCAAGAATGTTCTGTAGTATGGCATTGAACTTGTCCATCACCATGGACACGTGACAACACCAGGTCAAGTTAAAACCAGAAGTTTAAAGTTACTTATATGGAGAAACTAGCCCGCTTATAGAAAGAATGCATGTTTTTCAGGGTAGTTTTTTTTTTTTTTTTGCAATGAAAATGTATCTCTAATTATGAGATAGATGAATTTAAAGCAGTGAAGCAGTAACATTTTGCACGTGTGGCGGACCCTCCACCTTTAAATGTATTAGTCTTTTTTTTTTTATTTGTTCAACCAAGATCTTACCTTGATATTCATAGTAATAAAAAGTAATGATGAAATAATCATATTAATATAATATAAGCAAATAAATGATGTGACGTTGTGACCCATGGTCACTATATTGCATCATTTATCATAAAACTGGTGTGTGACAGTGTGTAGAAAAAGTAAACAGAAGTATATGTTTGATGTGAGGTGCATGTCTGCCCCAGCCCAGTGCAAACGTTTGGATGGGGGTCTGGATAAGCTGAAGGAGGCCACGGAGCAGCTGGGGGAGCTGAATGTGAAGCTGGCTGAGCAGAGGGTGGTCCTGGCTGAAAAGTCTACAGCCTGTGAGGCTCTGCTGGACGATATTGCCTCCAACACCACTGGAGGTCAGTGTGGAACCAACATCTACAGAATACATGAGCTGTTTTATGTGTTTACTCATCACAAGCTTAAAGTTGTACAGTCCCTGACAAACGTCTTGTTGCTTGGGTACACGTTGACCTTAAGTGCCCCTCAAATATATGTCTCATCATTTTTTTTTTTTTTTTTTTTTTTTTTACAAGAATTTGCTCATTTCAATCCCAAAAGATTTTGAAATAAAGTTCTGGTGCCAAACGAAACTGCTGAAAAGCATTCTAACATTCACAGCTTGGTAAAGCCCACAGTTTTTGCAAAGACAAAAGTCGCCTTGTCACCTTGTCATATGATGCACCCGGTCCTAGATTACAGCCTCAGCTGTGATCAGTAAGTTAGTGGGTGTGTATAAAAAGAACCCCAGCACACCAGACCTTCACATCAGCTGCAGCTTGACCTCTGACAACATGCCGCTTTGGCTGAGACCAAAGCGTTAATTATCAAGAGGCTGAAGACCAGATCCACTGCTGAGGTGGCTGACACCTTCAATGTGTCTCAGCGTCAAGTACAAAGAATAAGAAAAAGATCTGAAGAGACTGGAGATGTTTTTGCAAGCCCAGTTCTGGCAGACCCCACAAAACAAGTGTTTGGGAGGAGAAGTTTGTAGTTTGTAGAATTCTGTCTCAAAATGGCCTCCATGATCAAATCACTGCCCAGAAACTAGCACTAAACAAAAGGCAATAAAAAAAAAGTGGCATTTGCCAAAGCCCACAGCCTGCTAAAAGGATGGACAGTGGAAAAGAGGCAGAAGGTGGATTTCTCAGATGAATCTTTGGTTGAATGATTTTGAATGATCACAGCCAACATAAATATTGCAGGAGACCTACTGGAGCCACATGGATCCAAGATTCACCCAGAAAACAGTTAAGTTTGGTGGCGGAAAAATCATGGTCTGAGGTTACATCCAGTATGGGGGTGTGCCAGAGATTTGCAGGGTGGAAGGCAATATCAATATCCTAAAATATCAAGAAGTATTAGCTTCCTCTTACATTCCCAACCATAAAAGGGGTCAAGTTCCTCAAGACAAAGAAGATCAAGGTGCTCCAGACTGGCCGGTTCAGTCACCAGACATGAACATCATTGAACATGTCTGGGGTAGAATGAAAGAGGAAGCATGGAAGATGAAACCAAAGAATCCTGATGAACTCTGGGAGGCATGTAAGACGCTTTCTTTGCTATTCCTGATGACTTCATCAACAAATTGTATGAATCATTGTTGAACCACATGGATGTGTCCTTCAAGCTCATGGAAGTCATACAAGATATTAAATATGGATCTCACAGCACCACTACTTAATTCACTGACGTTATGCAACATATTTTTGTATTTGAAGTAAATTATTTGTTCTCTTTGTTACTCTCTGTAGGTGACAAAACTTTTGTCCAATATCTGACATTTCTGTGTTAAATTAATTAAATAAAATTAAATGATCAATCGTTCTTCAATGAAGCAAATTTAGTTTGTATATTAAACATAATTTGGGAGGGTTTTAGCTTTCATATGAGTCGTTTCTAAAACCAATGGATTAATAAAAAGTCAGGTTATAAACTGTTGTTTCTACAAAATGGATAAGTGAAGACTTTTGTCAGGGACTGTATTATGAGTGAAAATGTCTGTTTTCACCTACCCCCTATCTCTGCTCACTTTTCTGTACTTTTGTTTGATTATTTAAATAATTCAAATTCCAGGTCATACATGTAGGGTTCAAAATAGCCCTTTATCAGTATTATTGTTTGAACAAAATGTAAAATTCAAACCAAGCCTGATCCATGTGGTTGAACTCCGGCTGCAGCGGAGGAAAAGAAGGTCCTGGCTGAGGAGAAGGCCAAGGAGATCGAGGGGCAGAACAAGGTGATCGCGGTGGAGAAACAGGAGGCCGAGAGCTCTTTGGCTGAGGCTCTGCCCGCTCTGGAGGCTGCACGCCATGCTCTGCAAGACCTGGAAAAGTCTGACGTCACAGAGATCAGGTCTGTATCAAGTGTCACACTAACTGTTCTTTGTTAGGCATATCTGTCTGCTACACAAAATGCCTAGTGCCGACAAATGTATGTTATGAAAAAAGTACTAAATGTTGTGTATAATTTGAGATGAAAACATGCTCTAAATCAGCTGATCATATTTCCTCTAAAGCATACAGTTATAGCCATTTTAAAGTAATGTTATGTTCACTGTGTAACTTTTATTGTAATAACGTCTCCATAGAGATAAGCAAGTGACCTAACCTCTACTAGAAAAGTTGCATAGTTCACATTTAAGTTGCAAACTTTTTTATGTGTTTATGTGTTTACTTTTTATGTGTAGTCATTGTACAGCCCTGGAAACCACTTTGGGAAACAGTGGTCTAGAGAGCACTGTTGTACAAATGCTACTGACATGTATAACTGTAAACTAACTGAAATGTGCCACACAAACAAAATGTGGTTGTGCTGTGCAGGTCTTTTGCAAAGCCGCCCAAACAGGTGCAGGTTGTGTGTGAATGCATCCTGGTGCTTCGTGGGTACAAAGAAATCAGCTGGCAATCCGCTAAAGGCATGATGTCTGAGGCCAACTTCCTCCGCTCACTCATGGAGATGGACTGTGATGCCATCAGCAACAGTCAGGTCTCCACTGTTAAAGGTAGGCTCATGCTCAGAGGGGTGCAATGTCCTATCCACTGTTAAAGGTTTGCCTGACCACCCAATCCCTTCTACATTCTGTTCTAAGACAGAAGGGCCTGGAATCGGACCATAGTGCATGAAAAACCTCTGTCCAAACTTGAGATGGTCCAACCACAGCTGCTAATTTGTATCACATGTATGCAGAAGACATCTCCTCATGAAAATTCCTGTAACATTCAGAACTAAATTTATCTGTTGTTTTACCTGAGATTAGCAATAGTTTGGTGCTTTGAATGTTGATTCTGAGAAAATCCATACTTTTTTTCAGTCCTTTTTTTCTCTCTCAGTTTTTTCTCCTTTTTTTATGTGTAAGCAGCTGTGTTAGTTTTTGACTCAAAGCATGCAACTCTGATTGATTAATCCACCTGTAAATCATGCCCTCTGAAATCAGGGAGACATGATTCACTTATCTCTATGGAGATATATACGTTTTATGCCATACTGTGGAAAAAATAACCTCTTAATGTGGACAAGGTTTCAGACCCCCCACCTCTGAACACTGTACAACTCTAAAAGTAGGGCGCTGTCAAAGGCAGGGATTGTTGTTAAAGGTAAAGCTCACTGTATATGTTGTGTATCTGTGCACAGGCTTTCTAAAAAACCTAAAAACCAGCTTTGAAGAAATGCAAGCCATCAGTAAAGCCGGCTCTGGGATGCTCAAGTTTGTGGAAGCCATCATTGGCTATTGTGACGTGGCCAGAACCATCAAACCCAAGAGGGAGAAGGTCAGTAGAACAGTCGTGCAGTAAAATCCTGTCTAACACACACAGGCATGACACCAGGTATCTCATGTCCCTATAGGTAGCGCGTTTGGAGAAGAACTTTTACCAGAGTAAGCGTGAGCTGGAGCATATCCAGAAGGAGCTGAGTGCCATCCAGACAGAGCTGCAGGCACTCAGGGACAAGTACCAGGCGGCCATCGAGGAGAAGCAGCTACTGCAGGAGGAGGCAGAGCTCATGGAGAGGAGGCTCATTGCAGCAGATAAGCTCATCTCTGGCCTCAGCTCAGAGAACCACAGGTCAGAGCGCCCTCTGCTGCCCCAAAGTGGAATCTGTTTTTCTAACTCAGCACTAAGAAGCTCCACCGTCCTGTCCACTACGAAGTTAGTTCTGGTTCTGGAAGTACATTTTATATTCATTTTTCCCATAGACTTTTTGAATAACAAAGGTCTGATATTAAGCTATTTACTGATTAATCTATTTTTCTGTTAATGTACACTGCTCAAAAAAGGCAATGTCCAGGAATGTCTTAGGAACAAATGGATGCTGCGTCTTTTAATGGAAATAAAATGTTCAGCCTACAGAGGGCTTCATTTTATAGACACCCTGAACAAAGTGAAATAATGATGTGGCAGGCTAGTCCATTTTTCCAAAATTTTATTTCTGCACTTCAGAATGCTTCTCAGTATCTTGTGTGGCTCCAGCATACTTGTTTGCATGTTTGACAATGTCATGGTATGCTCCTAATGAGACAACGGATGGTGTCTTGTGGAATGTCCTCTCAGATCTGTGTAAGGGCATCAGTGAGGTCCTCTAGAGTCTGAGGAGCAACTTGGAGACATCTGATGGACCCAAACATAATGCCCCAGGTGTTCTAGATTGAGGAAGTATTTCTTCCAGTGCCCAACGACATCCCCAGTCGAGATCAATAGATCTCCACCCGCACTGTAAACAGTGTTGGAGAAGCACTGCTTCCCCCTCCTGAGGCATCGGACGGTTGGCCAGAATTTTTCAAGGCCTACCCATGGCCTCTCCGAACTCCTCCCAGCCCCAAGTTTTTGCCTCTGCAACTTTACAGGCTCCAGCACACTTGACTTGTTGGTAACTGTCAGCTGCCTCAGGAGTCCCACAAGCCAACAAGCTCTGACAGGACTCAATATTCAGTCGGACGGCATCCCTTATATCCAGCATCCATCACCTCGTTCGGGAATTGTGAGGGTCTCCTCAATTCCACTGTCATGTGTTCCAAATGCAGGGGAATCACACTCCTCAGTCTCCCTGGGAATATCTATTCCAGGGTACTGGAGAGGAGAATCCAACCAATAGTCAAACCTCGGATCCAGGAGGAGCAGTGTGGTTTTTGTCCTGGTGATGGAACACTGGACCAGCTCTACACTCTCCATCTGGTGCTCCAGGATTCATGGGAGTTTGCCCAACCAGTCCAAATGTGCTTTGTGGATTTGGAGAAGGCTTTCAACCTTGTCCCTCATGGTGACCTGTGGGGAGTGCTCCAGGAGTATGGGGTCCGGGGCCCGTTGCTAAGGGCTGTCCGGTCCCTGTATGACCAGAGCAAGAGCTGTGTTTGCATTGCTGGCAGTAAGTCAGATCTGGGGGAGTCCAACATTTCACCGGTTCTGTTCATTGCACAGAATTTCTAGGCACAGTCAGGGTCTGAAGGGGGTCCGGTTCGGTTGGTTTGCAGCCAAGTGTGAAGCAGCTGGGTTGAAGATCAACTCCTCCAAATCCAAGACCATGGTTCTCGATCAGAAAAAGGTGTCTTATCCTCTCCAGGTGGGTGGAGAGTCCTTGCATCAAGTGGAGGAGTTCAAGTATCTCGGGGTCTTGTTCACGAGTGACTGGAGGATGGAGCGTGAGATTGACAGGCGGATCGGTGCAGCGTCTGCAGTGATGTGGTCGCTGTATTGGACCGTTGTAGTGAAGAGGAAGCTGAGCCAAAAGGCAAAGCTCAGTCAATCTACGTTTCTCCCCTCACCTATGGTCATGAGCTCTGGGTAATGACTGAAAGGACGAGATCATGGATACAAGCAGTCAAAATGAGTTTCCTCTGCAAGATGGCTGGGCGCTCCCTTAGAGATAGGGTGAGGAGCTCGGCCACACGGGAGGTGAACGTTGAGGGGAACAGCTGAGGGGAGGGCATCTTTCCTATTGGACGCTTCCTTGGGGAGGTGATCCAGGCATGTCCCACCAGGAGGAGGCCCCAGGGAAGACCCAGGACGCGCTCGAGGGACTATGTGTCTTGATTGCCCTGGGAACACCTTGAAGTCCCCCTGAGGAGCTGGAGCAAGTGTGTGTGGAGAGGAAAGTTTCTGCCCCTGCAACCCAGACTGGATAAAGCGGAAGAAAATGGATAGATGGATGTTTTATTGGGTTCAAGTCAGGTGATTGTGAGGGCCATTCAATTGTCTCAGTTCCTTCCACCTACAGGTACTGCCTGCATTGACTGTGCATTGTTGTGCATCAAGCCACCCTCATGAAGTCTGTTTCTGATTGTTTGGGCAGAGACATTCACACCAGTGTCCTGTTGGAGGTCATTCTCAAGGGTATGGGCAGTGCTCAGCCTGTTCCTCCTGAACAAAGGAGCAGATATGGGTCCTGCTGATGGGTTGAGGACTTTCTAGGTCCAGCTCTTCTAAAGTAACTGCCTGTCTGGAGATGGTGCCGGAAGACAAGCCAAAGCAGCACTAGTGGAAAACCAGCCACAAAAGACCAAGAGGAAGAAACTTGACATGACCTCCACATGCATCTTTTACTTTTTTCACATTGAGATCTTATGTGTTTTCAAAGTGTTGCTTAAATTTTTGTGAGCAGTATTGTTTCATCACAAACATACCTGGAGTTTAACACACTCTTCTCAAACAAAAAACGTTCTGTTTCACCCTGTGATGTCATGTCGTGATAAAGGAAATGCTCCACTGTGTTCTTAAATGCCTTCATTTGATTCATTTGGATGATTTCAGCCCTGGAATTGCCAATATCTACTGATTTAAAGGTAAAAGGACCTGGTAACTTGAAAACTACCATTCATGACATCACAAGTTGGAAAGGCTAACGAGCTACATGCTGACTAATATCCAGAACATGGTTTGATTTTTAAAATGCACAATTAAACTTTATTAAGTTTCATTTGCAAACTTTAAATAAAGTCTTTTGGAAAAGGAAATACACTTCCAGAACCAAGTGGGAGCAGGCTCATACTGTTACCAAGTGTTAAAGGGGCTTATTACTCAAAGTCCACTTGTATAAGTTTGTGTTTCACGTCATTATTCAGGCATGTTTTAGTATGATACTGTAATGCATGAGTGCTCAGATTTGCACCCCTGTCTGTCCTCTCCTTCTCTGTCCTCTCCCCCTCTGACCTCTTCTCTTCTGTCCTCCTCTCCTCCCCCTCTGTCCTCTCTCCCTCTTTGTCCTCTCCTCTCCTCCTCTGCCCTCTCCTCCCCTTCTGTCCTCACTCTCTCTTTGTCCTCTCCCCTCCTCCTATATTTTCTCTTCCCCTTCTGTCTTCTCTCCTTGTCTGTCCTCTCCTCCTATGTTCACTCCTCGTCTGTCCTCTCCTCCCCCTCTGTCCTCACCTTCTTTCTGTCCTCTCCTCCCCCTCTGTCCTCACCTTCTTTCTGTCCTCTCCTCCTCTGCCCTCTCCTCCCCCTCTGTCTTCTCTCCCTCTCTGTCCTCTCTCCCCCTCTGTCTCCTCCTCCTCCGTCCTCTCTCCCCCTCTGTCTCCTCCTCCTCCGTCCTCTCTCCCCCTCTGTCTCCTCCTCCTCCGTCCTCTCTCCCCCTCTGTCTCCTCCTCCTCCGTCCTTTCTCCCCCTCTGTCTTCTCCTCCTTTGTCCTCTCTCCTTCTCTGTCCTCTCCTCCTGTTTTCTCCTCCCCTCTGTCCTCTCCTCCCTCTCTGTCCTCTCTCTTCTTCTGTCCTCTCCTCCCCCTCTGTCCTCTTTCTTCTTCTGTTCTCTCCTGCCCCTCTGTCCTCTCTCCCTCTCTGTCCTCTCCTCCTCTGTTCTCTCCTCATCTGTCCTCTGTCCCTTGCTGTCCTCAGATGGACACAGGATCTTGAGCAGCTGAGGCAGAGGCGTGTGCGTCTGTTGGGGGACTGCCTCCTCTCGGCTGCCTTTCTGAGCTACGAGGGGGCTTTCAGCTGGGACTTCCGAGACGATATGGTCTACCAGAGATGGGTGGAGGACATTCAACAGAGAGGCATCCCTCTGAGCCAGCCTTTCAAAGTGGAGCTTCTGCTGACCGACGAGGTGGAGATCAGCCGGTGAGGGATCAAAACCCCAACCCCAATTTAGAACCCTGCAACTATTACAAGTACTTATGACCAAACAGCTTGTTTCTATTTGCAGTCTGAAATATCGCGGAATATATGATACAGTGCAATTACATTCAGTCAGTGATGCGAACAGTTAATACTGTCCACACACACTCTCACAAATATCACACTGACAAAGAAAAGCATTAGCTATTTACAAAAATTGCGAATTTCATCTAATAAAATACATTTTAAAATTGCACTGTGTAACCTTTTGGTTAGTGGTCCATCACCTGCTCGTTTCTATGGATATGTCATTGATCTGCTTTGAATGTTCCACAGTATGATATTAAACAGCTCTACCTTACATTTATTCAATTACTGATGGTTTTACTATTCAAAAATACCATGCCATACTGTGAAACATTCCAGACAAAGTAATAACATCATGAAGAAAAGCTTTTGATGGAGCCTCCACCAGAAAAAAGTACACAATGCACCTTTAAATATTACAAAATGCAATATACCAGTATTACACACATTACACACTCATGATCAGTGCTGGCAAGTTTGGTTATTTCATAACCACTTTTTAACATCCACTGAAAATCTTGCTTAATTTTTTTGACTTTTTAGTTCCAGTGGGAATTTCACTCCTTTATTGCATTATAAGAGAAGGGTGTTTGTGCAAAATTAGTTTTAGGTTTTGGTATGGTACATTGCCCCCTGGTGGAGTCACGTGTGGCTCTAGCTGTCACTACAGATGTGGACTGAACAAAGTGCTGCAGGTGTTGCAGATGCCGAGTTATTCAGGATTCTATATACCAGTTCACCTGAGACTAGTCTTTGAATATTATCACAGTTGAAGAGTCTATATTTATCATCAACACGAAATCCTAAATGCAGGGACAATGTATGTACAAGGAAGGCAGATTCTGTCAGATTAAAGCTTTCCAAAAAATAAAATAAAATAATAAAATAATAAAAATAAAAGTGTTGTCATTTATTTATTAGTTTAATAGTGCTATTTGTGTAATTTAGACAAATTTTGGCCATTGTTTTGGTTGCTAGTTAAAGGTTATGGAATTACTTACATACTACATATATACATATATACATATACTACATATGTCACATCTGCTGCCCGTGTTCAACCAAGAAGTAAAATTATAAGTGTCACCAGAATATAAAAACTAGAAAACACTAGCCATGATTTTTATTCACATGCACTTTATCATATCTGCTTACTTCAAAGGGCCCATATTACTCTATTTGTTTGTTTGTTTGATTATTTATTTATTTATTTATTTAATGAGACATGGACAATCTACATTAGCCTTAACAGGAGAGATGCATTGTACCAGGTTGTAACACCAGTGCTAATTTCCACCTGTTGTCCCTGGTCCCTGAGAGTCCCTGGTCCCTGAGAGTCCCTGGTCCCTGAGAGTCCCTGGTCCCTGAGAGTCCCTGGTCCCTGAGAGTCCCTCATCAGAAACATATCCAGATCTCAGATAATCGTTTAACTTTAATATTGTTCTGTATTTTTTTAGCATTTTTACTGATGTATTGTCTTGTAAACACTTACCTATATAGCAGGTACAGGTTTTAAATGTGCTTTATAAATGTTTATAAATGTTAGATTGACTTTGACATTGCTAATATATAATACAAGATATTAATCAACAAAGCATATCAGGATACTTTGTAATATTGATGATGTGTTGTGTTGTCACAGATGGGGCTCTGAAGGCCTCCCTCCAGATGAACTTTCTGTGCAGAATGGAATCCTCACCACCCGAGGAAGCCGTTTCCCCATGTGCATTGACCCGCAGCAGCAGGCCCTCAACTGGATCAAGAAGAAGGAGGAGAACAACAACCTGAAGGTGTTGGCTCACTACTGCTCATCACATTTGTCAGAAGAATCATGCTAACATTCAGTTGTCTCTTTTCAGATCTCCTCTTTCAATGACCCAGACTTCCTGAAGCACTTGGAGACGGCCATCAAGTTTGGCTACCCGTTCCTCTTCCAGGATGTGGATGAGTACATTGACCCGGTGATTGACAATGTGCTGGAGAAGAATGTGAAGGGCACTGAAGGCCGGCAAGTCATCATGCTTGGGGACAAAGAAGTGGACTATGACCCCAACTTCAGACTCTACCTCAGCACCAAGCTGGCCAACCCCAAGTACTCCCCGTCCGTGTTCAGCAAAGCCATGGTCATCAACTACACTGGTATATTTCCACCTCAGAAAAGTGTAGTGCTCTATACTATGAGCCTGATTCTGAGAGATATCACTAAAACGGGGCACAGTTCAGTTTATTTCTTTTTGATTATTAACACAAGAGCAGTTACCTCATAGGGCTTCATAAAATTGATTAAACCAAGAAAAACTGTTAGAAAATGTAACAGTAATTAAAACATTGGTCAGTAATTGACAAACAAATTCACCAACACAAGAGTCAAAATCATAAAAGACTCATCTTAAAACTGTAATATATTTTGGCAATAATGGTATACTTTGCAGAGTTTCCATGTTTCTCTCTGTGTATGGGTGGATTTCTTCCAGGCACACCCTCATCAACCCAAAAGATGCACAATAGGTACAATCCTCCAGGTAGTTCTAACCAAGACTAGCTCTGTGCTGCGACGCTCACTGTTCCTGAAGAGATGCCCAAGCAGACATTTCCCTACAGGGACAATAAAGTTGATCTTACCTTACCTTAAAAGTAATACTATTGGCAGTCCACACCACCACAGCTGTTCTAAGGCTGTGCAATTGAGATTCAAGGAGTTGTGACTTTGAAGAAACACACCACTGGAAACAGGACTGACCATACAGTGGAGCAAAAAAGTATTTAGCAGTTACAGAAAGGGCCCGTTTTCCCACTTTAAAAGATGAGAGAGGTCTGTAATTGTCGTCACTGATGCACTTCAACTGTGAGAGACAGAATGTGAAAAAAAAAACAGGACATCAAATTGTGTGATTTTAAAAGAATTTATTTGTATAATGGGGGAAAATGAGTATTTAGCACTAATAGAAATTCACCTCAATACTTTTTCATGTAACCTTGGTTGGCAATGACAGAGGTCAAACGTCTCCTGTAGGTCTTCACCAGGTTTGTACACACTGTAGTAGGTATTTTGGCCCATTCTTCCATGCAGATCTTCTCTAGATCTGTGATGCTTTGGGGCTGTCACTTGGCAACACGGACCTTCAACTCCCTCCACAGATTTTCTATTGGATTCAGGTCTGGAGAAGGAAGTTGAAATGGTTCTTATGGAGCCACTGCTTGGTTGCCCAGGCAGTGTGTTTGGAATCATTGTCATGCTGGATGATCCAGCTATGTTTTATCTTCAGTTCTCTTAGTGATGGAAGGAGGTTTTTGCTCATTTCACGATACGATCATCCTCTTCTCAACATGTATCAGTCGTCCTGTTCCCTTTGCAGAAAAACAGCCCCAAAACATGATGTTTCCACCCCCATGCGTCACAGTGGGTATGGTGTTCTTGGGCTGCAACTCTGCATTCTTCTCCCTCCCAACATCTCCATGTTGGGAGTGGCATTTATACCAAAAAGTCTTATTTTGGTCTCATCTGACCACATGACATTCTCCCAGTCCTCCTCTGGCTCATCCAGATGGTCCCTGGCAAACTTTAGATGGGCCTGGACATGTGCCGGCTTAAGCCAGGGAACCTTTCGAGCACTGCGAGATTTTAATCCATGACGACATAAGAGGTTAGTAAAAGTAACCTTTGTGACTGTAGGTCCCAGCTCTTTTGAGGGCATTGACCAGTTCCCCCTGTGTAGTTCTGGGATGATTCCTCACCGTTCTCAAAACCATTTGTACTCCACGAGGTGAGATTTTGCAGGGAGTCCCAGGCCAAGGGAGACTGTCAGTGATGTTATATTTTTTCCATTTTCTAATAATTGCTCTAACAGTTGATGTCTTCTCACCGAGCTGCTGGGCTATTGTACATTGGCTCATCCCAGCCTCGTGCAGGTATACAGTTTTGTTTGTGATGTCCTTAGACAGCTCTCTGCTCTTCATCATTGTGGATTTGGCAGTCTAAGTGTTTGAGGGTGTGAACAGGTGTCTTTTATACAGATAATCAGTTCAAACTGGTGCAGTTAACACAGGTAACGAGTGGAGGATAGATGAACTTCTTAAAGAAGAAGTAACAGGTCTGTGTCATTTTCCCCCCATTATACAAATAAGTTCTTTAAATTTTTTTAAATTTGATTTCCTGGATTTTTTTTCACAATCTGTCTCACAGTTGAAGTGTATCAATGATGAAAATTACAGACCTCTCTCATCTTTTTCAGTGGGAAAACGGGCCCTTTTTATAACTGTTAAAAATGTTTTTGTCTCACAGTATCTGTTCTCATTACTGACATTAATTCTAACTTCCATATTGTGTGCAGTGACCCTTAAAGGCCTAGAGGACCAGCTGCTCAGTGTCATCATGGCCTATGAGAAGAAGGAGCTGGAGGAGCAGAGGGAATTTCTGATCCAAGAGACCAGCGACAACAAGAAGCTGCTGAAGAACCTGGGAGACTCCCTACTGCGCGAGCTGGCCACCTCCACAGGAAACATGCTCGACAACACCGAACTAGTGCACACGCTGGAGGAGACCAAGTCCAAAGCCCGAGAGGTGTGCGGCACGCAAACCCTCACCCTTACATCCAAATCTAAACCACCACACCCTCCCATCACGTTACACCCAAACCACCACACCCTCCCATCACGTTACACCCAAACCACCACACCCTCCCATCACGTTACACCCAAACCACCACACCTTACCATCACCTTACACCCAAACCACCACACCCTACCATCACCTTACACCCAAACCACCACACCCTACCATCACCTTACACCCAAACCACCACACCCTACCTTACACCCAAACCACCACACCTTACCACCACCACTACACCCAAACCACCACCCCTACCACACCCCCACCACACCCTACCATCACCTTACACCCAAACCACCACACCCTACCATCACCTTACACCCAAACCACCACACCCTACCTTACACCCAAACCACCACACCTTACCACCACCACTACACCCAAACCACCACACCCTACCATCACCTTACACCCAAACCACCACACCCTACCATCACCTTACACCCAAACCACCACACCCTACCATCACCCCTACACCCAAACCACCACACCCCCTACATCCAAACCACCACACCCTACCACCACCCCTACACCCAAACCACCACACCCTATCCTCATCCCTACACCCAAACCACCACACCCACACTCTACCCATCACCCCTTTACCTAAAACACCTCATCCAGATTAGTGTCATTAATGTTACACAAGCATTTTGAATAAGTTGGCTTGTTCCAGCTCAAATGAATGCCCCCCACCCCCTCAAGCCTCACCCCATCACTCCAGCTTTGGGCTGTGTGCTGCAGGTGTCAGAAAAGCTGACTCTGGCCCAGAAGACATCAGTGGACATAGACGAGTTGAGGGATGGATACAGGCCTGCAGCTAAGCGAGGGGCCATCCTCTTCTTTGTGCTGACCGAGATGGCTCTGGTCAACAGTATGTACCAGTACTCTCTGGCCTCATACCTGGAGGTCTTTGACTACTCCCTCCGCAAGTCCCTGCCTGGTGCAACCCTATCCGAGAGGCTCAAGAACATCATGAACGCCCTGACTTACAATGTCTACAACTATGGATGCACAGGTACTCACTGTGGAGCAGGCAGACAGGCCCTCCTCTGGGTCCGATGCAGTGAGGACATTACTTGAAATGCTCCACACCAACTTTTTTTCTGAGAACTACTGACCAGACTTACTGACTGAAAATATTGGGTAAAATTATAACAAGCAGTACAAGAGAGCAGAGGACAGAAGAGGACAGTAGAGGACAGTAATAGACTGTAGAGAACAGTAGTAGACAGTAGTAAACAGTAGAGAACAGTAGTAAACAGTGGAGAACAGTAGTAAACAGTGGAGAACAGTAGTAAACAGTGGAGAACAGTAGTAAACAGTAGAGAACAGTAGTAAACAGTAGTAAACAGTAGAGAACAGTAGAAAACAGTAAGTAGAGAACAGTCGTAGACAGTAGAGAACAGTAGTAGACACTAGAGAACAGTAGTAAACGGTAGAGAACAGTAAGTAGACAATAGTAGACAAGAGAGTTGAGGACAGAAGAGGACAGTAGAGGACAGTAATAGACTGTAGAGAACAGTAGTAGACAGTAGTAGACAGTGGAGAACAGTAGTAAACAATAGAGAACAGTAGTAAACAGTAGAGAACAGTAGTAAACAGTGGAGAACAGTAGTAAACAGTGGAGAACAGTAGTAAACAGTAGTAGACAGTAGTAGACAGTATAGAACAGTAGTAGACAGTAGAGAACAGTAGTAAACAATAGAGGACAGTAGTAAACAGTAGAGAACAGTAAGTAGAGAACAGTAGTAAACAATAGAGGACAGTAGTAAACAGTAGAGAACAGTAGTAAACAGTGGAGAACAGTAGTAAACAGTAGAAGACAGTAGTAAACAGTGGAGAACAGTAGTAAACAGTGGAGAACAGTAGTAAACGGTAGAGAACAGTAAGTAGAAGACAGTAGTAAACGGTAGAGAACAGTAGAGAACAGTAGTAAATGGTAGAGAACAGTAAGTAGAGAACAGTAGTAAACAGTAGAGAACAGTAGTAAACGGTAGAGAACAGTAAGTAGAGAACAGTAGTAAACAATAGAGGACAGTAGTAAACAGTAGAGAACAGTAGTAAACAGTAGAGGACAGTAGTAAAACAGTAGTAAAACAGTAGAGAACAGTAAGTAGAGAACAGTAGTAGACAGTAGAGAACAGTAGTAAACAGTGGAGAACAGTAGTAAACGGTAGAGAACAGTCGTAGACAGTAGAGAACAGTAGTAAACGGTAGAGAACAGTCGTAGACAGTAGAGAACAGTAGTAAACGGTAGAGAACAGTCGTAGACAGTAGAGAACAGTAGTAAACGGTAGAGAACAGTAAGTAGAGAACAGTCGTAGACAGTAGAGAACAGTAGTAGACACTAGAGAACAGTAGTAAATGGTAGAGAACAGTAAGTAGAGAACAGTAGTAAACCGTAGAGAACAGTAAGTAGAGAACAGTAGTAAACAGTAGAGAACAGTAGTAAACGGTAGAGAACAGTAGTAAACGGTAGAGAACAGTAAGTAGAGAACAGTAGTAGACAGTAGAGAACAGTAGTAAACGGTAGAGAACAGTAGTAAACAGTAGAGAACAGTAAGTAGAGAACAGTAGTAGACAGTAGAGAACAGTAATAGACAGTAGAGAACAGTAGTAGACAGTAGTAGACAATGGAGAACAGTAGTAAACAGCAGAGGACAGTAGTACACAGTAGAGAACAGTAGTAAACAGTAGAGAACAGTAAGTAGAGAACAGTAGTAGACAGTAGTAGACAATGGAGAACAGTAGTAAACAGCAGAGGACAGTAGTACACAGTAGAGGACAGTAGTACACAGTAGTAGAAAGTAGTGGACAATAGAGGCTGGTAGTGGTCCACCTTGTGTGATTATGACAAGGCAGATCTATGTGTGCAGGTCTCTTTGAGAAGGACAAGCTGCTGTTCTCCTTTAACATGACCATAAAGATGGAGCAGGCTGAGGAGCGTGCACCTCAGGAGGAGCTGCACTTCTTCATTAAAGGTCTGACATTCTCCTGCTAGTTTGGTGTGGATGTGTGAGCTGTGAGCTCATGTTCCTCTACTCCTCTGCCCCTGAAGGGAACCTGTCTCTAGAGAAAAGCTGCAGGAAGAAGCCGTGGGATTGGCTGACGGACCAGAGCTGGGAGGATGTGGTGAAACTGTCTGAGCTGTTACCAGAACAGTTCAGCAGTCTCCCTGATAATGTGGAGACACACTCTGAGGACTGGAGGACCGTAAGAGCACTCACACCCCTGCACACCTCTACCTATCTCTGCACACCTCTGCAGCACTCTGCACCCTTCTACACACCGCACACCTCTGCACACCTTTACATATCTCTGCACACCTCTGCAGCACTCTGCACCCTTCTACACACTGCACACCTCTGCACACCTTTACACATCTCTGCACACCTCTGCACACCTCTGCATACTTCTACACACTGCACATCTCTACACACTGCACACCTCTACACACTGCACATCTCTGCACACCTCTGCACATCTCTACACACTGCACACCTCTACACACTGCACATCTCTGCACACCTCTGCACATCTCTACACACTGCACACCTCTACACACTGCACATTTCTGCACACCTCTGCACATCTCTACACACTGCACATCTCTACACACTGCACATCTCTGCACACCTCTGCACATCTCTACACACTGCACATTTCTGCACACCTCTGCACATCTCTACACACTGCACATCTCTACACACTGCACATCTCTGCACACCTCTGCACATCTCTACACACTGCACATCTCTACACACTGCACACCTCTACACACTACAAAAATCATGAGATTTTATCCAACTGAGAAGTACAGCACGTGCAGCTCATAGGACACAAGTAAGGGACTATTAGATTTTGTGAAATGAACTGTTTATTTTTCTCGTATCCTTGGAGACCAAGCAAGAGGCAAGCTAAGGACTAGCTAAAAAGCAGGTTTTTCTCATATATATACATGTATGTATGTGTATGTATATATATATATATATATATATATATTATTTTATTTTTTTTATTTTTTTTTCTCACAACCAGCCCCAATAACACAACGTAACACACCGCTCACTGCAAGCCCCAACAACGTCAACAGAACTACAATATGAGGCTACGGTCACAATATGAACACACGACATCAGCGCTGCTCCTACAGTATAGGGCAGAACAACCGGAGCAGCTCCAACACACCCACGAGATTGTTTACACACTATTTAACTATTAACACTATAAAACTATTTAACTATTAACACTATTTAACTATTTAACTATTAACACTATTTAACTATTAACACTATTTAACTATTAACACTATTTAACTATTTAACTAGTAACACTATTTAACTATTAACACTATAACACTATTAACTATTAACACTATTAACTATTAACACTATAACACTATTAACTATTAACACTATTTAACTATTAACACTATTAACACTATTTAACTATTAACACTATTTAAACTATTAACACTATAAAACACTATTTAACTATTAACACTATTAACTATTAACACTATAACACTATTTAACTATTAACACTATAACACTATTAACTATTAACTACTATTTAACTATTAACACTATAAAACTATTTAACTATTAACACTATTTAACTATTTAACTATTAACACTATTTAACTATTAACACTATTTAACTATTAACACTATTTAACTATTTAACTATTTAACTATTAACACTATAACACTATTTAACTATTAACACTATAAAACTATTTAACTATTAACACTATTTAACTATTAACTATTAACACTATAACACTATTTAACTATTAACACTATAAAACTATTTAACTATTAACACTATTTAACTATTTAACTATTAACACTATTTAACTATTAACACTATTTAACTATTAACACTATTTAACACTATTTAACTATTAACACTATTTAACTATTAACACTATAACACTATTTAACTATTAACACTATAAAACTATTTAACTATTAACACTATAACACTATTTAACTATTAACACTATAAAACTATTTAACTATTAACACTATTTAACTATTTAACTATTAACACTATTTAACTATTAACACTATTTAACTATTAACACCACTATTTAACTATTAACACTATAACACTATTTAACTATTAACACTATTTAACTATTAACACTATTTAACTATTAACTATTAACACTATTAACTATTAACACTATTAACTATTAACACTATTTAACTATTAACTATTTAACTATTAACACTATTTAACTATTAACACTATTTAACTATTTAACTATTAACACTATTTAACTATTAACACTATAACACTATTTAACTATTAACACTATTTAACTATTAACACTATAACACTATTTAACTATTAACACTATTTAACTATTAACACTATAACACTATTTAACTATTAACACTATTTAACTATTAACACTATAACACTATTTAACTATTAACACTATTAACTATTAACACTATTAAACTATTAACACTATTAACTACTATAACACTATTTAACTATTAACACTATATTAACACTATAACACTATTTAACTATTAACACTATTTAACTATTAACACTATAACACTATTTAACTATTAACACTATTTAACTATTAACACTATTTAACTATTAACACTATTTAACTATTAACACTATAACACTATTTAACTATTAACACTATTTAACTATTAACACTATTTAACTATTAACACTATAACACTATTTAACTATTAACACTATTTAACTATTAACACTATAACACTATTTAACTATTAACACTATAACTATTTAAATGCCCTGGGTCCTGGCGGCAGGTCTGTGTCAGTGTCTGGTGAGCGGTGTCTCTCCCTCGTGTGTGTCTCCTGTGTGAAGGTTTAGGCGACAGAAGCTAGCCACCACGTGCCAGTGTGTGAATCAAAATAAAAGCAGTAGGATATCACCATCACCAATGCACCCATTTCAGCTTGATGCTTCTTTTCTTGCTTGGCGGAAGGGTCCTGCTGAAGAGAAGACATAATTACTCCCTAAAAATTGTTCCTTGGACACATTTTGACTTGAACTTGAATTCACCATAACTGTACAGCACACAGTTCTGTTATTATTCATTCATTAGCCTATAGTAGTAATGTTTATGAAGACCTATCACTTGATTTAATTTTACCCACACCTTGTGCCCCAAGACATACTCCAGGGCTGTAAGTAATTGGCAGAAAAAACTTACTCATATCAGATTTTCTCAAAAACTCAGTGACCTTCAGTGAGTTCGCTCCAACTCAGCAAACTCAAAGGCCAAACACATGAACCAAATAAAGTGATATGAGTACATTTAATGATAAAAATATGTCTATGCAGATACACATTCAATTTGAAACAAAATATTAAACATATAGCCTAATACAAAATAACAACTTTATACATTTTTTATCAAGGTCAAGTAGGGCGTGCAGTGCACTTGCGCCCTCTATTGAACAGCCACCACTGCTCTGTACACCTCTGCACCCTTTTGCAGATTACACACCTCTGCACATTCTGCACATTGTGCACACCAGTATTGTCACAATACCAAAATTTCAAGTTTGATTTTGATACTAAGGAATGCACTTGATACAGCATTAATTCACAGTACTTATAAGTCACATGTGGCTTTATATGTGTGTAATCCCTCAGTGGTTCAGGTAGGTTCCATAGTGGTCCAGAGCTGTATACTATCCTGTGTGCTCTGATACTGCCTGCCCTTCTACACACCTCTACACACCTGTGCCACTGCAGACCTCTTCACGCCTGTGCACCCTGCATACCTGTGTATGTTTCAGTGGTACGACCTGGATGCTCCAGAACAGGCGACGTTCCCTGGGAGGTACCAGGAGAGTCTGAGCATGTTCCAGAGGCTACTCCTTCTGCGCTGCTTCAGGGTGGACAGAGTCTACAGAGCAGTGACCAACTATGTCACTGTCACTGTGGGCGAGAGGTAAGACCAGCAGGTCACTACAGTGCAAATGACAGGTTACGAATGCAGATGAATCATTTCAGTAACACTAGGTTAATACAATTAAATTCAAGAATTTACTGAAGATTATAGCTATATAGAGATACCACAATTAGAATAAAAACACCTTCTCTAGACAATTGAATGTTATTTTCAACATTAAATTATAGTACTTTCTCTTATATTACCATCTGACCTTATGTCTGTGTAATCCCAGTGGTCCAGGTAAATTCCATAGTGGTCCATGGGCATATACTAGTCTATATTATTTTTGTTCTGATACAGCCCAGGATCATTCTAAAGCTGTTCAGGAAAGGTTCAGTTCTGTCCTGTGAATGGGACTTTTTAGTATCCATACCTGCTCAGGGGCCTCATTTATAAAGCTCACTTACACACAACTCTCTCTCTATTCTCTCTTTATGCCAACCTGCGGGATTTATGAAACTCATCCTAAGCACTGCACTTTGTTTAACTCTATGCCAACTCAGGACCTCCTGTAAGTGCTTGAATGTTTTGTGTGGACTTTTATTGGCAGAATAACTGCACCTGATCTGTATCTTATATGTTACGTATTAAATCTGTGTCCACGTATCCTTGTATCCCTCCCTCGCTTTTTTCGCTCTCCAGAGGAGGGCATCTGAATCTCTCGCACGCGTTCAATTTGTCCATTCAGACCCCCACGTGCACGCTTCTACTAGTATAAGAGCATACACAGGGCCAGTCCCCACACACATCATAGGCAGACTTAAAAATGTAGCGATAAAACCCTTGAAACAGCAAGAAAACACACTGACTTTACTGCAAAGTTGTGCTGCCTAAATATTATGAAATATTATTAAATTAACAGATGAGTCGTTATTGTATTCCTTCCATGTAAGGAAGCTGAGATTGGGGACTCGGAGGTGGACTTGTCCATCACTCTGGCTGAAGTCACTGAGGTGGTTGGCAAGCTCCTTAGTGGCAAAGCTCCGGGGGTGGATGAGATATGTCCTGAGTATCTTAAGTCTCTGGATGTTGTGGGGCTGTCTTGGCTGACACGCCTCTTCAACATTGCGTGACAGTACCTCTGGACTGGCAGATCAGGGTAGTTGTCCCTCTGTATAAGAAGGGGGACTGGAGGGTGTGTTCCAATTACAGGGGAATCACACTCCTCAGCCTCCCGGTAAGGTCTATACCAGGGTACTGGAGAGGAGAATATGGTCGATAGTGAACCTCAGAACCAGGAGGAGCAGTGTGGTTTTCGTCCAGGGAGTGGAACATTAGACCAGCTCTACACGCTCCATCGGGTGCTCGAGGGTTCATGGGAGTTTGCCCAACCAGTCCACATGTGCTTTGTGGATCTGGAGAAGGCATTCGACCGTGTCCCTCGTGGTGTCCTGTGGGGGGCACTCTGGGAGTATGGAGTCCGGGGCCCTTTGTTAAGGGCTGTCCGGACCCTGTACGACCGGACAGCTGTGTTCATTGCCGGCAGTAAGTCAGACCTGTTCCCGGTGCATGTTGGACTCTGCCAGGGCTGCCCTTTGTCATGGTTCTGTTCATTGTGTTTATGGACAGTATTTCTAGGGGCAGTCAGGGGCCGGAGGGGGTCCGGTTTGGGGACCACAGGATTTCATCTCTGCTGTTCGCAGATGATGTTGTCTTGTTGGCTTCATCAGGCCAGGACCTACAATGTGCACTGGGGCGGTTTGCAGCCGAGTGTGAAGCGGCTGGGATGAGGATCAGCTCTTCCAAGTCCGAGGCCATGGTTCTCGACCGGAAAAAGGTCTCTTCAAGAGTGACAGGAGGATGGAGGGTGAGATTCACAGGCGGATTGGTGCAGCGTCTACAGTGATGCGATTGTGGTGAAGAGGGAGCTGAGCTGAAAGGTGAAACTCTCGATTTACCGGTCAGTCTTCGTTCCTACTCTCATCTATGGTCATGAGCTTGGGTGATGACCAAAAGGACAAGATCGCGGATACAAGTGCGCGAAATGAGTTTCCTCCACAGGGTGGCTGGGCGCTCCCTTAGAGACAGGGTGAGGAGCTCAGTCACACGGGAGGAGCTCGGAGTAGAGCTGCTGCTCCTCCAGGTCAAGAGGAGCCAGTTGAGGTGGCTCGGGCATCTGTTCCAGATGACTCCTGGGCGCTTTCCTTGGGAGGTATTCTGGGCATGTTCCACCGGGAGGAGGCCCCGGGGAAGACCCAGGACACGCTGGAGGGACTATGTCTCTCGGCTGACCTGGGAACGCCTCGGGGTTCCCCGAGAGGAACTGGAGGATGTGTCTGGGGTGAAGGAAGTCTGGGAGTCTCTGCTTGGATGGAGTCATTGTTGTCACTTTTAGTTTTGTATTTATTTGTTAAAGCACGGCCTTTGCCGTGTGGTGCTGCGTGGAGCGTCCCCCTCCCTCTCTGTTCAGTGTGTCTCGGTCACACCCACTGATTATCGGCTCATGTTTAGGGAAATCATTCACGAGTCACTTTACATGCTCCTTTTATGGTGAGGTGGAGGTGTGGAGAGGGCGTGACGTGATGTGGGTTTATGTGTGCAAATTCTAGTTGCAGGTGGGATCTATAAAGCACAGATTGCATGGTTCAGTGCATGTGGTGGTTTGTTTAAATATGGAGTTTGCGTGGCACACGCCTCTCGTGGCTACTAGGCGTACGCACTAGCTTACGACAACTCCTACGTAGTTTTTTTTATAAATGAGGCCCCTGATAAGAATCTAGTTTCTATACTGGTTTTCCAGGGTCTGAGTTTTGATACTTTTGACAACCCAACTTTGGAAACAAAATTAGGCAATGAGTTTTAAATTGCCTCAAGTTGATCAGATCAATGATTCTGTCCTTGCGTGGTCAGATATGTGCAGCCTCCCGTCATTAGCTTTGATGCCATCTATGAGCAGAGCAGCCCCTTCTCTCCCATCATCTTCATCCTGAGTCCAGGCTCTGACCCTGCCACTGACCTTATGAAGCTGGCCGAGCGCTCGGGCTTTGGGGGAAACAAGTTTAAGTTCCTGGCCATGGGACAAGGGCAGGAGAAGGTACTGTGGTCTGCTCTCAGCACCTCTTTACACAGCTGGTAACTACAGTCATGCATCACAGCTTCATTTGCCCCACCAACACCAAGAACCAAGATATATTCCAAATTCAAACAATTCAACACAACTGACAGGAGAAAATAAACATATTGTCTGAATATTGAATACTGAATATACTCTGAATTAAACTGATTATGTAAAAAGGTTGTACTACGAGTACAATGTGTTAGTAACAAATTCATTCACATTATAGAAGAAATATACTCTACAGCTCAAAGCACTTATCTTTATAAAGTGCTGCACAAAATGGACAGAATGTAAACTGTTTGTTGGATTGTTTGTGTATGCTTTTTGGTTGTTTTTTTTTTCTTCTTCTGGATTGAAAATTTACATTTACAAAACAGCTCACACAGGCACCCAAACAGAGTTTCATGATCAGTTGTTCCCCAAAGGCAAATTTTAATCAACCATCAAAACTCTTAAATGCTGATCATGTTTTTAAAGAAATTGAGCAATGAGATAGCAATGAGCTACATGAAGTATAAATCAAGCAGGAAAAAGCCATAAACATTTCCTAAGACATAACAGAGAAAGCTGAATTGACAATGACTGCAAACAGTTTACTTTCACTTTGTCAGATAGTCTCTATTTTGACCAAAGGCATTCTATATATGCCTAGTAGCGAATACTATTAATTATATATATATATATTAATTATTAATTTTGTCACAGTGCCCCAAGGTTTGTATTTTTTTTTTGTCATTATAGCAAAAATGTAAATAAAAACTGTTGAGTAATCTTGTCCTATTTTTAAGATGTCAGCGCTCAGACACTCCAAGGCCCTGCACAGTTCTTCTATTTCTCATTTTTACACAACACTATAAAGTTGGCTTTTCTGCGTGTAACAACATAAGCACTCAGGCTTTAGCCTTGTCAGTTGCTGTTAGGTAGTATTGCCTGAGTGATCCCTGTGTGTCCTATAGGTGGCACTGCAGCTGCTGGAGAAAGCTGTGTCTCTAGGGCAGTGGCTCATGCTGCAGAACTGCCACCTGCTGGTCAAGTGGCTCAAGGACCTGGAGAAGTCCCTGGAGAGGATCACCAAACCCCACCCCAGCTTCCGCCTGTGGATCACCACCAACCCCATTCAAGACTTCCCCATCGGCATCCTGCAAAAATCTCTCAAAGTAAATGTTTTGGATATTCATATTCTATACAGTGCCCAGTGTACAATGCAGGGACCGTCTCCACAGTGGTCATCTGGAGTCTGATTTTGCAGTCAAGTGTTCAGCTCCCATCCAGACGCAATTTTCATTCAGTCAGTACCATCATTTTCATGATGGTACTGACTTGAGGCACTAGGATTTTTCCCACTCTGAGTCTAACCCCAAAGGGACAGTTTCATACCAATATTGATACTTCGGCTTTAAGTATCTGCCGATACCCAATATCAATTGATACAAATACATACATTAAGCACATGGTAAAAGTGATCCAAATGTGATCTATAACTGTTATTTATCATTTAGTAGTAATATCAGAGTAGCTTTGTGTTGTTTTGCATCAGGAAATTGTTTTTATAGACTAAAATGGGATTTTGGCTGAACTAGTAGAAGAAGAAGAAGCCAATAATTGATCCACAAAATTTTTCAATATCTCGCAGATACTTGATAGCAGGATTGTATCGGTGCATCCCTAGTAATGAGATGCATGTAAAAACAGTGTGTCTGTCCCTGCTGCTGCTCAGGTGGTGACTGAACCCCCCAACGGCCTGAAGCTCAACATGAGGGCTACGTACTCCAAGATCTCGCACGAGTCGTTGAGCGCATGCCCGCACCCCGCCTTCCGCAGCCTGGTCTATGTGCTGGCCTTCTTTCACGCGGTTGTACAGGAGCGACGCAAGTATGGGAAAATCGGCTGGAATGTGCCCTATGACTTCAATGAGTCTGACTTCTTTGTGAGTGTTCTGGAGATGTGCTGCTCTGAGATCCTCTGAAAATTCACAGTTTTGTCCAGGGAAACCATGGCAACTCACTTTTAAACAGTGTTATCCTGTTCACCTGTGCTACCAGCCTTGATGATTTAAACCTAAAATTATACGAAATACACACTTTATCTTGTTGGGTGGCACCATTCTTTCCCCCAAACACAGATAATAACAGCCAATTTATATTAGTGTTTGTGTTTGCAGACCGTTACGTCGCCCGGTATGGCGCAGCCGGGGCCCCACCCTGGAGCCAGGCCTGGGGTTGGGGCTCGAAAGCGAGCGCCTGGTGGCCAGGCCTTTGCCCTCGGGGCCCGGCCGGGCTCAGCCCGAAGGGACGACGTGGGCCCGCCCTCCTGTGGGCTCACCACCCGCAGAGGGTTTCATAGGGGTCGGGTGCGCTGTGAACTAGGCAGAGGTCGGGGTCAGGGATCCCGGCAACCTGGTCCACGGACACAGAACCTGGCTGTAGGGACGTGGAACGTCACCTCACTGGGGGGGAAGGAGCCTGAGCTTGTGCGGGAGGTTGAGAGGTACCGGCTAGATATAGTCGGCCTCACCTCCACGCACAGCTTGGGCTCTGGTACCCAACCTCTCGAGAGGGGTTGGACCCTCCATTTTTCTGGTGTTGCCTGCGGGGAGCGGCGGCGGGCTGGTGTGGGCTTGCTTATAGCCCCACAGCTCAGCCGCCACGTGTTGGAGTTTACCCCAGTGAACGAGAGGGTCGCGTCCCTGCGCCTTCGGGTCGGGGACAGGTATCTCACTGTGGTGTCGGCCTACGGGCCGAACAGCAGTGCAGAGTACCCAGCCTTCTTGGAGTCCCTGGGAGGGGTACTAGACAGTGCACCAACTGGGGACTCCGTTGTTCTACTGGGGGACTTCAACGCCCACGTGGGCAACGCCAGTGACACCTGGAGAGGGGTGATTGGGAGGAACGGCCTCCCTGATCTGAACCCGAGTGGTGTTCTGTTATTGGACTTCTGTGCTAGTCACAGTTTGTCCATAACAAACACCATGTTCGAGCACAAGGGTGTCCATAAGTGCACGTGGCACCAGGACACCCTAGGCCGGAGGTCGATGATCGACTTTGTCGTCGTGTCATCTGATCTCCGGCCGCGTGTCTTGGACACTCGGGTGAAGAGAGGGGCTGAGCTGTCAACCGATCACCACCTGGTGGTGAGTTGGATCCGCTGGCGGTGGAGGAAGCCGGAAAGACCTGGCAGACCCAAGCGTGTCGTGAGGGTCTGTTGGGAACGTCTGGCGGAACCCTCTGTCAAAGGGATCTTCAACTCACACCTCCGGGAGAGCTTCTCCCAGATCCCGGGGGAGGTTGGAGATATGGAGTCCGAGTGGGCTCTGTTCTCCACCTCCATTGTCAATGCGGCCGCCCGTAGCTGTGGGCGTAAGGTCTGTGGTGCCTGTCGCGGCGGCAATCCCCGAACCCGGTGGTGGACACCGGAAGTAAGGGATGCCGTCAGCCTGAAGAAGGAGTCCTATCGGGTCTTGTTGGCTCGTGGGACTCCTGAGGCAGCTGATGGGTACCGACGGGCCAAGCGTGAGGCAGCTCGTGCGGTCACAGAGGCAAAAACTCGGAGCTGGGAGGAGTTCGGAGAGGCCATGGAGGAGGACTATCGGACGGCCTCAAAGAGATTCTGGCAAACCGTCCGGCGCCTCAGGAGGGGGAAGCAGTTCTTCACCAACACTGTTTACAGTGCGGGGGGGGAGAGCTGTTGACCTCGACTGGGGATGTAGTCGGACGGTGGAAAGAGTACTTTGAGGATCTCCTCAATCCCACCGCCACGTCTTCCGAGGAGGAAGCAGAGACTGGGGACCCAGAGGCGGACTCGTCCATCACCCTGGCTGAAGTCACTGAGGTGGTTGGCAAGCTCCTTGGTGGCAAGGCTCCGGGGGTGGATGAGATCCGTCCTGAGTATCTTAAGTCTCTGGATGTTGTGGGGCTGTCTTGGCTGACACGCCTCTTCAACATCGCGTGGCGGTCGGGGACAGTACCTCTGGACTGGCAAACCGGGGTGGTGGTCCCTCTGCATAAGAAGGGGGACCGGAGGGTGTGTTCCAATTACAGGGGAATCACACTCCTCAGCCTTCCCGGTAAGGTCTATTCCAGGGTACTGGAGAGGAGAATCCGCCCGATAGTCGAACCTCGGATTCAGGAGGAGCAGTGTGGTTTTCGTCCTGGCCGTGGAACACTACACTACACTCTCCATCGGGTGCTTGAGGGTTCATGGGAGTTTGCCCAACCAGTCCACATGTGTTTTGTGGACTTGGAGAAGGCATTCGACCGTGTCCCTCGTGGTGTCCTGTGGGGGGTGCTCCGGGAGTATGGGGTTCGGGGCCCTTTGCTAAGGGCTGTCCGGTCCCTGTATGACCGGAGCAGGAGCTGTGTTCGCATTGCCGGCAGTAAGTCAGACCTGTTCCCGGTGCATGTTGGACTCCACCAGGGCTGCCCTTTGTCACCGGTTCTGTTCATTGTTTTTATGGACAGAATTTCTAGGCGCAGTCAGGGGCCGGAGGGGGTCCGGTTCGGGGACCACAGGATCTCATCTCTGCTGTTTGCAGATGATGTTGTCCTGTTGGCTTCATCGAACCAGGACCTACAATGTGCACTGGGGCGGTTTGCAGCCGAGTGTGAAGCGGCTGGGATGAAGATCAGCTCCTCCAAATCCGAGGCCATGGTTCTCGACCGGAAAAAGGTGGCTTGCCCTCTCCGGGTGGGTGGAGAGGCCCTGCCCCAGGTGGAGGAGTTCAAGTATCTCGGGGTCTTGTTCACGAGTGAGGGGAGGATGGAGCGTGAGATTGACAGGCGGATCGGTGCAGCTTCAGCTGTGATGCGGTCGCTGTATCGGACCGTTGTGGTGAAGAGAGAGCTGAGCCGAAAGGCGAAACTCTTGATTTACCGGTCAGTCTTCGTTCCCACCCTCACCTATGGTCATGAGCTCTGGGTAGTGACCGAAAGGACAAGATCGCGGATACAAGCGGCCGAAATGAGTTTCCTCCGCAGGGTGGCTGGGCGCTCCCTTAGAGATAGGGTGAGGAGCTCAGTCACACGGGAGGAGCTCGGAGTAGAGCCGCTGCTCCTTCACGTTGAGAGGAGCCAGTTGAGGTGGCTCGGGCATCTTTTCCGGATGCCTCCTGGACGCCTCCCTCGGGAGGTGTTCTGGGCATGTCCCACTGGGAGGAGGCCCCGGGGAAGACCCAGGACACGCTGGAGGGACTATGTTTCTCGGCTGGCCTGGGAACGCCTTGGGGTCCCCCCAGAAGAGCTGGAGGAAGTGTGTGTGGAAAGGGAGGTCTGGGAGTCCCTGCTTAGACTGCTGCCTCCGCGACCCGGCTCCGGATAAGCGGAAGAAAATGGAATGGAATGGAATGTTTGCAAATTTTGATTATTGACAGTTTATTTTTGAGGTTAGGGTCAGGGTTAAGTTTAGGTACCGGAAAGTGGGTTTTGGAACAGGTTTACTAACCGGGTCTTGGCAAAATTGAGTTGCAATTTTTAAGAATTTTAAGAAAATTAAAATAATTTTTTTTCCTAACTGTGTTTAATTGATCACTAAAATGCTGAAAATGTGGCTGAATCGTAATATCTGCTGTAATCTCATCTGCTGATTATGAACTGAACTTGCTCAGCTACAGCACACAGCAGTGAAATGGTTTTGATTGACATGTAATGCTAAGCCCCGCTCTCGGACGAAATGGCAAGTATTTAGGGAGACCTAAAGGCTCTTGTAATCAGTCTGACACATCCACAGGTATGCATGGAGGTCCTCAACACGTACCTGACCAAGGCCCACAGCCAGGGGGACAGCAGCATTCCCTGGGAAAGCCTCAAGTATCTCATCGGAGAGGTCAGCACTTTGGTTTGACTGTGATAAAAGGAATATCTACAGAAGTTAAACGAGTTTTGCCATGACATTCACACTAACAACTAGTATGCTAATATGTTCTGTAATGCACTTTCTTATACTTTAAAATTTCATGCAGACTTTACACAGACAGTGCACAACTGGCATTATCCAAAATAAATGTACAGTTTCTCCCACATTCTAAAGTTGATCCCTCATCAAAAACATGCCTGAATTTTTTGTTGTCATCCATCCATGTTTGAGCAATCTAGCAGCCATATTCGAACCCTCTTTACAGTTAGATGTAAGATTCTGTGCAATACCCAGAGCCTATGTCACCCATATGTGTGTGTGTGTGTGTGTGTGTGTACGTGCGTGCGTGCGTGTGTGTGTGTGCGTGTGTGTCAGTCATCAAAATGTCAACAATCTGCCAGTAGAGCACATGTTTAAAGGGCATATAGCAAGGAATAAAATTGCAAATTGGGCGGCACAGTGGCAAAGCGGTTAGCGCTCTTTCCTCACAGCAAGAAGGTCCTGGGTTGTATTCTGGGGCGGTACAGGGCCTTTCTGTGTAGAGTGTGTAGATTGCTCTGGTTTCCCCTACCACTAAAAACATGTACAATAGGGTCCCCTGTGGGGCCAGGATTCCCCTGAGAAAGAGATTCTTAATCTCAGCAGGACTGTCCTGGTTAAATAAAGGTCAGATAAATAACAAATAGTTACATAGTGATAATGATAATAATGATGAGTAGGACAAGGCCCCATTTTCATAAATGATGATTTAACTGTCAGAAAAATGTGCTCCTTTTGCAGAAATAGTCCTGGCACTTTGAATGGAATTTAATGAATTGCTTTTTTTCACAAATTGCCACTTGACTGATGTAAAACTATGATAAATGTTAATTAAAGGACTGTCCCTGCAAATGGAGCAAGCCTTTCATATGTACTTTAATAAAATAAGGAAACAAGAGTAAAAAGCGGTGCTGTTGTGTGGTGGTGCAGGTGATGTACGGAGGTCGGGCCATAGACAGCTTTGACCGCAGAATTCTCACTATTTACATGAACGAGTATCTGGGAGACTTCCTCTTCTACTCGTTCCGACGCTTTCACTTCTTCTGCAACAGTGAGGTGGACTACAAGATCCCCCCCGACGGGCTCAAGAGTGTGTACATGGGTGAGTGCTACTTCTACTAACTCTGGAACACTGTCTTATGATAGAGCTGTTAGAGTTCATGCTTTAGCCAATTACAGACGTGTTCAGAATTGTTGGTACCCCTCTGGTAATGAAAGAAAAATCAACAATGTTCACTGAAATAACTGGAAACTAAGAAAAGCAATAATAAATAAAAATTTACTGAAAAATAACCAATGAAAACCAGACACTGTTTTTGAATTGTTCTTCAATATAATAATAATAATAATAATAATAATAATAATAATAATAATAAAACTGGCCTGGACAAAAATGATGGTTCCCCTAGAAAAGATTGTAAGTAACTGTTACAAGTTAAACTTCGGGGTGTGTCTCTAATCTGCATCACAGGTGTTTTCAAACTTGTCCTCAGTCATTCTGTCTGTTTAAAGGGGGACATGTGTCATTGTGCTGTTTGGAGACATGATGGACACAACACTGAACATGGACCAGAGAAAGAGAAGAAGAGAACTGTGTCAGGAGACTAGAAAGAAAATGATAGACAAACAGGTTAAAGATAAAGACAATAAGACCATCTCCAAGCAGCTTGATGTTCCTGTTATTACAGTTACAAATGTTCTTCAGAAGTTTAAGGTCCACAGGACTGAAGAGAACCTCCCTGGACGCGGCTGCAAGAGGAAAATGTGTGACAAATTGAAGAGATGGATCATACGAATGGAACCAAAGAGCCCAGAACAACCTCCAAACAAATGAAATGTGAACTTGAAGGGCAAAGTACATCAGTGTCAGATCACACCATCCATCAGTGTTTGAGCCAAAGTGGACTTGATGTGAGGACACCACTGTTGAAAACAAATCATAAAAAAGAGACAGAATTTGTAACAATGCATACTGATGACAAACCACAAAGCTTCTGGGAGAATGTCCTTTGGACAGATGAGACAAAATTGGAGCTCTTTGGCAAGACACATCAGCTCTATGTTCACAGAAACAAAAATGAAGCACAACAACAAAAGAACACTGTCCCTACTGTGAAGCTTTAGGAGGCTTGGTTTTGTTCTGGGGCTGTTTCGCTGCATCTGGCACAGGGTGACTTGAATATGTGCAAGATACAACAGAATCTCAAAACTATCAAGGTATTTTGGAATGAAATGTGTTGCCTAGTGTCAGAAAAGTCTCAGTCTCAGTCATAAGTCATGGTTCTTCCAACAGGATAATGACCCAAAACACACAGTTAAAAACACACAAGAATGGTTAAGAACAAAACATTGGACTGTTCTGGAGTGTTCTTCTGTGAGCCCAGATCTTAATCCTACTGAACATTTGTGAAATGAGCTGAAACATGCTGTCTGGAGAAGGCATCCTTCACGAGAAGTGGAACAAAATACCAGTTGACCAGAGCAGAAGTCTCAATGACATCTACAGAAATTTACAGAAAGTGTACCTTAACCTCACCATAAATGTATTATATGTATTTATTCTGATGGATATATCCTGATCTGACTAGTTCTGCTGTGTTGTGTGACAGAGGAGATCGAGAGTCTACCTTTAGCCAACACCCCTGAGGTGCTGGGGCTCCATCCCAATGCAGAGATCGGATACTACACCCAGGCTGCCAAGGACATGTGGGCCAACCTCATTGACCTGCAGCCCCAGACAGGTGAGTGCCACGCTCCCTCCTCATGCCGTAATCCCACTATTCTTACATACAATGACAACTCCCACTATAATCCAATATTTTTATCTGATTTTACCAGATTTTATCTCCTGCCCCAGTCTTGACAGGTTAAAAAAGATAAGGTGTTAGAACAGGTTTTAAAAATATATAACTTAGTTGTGATAAATTTTAAATAAAAGCGACTGTTCAGAGCTTTTAACCATGTTAGAATGATTTCCATTCATTACTTATTTGCTAATACAGACATGTAACACTCAGGCCCAGGGGCCAAATTTGACTCACGATATAATTATATTTGGGCCGCGAGGTCATATCAAATCTGTATTAGAGCTGCCCCACCAGCTACACATTTATTTATTTAAAATGTTGTTATTATTTCATATTATGCTTGTTCTGATGAAATTTTTCAATAAATATTTAGTTTGGCCCACAACTTAGTCCCAGTTTTAAATTTTGGCCCTCTGAGAATTTGAGTTTGACACACCTGTGCTAATAAGTCATGCTAAATGCAATGACATTTTGTTCTGCATTCAAGAAATCATTGCTCCGATCTACATGACGAGTCAAAAGTTTGGACACACTTTTTCATTTATGTTTATTTACATTGTAGATTCTCACTGAAGGCATCAAAACTATGAATGACGCTTATTGGTGGTGGTGGTTTTCAGATTCTAGAATATGATGTCATACTCCCAGATGGAGGGCAAGGGCCAGTTTTCCCTGTTGATCATTAATGACTAGACCCAAGAACTCGCTGTATCACAACAGATATGTGTAATTTAACAATATTAATTTTAGCTATCAAGACACAGTTGTGAAGTGAAAACCATTTCATATAAAAAAAACATTTATTCCACTTTTTTGCAACATGATTTCATATTTCTTGCATCATATATTTGATGTATTCTGCATATAAAATGTACTAAGTGGTAAAACTAAAGAAAAATACACCCACAGTTCTGTACTTCCTCCTTTGGTTTCAATGTCTTAATCAGTGACATGTGTAGGATTCGGCAGTGGCGCTTTGTCAATAACTGCCTCAGTGTAGTGTGAGCGTGCAGCAGAGCTCAAGTGTGCTTTTTGTGCAGGTGAGTCCAGCGGCAGCATCAGTAAAGATGAGCACATCAGCCAGGTGGTTCAGGACATCCAGAGGAAACTGCCCATGCTCTTTGACCTGGATGTGATCCCCAAGAAACTGGGCGCTAAGGTCTCTCCCACCACAGTGGTGCTGCTACAGGAGCTGGAGCGCTTCAACAGGCTGGTGGTCCGCATGCAGCGCTCCCTGGCTGAGCTGCAGAGGGTGAGGGGGGAGGTCAGGGGCACTCAGGGGTTACTCAGGGGGGCATTAAGGGCATTAATAGGTTTTCTTTAGACAATAGAATGCGATTTTCAACATTTAATGGTAGTACTTTTTTCTATTCCCATGTGGTCTTATATGTGTGTAATCCTTCAGTGGTCCAGGTAGGTTCCATAGTGGTCCATGGACGTATACTAGCAGGAGTGTAGTGGGTGTGGTATGTGGGGGTACACAGTCCATCCACCCACTTCTCCCAAAGTGAGCTAAAGAAAAATAACAAATATAAAATAGCTACAACTTAAATGTCAAACTGGAGCTAATGGCAATGGTGAAAATAACCTGCATAGGCTCATGAAATCTGCAGTACTGTCCTATAGTGACCTGAGACACTAGACCAGGACTGAACCAGGACTGAATCATCATCCGCTTTCACTTTGTTTCACTTCGTAGAAACCTTCTGACCTCGCAGTGTTAGAATTTGTTCGCTCAATGGTAGGTGGGTACTTTTTATCATTAACCAATCGCTGCTATTTAGTCGTGATGTATGTAATGCGCCGCTAACGGGGCTAACTGGTATATTAAGCTTTTCCCAAATCCAGTAGGAAGAAGGGAAATAACGTCTTTCTCCTTGATGAAATTCACCAAACATTCTCTTTATTCCGGCATTAAATCCTCGATCTCAGAAATTGCTGACAACACAGAATGTCTGGCTCTTACCTGATTGGCTGCTGCCTGAACTTGCACTATCAGGGTTTTTGTGAACTGTCTATTGTATTTTGATTCCTGACCTAGTTGCTGGAGAGAAAGGAAATTGAGCGGATACACTAGGTGGTGCCAGCATGGGTGGTCGGGGGGTCACATCGATGATGTCACGAATTGTGTACCCCCACTTCACCACTGTATACTAGTCTGTACTCTTCTACTTGTTCTGATGCAGCTCAAGATCATTCTAAAGACATTTAGGAAAGATTTGTTTCTGTCCTATCAATCCAACGTTTTATTATCCATACATAATCAAATGAGTGTGTGTGTATGATTAGCAGTGGACAGAGAGGCTGTTGGCACGAAATAGCAGTCTTCCTTTTATCACTCTGCTCTGACTGAGAAGTACACTGCCAGTTAAAAGTTTTTTCAGTTATTTATTGCAATTCAAGTCGTGCAAGTCCAGTGAAGAGCCTGAAATGGTACAAAGGTACGAACTGAACAGACAGAGGTTAAAAAAGATAAAAGACACAAAACACAAGTCCAAGTTCTGCCAAAACGACCTCAGGAAAAAAGATCAAGATGGTAAAGCTTGAAAACCTGGAGTGTCCAGCAGCAGCACAGTGTCCAGACTTAAACCCCATGGAGCTGGTTTGGGATGAACTGGACAGAAGAGTGAAGCAACCTACAAGTGCCACACATTTATGGAAACATCTGCAACAGACTTGGGAAGAACTTTTTGAACAATATTTGATTTCTATTGTAAAAAGAACGAGCCGCGAGTGTGTTTAGCTGTTCTATCTGCCAAAGCTGGACACACACATCAATCAAAAGTTTAGAATATCTTTTGGTCAACAGTAAACAGTAAACAGTAAAAAAGTGTGGTGTTCTAAAACTTTTGACTGGTAGTATACCTTACACCAGCGAGTGTCTTAAGAATGTTAAAGAATATAGTATAGTTAAAGATTGACTGTCGTGCAGTATGTACAGTACAGCGTGTTCTCTAAATGGTGTGTGTGCTGTGTACAGGCCTTGGCAGGAGAAGTGGGCATGAGCAGTGAGCTGGACGAGATCGCCCGTGCTCTGTTTAATGGGCACATCCCTGCTGTTTGGAAGAGACTGGCTCCAGACACTCTCAAGTCACTGGGCAACTGGATGGGCCACTTTAGGAGGAGACATGAGCAGTACCACCACTGGGTTAGACACTGTACAGCATTTGTTCTTATTGTGTTCTCTCTTTAAGGCATCTAAATGAGTATTAGCAACAGATCAGCAGCATACAGAACATTTCCAGCATTACAGAATACATACTTTAAGATAAACTCTTACTTGGGCTTACTTAGATACTTCAGTTTTTCAGTTTTTAGAAAATACTTTTTTCTTTACAGTTGATACATGCGCTGCTTCATTTTACAGGAACAAACTGGAATATGTCCCTCCCACTTCTCTATGTGTTACTTTGGATGTAACTGAAGTACTGTGATATGGTATCCTCAAATGTACTACAGATAATACAGAAATACAGATAATACAGTAATACAGAACAATACGGTACAATACAGTAAATCAGAGGGAACTTATTTAGCACTTTTAATTCTTATCTTTCTATTCTGACTGTAATGATTCACATTAAGATCTTCTCAAGACATTTAAAAAGGAAAAAAAAAAAGTATTTCTACAACTCTTATACACACATGTTCTAAATTGTTGGTACCCTCTGGTAATGAAAGAAAAATCAACAATGGTCACTGAACTAACTCGAAACTGAGAAAACCAATAATAAAAAATAAAAATGAATGAAAAATAACTAATGAAAATCAGACACTATTTTTGAATTGTTGTTGTTGTTGTAGAATAATTTTTAAAAGCAAACTGATGAAACTGGCCTGGACAAAAATGATAAATCTCCCTAGAAAAAATTGTAAATAGTTGGACAATATGGACATGTTAAACTTCGGTGTGTCTCTAATCTGTCTTTCAAACTTGTCCTCAGTCATTCTGTCTGTTTAAAGGGGGACATGTGTCATTGTGCTGTTTGGAGACATGATGGACACAACACTGAACATGGACCAGAGAAAGAGAAGAAGAGAACTGTGTCAGGAGACTAGAAAGAAAACGATAGACAAGCAGGTTAAAGATAAAGACAATAAGACCATCTCCAAGCAGCTTGATGTTCCTGTGATTACAGTTACACATGTTCTTCAGAAGTTTAAGGTCCACAGGACTGAAGCCAACCTCCCTAGACATGGCTGCAAGAGGAAAATGTGTGACAAATTGAAGAGATGGATCAAACGAATGGAACCAAAGAGCCCAGAACAACCTCCAAACTAATTAAATATAAACTTGAAGGGCAAAGTACATCAGTGTCAGATCACACCATCCATCAGTGTTTAAGCCAAAGTGGACTTGATGTGAGGACACCACTGTTGAAAACAAATCATAAAAAAGTGAGACAGAATTTGCCTCAGTGCATATGGACAAGCCACAAAGCTTCTGGGAGAATGTCTTTTGGACAAATGAGACAAACTGAAGCTCTTTGGCAAGACACATCAGCTCTATGTTCACAGACACAAAAATGAAGCACAACAAGAAAAGAACACTGTCCCTACTGTGAAGCACGGAGGAGGCTTGGTTTTGTTCTGGGGCTACTTTGCTGCATCTGGCACAGGGTGTCTTGAATCTGTGCAAAACTACAACAGAATCTCAAAACTATGACCAAAAACACAGCAAAAAACAGACAAGAATGAACAAAACATTGGACTGTTCTGGAGTGTTCTTCTGTGAGCCCAGATCTTAATCCTATTGAATATCTGTGAAATGAGCTGAAACATGCTGTCTGGAGAAGGAACCCATCAAACCTGAGATAACTAGAGCAGTTTGCTCACGTGGAGTGGGTCAAAATACCAGTTGACCAAAGCAGAAGTCTCACTGACATTTACAGAAATCATTTGTTTGCAGAGTTTGCCTCAAAAGGTTGTGTAACAAAATATTAAGTTAGGGGAACCATTATTTTTGTCCAGGCCAGTTTCATCATTTTGTTTTCTCTAATGATTCTGTTGAACCACAGGTGAAAAACAATGTCTAATTTACATAGGAACATTAGTAAAACTGTATTTACTATTGCTTTTATCAGTTTCAAGTTATTTCAGTGACCATTGTTTGATTTTTCTTTGATTACCAGACGGATACCAACAATATTGAACGCATCTGTAAATACTCATATATAAATATTGTATGCCTTTTTAAGTACAATTTGGTTTGAAATTCATATAAATTGCAACAATCAAAGCTATATTTGGTACTTTGGTTTAAAGACTTGAAATGACTTGAAGCTCAAAGCAAACAACTTGGACTTGACTTGGATGTATGGGCCAGTGACTTGAGACTTGGCTTGGGCTTGCCTGTATTTGGCTTCAGGACTTGACTCATACTTGAGGTAAAAAACTTGAGGCTTACTTGAGACTTGCAAAATAACGACCCACCTCTGATACATACACAAATGTACTATATTATATACTGCGACTATAGGCTGACTGGTCACTCTCTGTCCTGCAGGTGGAGGAGGGTGAGCCTAAGGTCATGTGGCTGTCTGGACTGCACATCCCAGAGTCCTACCTGACCGCTCTGGTGCAGACAGCCTGTAGGAGGAACGGCTGGCCCCTAGACCGGTCCACTCTCTACACCCAGGTCACCCAGTACCGCAGTGAGGATGAAGTGCCCGACCGCCCCTCCCAGGGTAAGAACACACCACAGACACACCAGATGGATGAGAAGCCACTGGTGGAGATCTCCAGACATTTCAAGTATAAGTAGAGAGAGAGTAGAGAATAATAATAAATAAATAAAGAATAATACATTTAATTTATAGTGCTTTTCAGGACACTCAAAGATGCGTTACAGAATACATATTAAAATGGTCAGAGAGCAATAAACAAATAATGCAGTAAAGAAAAAAACAGTGAATCATTTTGACAAAAGTTAAACATTAAAAGCTCTTCTAAATGGATGGGTCTTGAGAGTTGTTGAGGTGGTGAGTTCCGGGGGTAGGGAGTCTGTGTCTCCACAGGTTCGGAGCTTGGTACCACAGGGGAAGGACAGCAGGTTGGATTAAGAGGAGCAGAGGGAGCGGGATGGAGTGTGGGGGTGCAGCAGGTGTGGAGGGCTTAGAAAGTGATGAAGAGGAAGTGGATGCACAGAGGGATGAGGAGCCAGTGTAGGTTCTGACAGGAGCCAGTGGAGGTTCTGACAGGAGGTGGGCAGTGGGGTTTTGGATGTACTGCAGAATGCTATTGCAGGAATCTTTCCTTTGAACACCACATCAAACACATCACTAAAACCGCCTTCTCTCACCTCCGGAACATTGCTCGTCTCCGCCTATCCCTCTCCCCTCTGTCTGCTGAAACCCTCATCCACGCTTTTGTCACCTCCCGCCTCGACTACTGCAATAGCCGCTCTACGGTTCACCCTCCAAACTCCTCAATAGACTCCAGTACATACAGAACTCTGCTGCTCGCCTCCTCACCCGCACCTCCTCCCGTGAACACATCACCCCTGTCCTCAGAGATCTCCACTGGCTCCCCATCCCCCAGCGCATTCAGTTCAAACTCCTCACCATTGTGTACAAGTCCCTCCACAACCTGGCCCCCACCTACCTCGCCTAGCTCCTCCACCACCACACCCCCGCCCGTGTCCTCCGATCAGCTGATGTCAACCTCCTGTCTCCCCCTGCCAGGACTAAACATAAGACCTGGGGTGACAGGGCCTTCTCTGTTGCTGCCCTCACCCTCTGGAACTCCCTGCCCAAACACATCAGAGACTCATCCACACTCCCCATGTTTAAAAAAGCCCTGAAAACCCATTGTTAGAGAATTTTGTGTTAGAAGTATTACTCATTTAAAGTATGAATCATTTAAAGTATTAATCATGATACAATATAAGATTATCAACATTGCTTTGTGTTTTGTTCAAACTGTATGTAAACATGAAAACATCAGCTGATCTTGCTGATGCACCAGCTGACTCATTAAGAAAATGTACCTGGAGAAACAACTAGTAATGGTGAACATCATGAGGTTAACACAGGACTCTGGGGAATTGCTAGAGGCTTTCTACCACCTGGAATGTGAAATCTGTGTATAATGGGGGGCTGTGTCAGTGGAAGCTTGTCAGTCATGAGATAACATGTGAACAATAGGTACTGTATTCAATGTAACCTATTGTATGATAATTGTGTGCTCTACAATAAAAGGGCTTTGGAGAGAAGAGAGCTTCAGTTAGGATAAGACAGGCAGCTCTCTCCTACTCCTTGCGCAAGTAAAACGAACCACTGTGTCTCTGGCGTGTTCTTTAATGATTGAGGTCAGGGTAAATTCCCTGACACCCATGTCTTAAAAAAAAAAAAAGCTTTCATTAACTGTCTTTTTCTCTTGTTTGTTGTTGTTTGTCTTCCCATGTAAAGCGTCTTTATCTTGAAAAGCGCTATACAAGTGTATTATTATTATTATTATTATCTAATCTGGAGGTGATGAATCCGTGGCTCAGAGAAAACTTGGATGTTGTCTGTTTCATTGTAACTGAATCATTCTAATTCTCGTAAAGAAGATAAATATTTTCTTATGTATACTGCCCCAGGGTAAACCAAGACTGTGTATGTGTGTGTGCACAGGCTGCTTCCTGTCTGGCCTGTACCTGGAGGGAGCAGACTGGGACATGGAGCAGGGCTGTTTGGTTCGGAGCAAACCGAAAGTCCTGGTAGTAGAGCTGCCCATTCTCCGCATTATTCCCATTGAGGCTCGCCGCCTCAGACTGCAGGTGATGATGCAAATCAGAGAGGCATTTTAGGCTTATTTCTCACAGGAGGCTCGCTCTTCTCTCTGATTGGATAATCGTCTTGACAACCAAAACACCACATAACATAACATTACCAATGCAATGGCAAATGTTATGGTAACTAAGAATAAATAAGCATTATATTATTGTTGACAGTAAAAGCAGCATTTGATTTGGGCATGTTTACTTTCACAGATGGGGACTTGTGACTGTGACTTGAGTCAAACTGGAGTCACTATTTTTAGGACTTGAGACTTGACTTGATAAATTGGACTAAGTCTTGGGACTCGACATAGATTTGAAGGTCATTGACTTGGGACTTGACTTGGACTTGAGCCCTGTGACTTGAGAAGACCCAGTGCTTCTCCTAAAAAAATACATGTTTTTAGAAAATACTTTTCTCTTTTCACTTGATAAATGTGGTGCTGAATTTTACAGGAACAAACTGAGACATTTTTCTCCAACTTCTGTTTGTTACTTTGGATGTAACTGAAGTACGGTGATATGGTATCCTCAAATGTACTACAGTAATATACAATACAACACAGTATATACAGTACAGTACAATAGACTAATATAAAGTACAACACAGTAAAACAGAGGGAACTACAACTACCTTCCATTTCAGTGCAGACTACACAATAAAATAACTATTATTAAGCATTTTTAAATCTGAATTCTTTCTGTTGTGACCATAATGATGCAGATTTTGTCAAGACTTTTAAAAAGGAAAAATTTGCATTTCTACAACTCTATAAATACTCATATAAATGCACAATGAGTTTTTAAGAACAATTTAGTTTAAAATTAATATAAAAGTCAAAAATCTAAACTATATTTGGTTCTTTGGTTTAAAGATCTGAAATGACTTGAAGCTTAAAGCAGACGACGGACTTGAGGTCAAAGACTTGAGACTTACTTAAGACTTAAGACAAAACAATGACTTGGTCCCACCTCTTTCTCCTTCTTTGTTTACTTTACAGAAATGGGTAATAGGGATAAAAATAAATATTACAAAAATATGTACTATGCATTTACAGTTATTCTTTAAAAAACTGTTTTGTTTTTAAAAGTCTATTAAAATTAAGCTAACGCTTATACATAGTAACTAGAATGTCACAGGTGCCTGCACAGTCTCAGCTCCTAGTCCTTGTAAATTGTAAACTGATGAGTGTGATTGTTTGATTGTTGTGCTACAGGAGAGCCTGAGGACCCCCGTGTACACCACGTCTCTGCGCAGGAACGCCATGGGAGAGGGCCTGGTGTTCGAGGCCGACCTGAACACGGCCGACCACCTCTCCCACTGGGTGCTGCAGGGTGTCTGCCTCTACCTCAACACAGACTGAACCCTCCACACACACACAGCCTCAACACAGACCGAACCCTCCACACACACAGCCTCAACACAGACCGAACCCTCCACACACACAGCCTCAACACAGACCGAACCCTCCACACACACAGCCTCAACACAGACTGAACCGACACACCCGACACACACACACAGCCTCAACACAGACTGAACCGACACACACACACACACAGCTCAACACACACAGCGACTGAACCGACACACACACACACAGCCTCAACACAGACTGAACCGACACACACACAGCCTCAACACAGACTGAACCCTCCACACACACACAGCCTCAACACAGACTGAACCCTCCACACACACAGCCTCAACACAGACTGAACCGACACACACACACAGCCTCAACACAGACTGAACCCACACACACACAGCCTCAACACAGACTGAACCCTCCACACACACACAGCCTCAACACACACACACAGACTGAACCCTCCACACACACACAGCCTCAACACACAGACTGAACACACATCAACACACACACACAGCCTCAGCACAGACTGAACCGACACACACACACAGCCTCAACTACAGACTGAACCGACACACACACAGCCTCAGCACAGACTGAACCGACACACACACAGCCTCAACACAGACTGAACCGACACACACACAGCCTCAACACAGACTGAACCGACACACACACAGCCTCAACACAGACTGAACCCTCCACACACACAGCCTCAACACAGACTGAACCGACACACACACAGCCTCAACACAGACTGAACCGACACACACACACACACAGCCTCAACGACACACACACAGCCTCACTGAACCGACACACACACACACACAGCCTCAACACAGACTGAACCGACACACACACAGCCTCAACACAGACTGAACCGACACACACACAGCCTCAACACAGACTGAACCGACACACACACAGCCTCAACACAGACTGAACCCTCCACACACACACAGCCTCAGCACAGACTGAACCGACACACACACACAGCCTCAACACAGACTGAACCGACACACACACAGCCTCAACACAGACTGAACCGACACACACACAGCCTCAACACAGACTGAACCCTCCACACACACACAGCCTCAGCACAGACTGAACCGACACACACACAGCCTACATGGACAGTAGAAAGAATGGAGATTTAGAATTCTGTAAATTAAAGATTTTATTTGACATTTTCCTTCCTGATTTGATTTGTTGTTGACATTATCTGCCACTATTACTTTGATCCAGTACAAGCCTTAAAACCTGGATTGGTCCTGTTCTAATCCTGGTTTAGTTCAGTATTGAAAATCAGATTCTAACCCATACTATATCTTCTATCCTTACTAATTTGAGAAGGTATCTTTACTAAAAACATCCCATTCACAGGGCAGAAATGAGCCTTTCCTGAATGTCTTTAGAATGATTTTGAGCTGTATCAGAACAAGTAGAAGAGCACATATATACTAGTATACACACATGGACCACTGAGGAATCCCTCACATATATAAGGACACATGGGACTAGAAAAAAAAACTACTATTTAATGTTGAAAATTACATTCTGTTGGTTAAAGAAAAATGCACCAAAATCATCATGAAGTACTATAATTTAGAGCTCTACATGGCACACATTTTTTGGGGGGGATCAGAAGTTTACCCTGGACACTTAAAAAAATAGCAAAATATTATTCACATTATTAAATCCATGTTTGAATCTATTACCTCACATTGGATTTTTTCCAGGTACACCTTGCAATACCGTAAGGCATGAGTGGAAATTCAAATGCTATAGAGCTTGAAAATTGCAATCCGAGCTCCAGTATTGGTAACACTTCCCACTGTGATTAAGTCCTGTATTACACAAAATGGATTCTTGTGAACTTTTAGTCATGTTGGAACATTGGTACCTCCCAGAGCTGGGGACTTGCAAGTCATGACTTGGACTCAAGTCAGACTTGAGGTACTATTTTTAGGACTTGGGACTTGACTCAGACATGAGGCCTGTGACTTAAGAAGACCTGATGCGGCTCCTAAAAATATATGTTTTTAGAAAATACTTTTCTCTTTACAGCTGATAAATGCGGTGCTGAATTTTACAAGAACAAACTGGAACATTTCCCTCCCACTTCTGTTACTTTGATTGTAACTGAAGTACTGTGATCTGGTATCCTCAAATGTACTACAGTAATATACAGTACAATACAAAGGGTACTACATAAAACCTCAGTACTTCCTTCCATTTCAGTACAGACAAAATAGCTGTTATTTAGCACTTTTAAATCTTAATTCTTTCTCATAATGATTCACACTAAGACTTTGTCAAAACATTTAAAAAGGAAAAATTGCATTTCTACAACTTGTATATAAATATGCCAGGAATATTTTAAGTACAATTTAGTTTAAAATTATATAAACTGCAAAAATCTAAGCTATATTTGGTACTTTGGTTTAAAGCCTTGAAGCTCAAAGCAGACAACTTGGACTTGACTTGGACTTTGGGCCAGTGACTTGGACTTGCCTGTATTTGACTTGGGACTTGATATGGACTTGAAGTTAAAGACTTGAGACTTACTTCAGACTTGGAAAACAATGACTTGGTCCCACCTCTGTTACCTCCTCAAAAAAAAATACCTGGAGTGGTATTGTTTCATTCACACATTTTAGTAATCCTGGTTTATTAGTCTGTTTACATCTCCAAAGCTCTAAATGTTCATTAGTTTGGCAATTCGAGAGCTGAATTTAACCAAATGATTCTAGTAAAGGTGTATGGAGTTTAAAAACACAGTGGAGCACTTCCTGTATTGTGTTTGTTTGAGAGAAGAGGACAGCCTGAATATGCAGAATTTCTGTGTTAAACATGTGTAAATGAAACAAAACAAGAACTCCATGTCTGTTGTTGCTGAGGGAACATAGCAGAAAACAGCATAATATATGCACCAACCTCACGTCATGGGCCCTTAGAACCATTAATACCCAAAGCTGGTGCAACTGGATACTGATCAAACATTTTATTTAGTAGAAATTACTTGTGAAATGATGGCAGAATTTACAACATGAGCTGCAGCAGTTACAAAACCAACAGAGGCACTTCTGTAGGAGAAACGACCTGCGAATCTATCTGCACTCACAAGGAAACATCACATTAGTCATACAGAGAGGTGGAACTAGCACGTTAAAAATCAGTGTGTGGACATGAGACAGCTTTGCGAAGTATTCAGTCAGTCGCATAGTGTAGCAGTGTGGCTCCTCTCATTTGAACATTGTATATACAGGGTTTGGCCCCACATTACTTTTGGAAGCAAGTATCAAAGTGGACAGAAGACGGAAAGACTGCCTTCACACCTGAACTCAGAGCACACACACACGCGCACACGCACACGCACACGCACACACACACACACACACACACACACAGACACACACACACGGCAATTCAAGTCAAATCTCATGAGCACTGGACACAAAAGGTTTCAGAAAGAGATTTCAGATCAAATTGATGCAAGCAGATGTCCAGTGGTTATTTGTCCAGTGTGGCTCATTTAAAATCGGTCTGTAGTCTGTAGTGTAGACTTTTATAGCCAAGTCCTGGCACATGATCTTGACAGTTCATATTTCCTCTACTAAGTGTTTCAGGTGCACTATGCAATGGCCCGTTTTCATCAGCCCTATGTGGCCTAGTTGTGTTTCCATGGAGCTAAACAATAACCGCCTACCTTGATTCTGCAAATAAAGTTCTCATTCATTTTTCCCACAGACTTTCTGAGGAAAAAAATAAGTAAATGTGCCTTTTGGACTTAAAACAACCGCATCATGTTAGCAAATAGCTGGTTAGTCTCCACAGTGCCTTTGACCTCTTAATATCAGAATTTTTCAAAAAGTCTATGGGAAAAAAACATTTACATTACTCTTGTGCTGTATCCATGGCCAGTCAGTGACCAGTCACCGAGGCTGGTGGAAACGGGACTTAACTTTTCTGGTGGAGACTCTGCCACTGTAAGGCTCAGAATCACATGGTCCCTCACCATTTGATACATGGATCACAATACATGCAACAATCAACACAGCGCATGATACTGCATGATAATGATATATCACTAGTTTCAAAAAAAAAAAAAAAAAAGAACTTTTAACAACAGTAGGCTTTTTCTTTGTTAAACCATTACCTGCAGAAACATAATCTAAAATACACCCATCATCAAACAATGTGTCAAACTACACTGTAACATGACTGTCACAAAATATAGTCATCATGTGCTGCTGTATCCATATATTAATCACCACATTGTTATTCACCATTTACTGCTTAGCCTGGAGCGGATGGCATCAAACTTATCTATCTTGTGTTTATTCAATAACAGCTGTTTTTATTGCTAAGGAAATACTTGAAAGTGCATGCATTCTTGCTGGGGATCACCTCTCCACAGATGATAGAAATGTTTAAGCTACACTGTGGAACACTGCAGGCAGAGCAAAAGCATCTCCATGGAGACAAGCATGTGTTCGATCCTCTCCCAGAAAAGTTACATAGTGCACCTTTTTCATAAAATTAAAATTTTAAATAACCTGAAATCCAAATGATGGCCAGCTGAGCGCACAGGGCAGCAATAAAGCTCCCATCCTGATCTCCTTTATATTAGAATTTTACACAGACATGTTACTGAGACTCAATTTTACACACTCCATTTCTGTGCACTGTCCCAGGCTACAGAGTTGCGCTGGGTGGGCCGGATGGAGTCAGTGTGGGCTAAGGGGAGTGCATCAGTCACAGCTTGGCTCGTCCCGGCTGCAGCTGGAGAGTCTGGAGCTTCATGGCCAATCCCATGTTTCCTGTGATCTTGAGTTTGCCCTGGAAGAACGCCTAAGGAACAGAGACACAAACTGAGGTCTAGGACACACGGCATTGTATTTTGTCCTACTCAAGCGACGCTCTACAAGAGTGCAGGGCGCGTATCCCCATCAGTATACATAGAAAGCGTGCAGCTGTTGTTGAACTGTACATTTGCCACAGTGTGCTGGAGCACTTCTGTATTGTTTGAAGGAGCACAGGTTCACAAAGACTCTTAATTGGTGCTTTGAATTTTACTTTGGAAATCCTCACGTTTGGCATGGCCACACGGTGCATTTATTTTCATTGCCTGTCCTGTGTCTGGGCTTTCTCACTGTGACTGTGTTGTGGTTTGAGTGTGAAACTATAAAACTATAAAGCGGCACAACACAGAGCCTCAGTGCTCTGAAAATATGGGTCTTTGCAAGTGTTCCTCTCCTCCTCTCTGTCTCTCCTCCTCCTCCTCCTCCTCCTCCTGTCCTCTCCCTCTCTCCCCTCTCGGTCTCTAATCCTCTCCCTCCGTTTCTCCTCTCCTCCTGAAGTAGAGTAATGCAGGTCTTTTTCTTCCATCTTAAACTATGAAATCCATTAACAGAATGTGCTGAAAATACAGGTCTGATGACTGACCATCTGAGGATTCATCTGACCGGTGAGCAGGGCCAGCAGGTCAGCGTCGGACATGGCGATGGTGCAGTCAGCTTTCTCTGCTGCAGACAAACACTGAATTTATTTATATCATGACCTCAGGAATTGATTATCGATTAACTGCATAATCTTGACATCCCTAGTGTGGATTACAACTGCATAACACTCAGCAGTGGTCAGTGCATTTCACCTGTGTTGTTGTGCACATTGCCCTTGCCGTTCTTCACATCCACGTACCAGGTGGCCTCCTGACCATCTGGCCCGTCCTTCACTTTGAAGGCAAACACTCCTCCGATCTTCTTGACAAACTGCTCCCCCTCCTGACAGAGCACAGTAACAGCAGTGTGCAAAGTTTAACGTTTGTGTGTATGACAAATGTATGATGGGTCATGTGATGCAAGAGAGAAAGGTTTAAAGTCCACATGACAGGTAGGTTTGTTAAAGTAAAAAAAAAAAATCTGATACAAATCGATACTAAAACTAGTATTGAAACTGGTACTGATTTGAGCAGATACTAAAAAAACCCATTGGATGACAGAAATAAACCTTTCCTGAATAGCTGTAGAATGATCTTGAGCTGTATCAGAACATGTATCAGACATAGACCAGTTCATGCTCATGAACACTATGGAACCTATCTGGACCACTGAGGGATTACACACAGAAGACCACATGGGAACAGAAAAGAAAGAACCACGCTTTAATGTTGAAAATCACATTATATTGTCTAAAGAAAGACTATATTATCATTGAGTCTATTCCTTAGGATTGAAATAGAGTTTGAAATGTTTGTATGGAGACAATAGAATTAAAATAACATGATGGTTATACACAGTTTGTTTGAGTGGACTTTAAACTCTATCCCAGTGTTTGTGTACAGGCAAAGGCTGCTGGCTCAGGTCCATTACTCTATATATGTTCTATAGTAACAGGAGTAGCAGCAGCACTAGTAGTACTTCAGCTATTTGCTTTTTTGTCTGCATATAGGCTAACCCTACACAATACCCCTGTGGCCATAAGGTGTTTGGTGGGTTGAAGTGAGCAGGGATGTGAGAAGGACTTCTGACCTCCTGCAGTTTCTTCTGGATCTCCTGGAACACTGCATGAGCCTTGAAGCCCTCCAGACCTGCATTGGCACTGGTGCTGACGGCAGCGACCCTGTACGGAGCAGAAACACAGAGAGAGGGGGGACAGTGAGAGCAGCAGAACCCCAGAATCTCCACCTGCCCTTCACCTGCCCTTCACCTGCCCTTCACCTGCCCTTCACCTGCCCTTCACCTGCCCCTCAAATATCCCATGACCCAAAAACATTGCCCCACTGACTGTAAAAGTACATGTGTGTCATGGTTTAGTCCGGCTTTTGTCCGGACCGCTTATCAAATTCTTTCTTGGAGTTAGATTAGAGATGGAAAGGTATTGTTTGAGGAAGTGCTCATATTGTGAATGCTATATTTGAATACTGAATATAGCATATACTATATAGTAAATTAATAATTAATACTCTTTTTGGAACGTTTTATTTAAGTGGCATTTCTACACGTTTACTGGCAACTTTACCCATTTTAGCATTTCATATTTGTCTTAAACCTACATTATGCGTTTAGACCTGGGTTAGGCGTGAGGGGAGGAGGGGGCACACTGACCTGGGACAATGATCTAAGAACGTGCGGCAGTATTTGACTATTTCTCAGACAATAGAGAGAGGAGAGATGGGCCTACCCAGTGCACCGATCAAGTTGTACACCACCCACTCCCCGGCTCCTCACAGTGCCCCCACTTTCCAGTGCCTCTGTTACCCGGGCCCCACAGCCGAGGAGCAGTTGATGCGCCCACGAGGATTTTCTAATCTACAGGCCATCGTGAGCAGGCCAGAGCCAGACCGAAGTTCGAGCGGCTTTTGCTGGTGAAGACCCCTGACCACACACACCAAGGGTCAGTCCGATAAACAAGTCCTTCAAATGTTTTGGTCTCACAGGTCCAGCAGAGTCAGGGTTTGTTTGTGCACTCCAGACGAGTAAACTTTGGTGCGGTAGCTCCTGTCCGACCTAAAGTGTTCCGATCTCTGTGACTGCGGAGCACAACACCACACTGCGCACGGACAGAGGCTGGCGCTCACCTGGACTGAGGGGCGGGCATGCTGGACACACGAGCGACGATGACCTGACGGTTCTAGCGATGACAGCCGCGGTTACTGCTGCTGATGTTCACTCTGCACACACTTCCGGGGTCCTCTTTGATCACGTGGTCAGACCAGAAAACGCGAGGCCACGCACCAAAGCTCGCACACGGCGGCTCAGGCACAGCGGACACACGCGTCACGGTCCGCTCCAGAGGTCCGGTCCGCTCTGACCCAGCTGTCAAACGCTTTTTCTAAGCAACCAGCGCCAGTGGCCTGGGGGTACAGATAAAGGCAACTAAATATGTTTATACTTTCCCCTATCAGGGTAACTGTCCCTGTGGGCCAGCGCACAACCAGTGTACAATACACCTCCACAAAAGATGCACAAAAAATCTTTTTCAGTAATAACATTTACAATATCTGGTGCTACTGAAACGTAGAATAGCTAGGTTAGCCTAGTACCAGTCATAAACGGGGCTATTCCGGGATTAGACCAGGATAGGACTAAACAAGACCTGATATTTGTTTTTTCAATATTTGGGTAAGTTGAACAGGACTACCCTGCATGGAAGTTCTAGCAACATCACGTCTGTCAGTCTGCCCGGGCCAATGGTGATCATTGGTGGACATTTACCACATGACTGTGAAGAAGAGTGTACAATCCCTCAGTCTTCCAGGTACAATCCACGGCAAAAGGAGAAATTCAATTGTCAACTGGACAATATTTTATTTAGGTTATTTTGGAATTTCTCCGTTTTGCTACTGTGAAGAAGAGTTTCATCTTGTGAGTGATTAGTTGAATAAAACATGTGAGAGATAAACAGCACCAGAAGGTTGTGTCATCTGAAAGTAAATGGCAAGAGTACTGGAAGCAGAAGTGCACTTTATTAAGTAGAACTACAAAGTAGTAAAATATGGGTGAGTGCTCTGTGTGCATAAGGTACAGTCCAACAGTAGAAGCACAGAATGAACATAGCTGGTCATACAATACAGAACACTGGAATTCTTGGGAGAATATAAAAATAAATAGGTTATCATTTCTATATCCAGGGCTTCACAGTCACTTTCAAGATGTTTCATAGTTGCACATTTTCATCTCAGGCAAAGCAATAACAGGGGTAGGGAGACATGGGCAAAGTCACAGAGCTACAGTCTGTCTTCTACATGTGCATAAACAAAGAGAAACTACTTTTTGTGCTCTTTATGTGGAAAAGTCTGGGCCTACTGCATCTTCACTGTAGTGTGTAGGGGTCACACACAACACAAGACTGTAGTCAGTCACATGGGTGTAGTAATGTGTAAGGGTCACACACAGGGCTGTAGTAGTGTGTAAGGTCGTTCTCAGAACACCATCTACCCTGTGATCATTTGAAAAATTCAGAGTGATAGATATAGGGTTCTAAAATGTCACAAAGCCACTTTTCAAAATTAAACCACGTCAAGGACAGCTCGCCGTTTCAGTGAAATTACATAATTGAAGAGGTGCCTCTCAGATCTGCAATTTTGAGCAGAAAGTCAAGATCAGTTTCTATTTTTTTATGTCTAAACTCTAAACATCCATTATTGTGGTTTACAACTCAATGTAAACGATGATCTACATATGTTATATTTTAAAATGAAATACCAGAAAAAGCACATGTCTTTTTACACAAATAAACAACTGCTGAGAACCAACGGTTCCAAGATATTTCTTGCATTTAATTTATACCACACACCCTTTTGGCACTTGTGTTAAGGTCTTTTTTTCCATCAATAACATTTTATCAATGCCAATGATATATTTCTATAGGATAAAAGATAGATTTATAGTTTTCTTATGAATGATATTTATTTAAAAGGCGCTTTAACAGACCTCATCACACTTCATTTAAAATGGAAAATCAATAAATGCAATACAACAGATCTATGTCTATCTCATTTAGGCAGAGACGAAGGCTTTTGATCATCAACTCGAAGAAAACTAATATGCAGTGTGTACACGTTAGGACACAGCAGGGGTCCTCCTGTCCAATGACACACTCAAAGGTCAAGCCTGGGGCTGGGACATGCTGTTGGTCTTTAGAGAACCACACAGACTTAAAACAATATATGACATCATGAGTAAACTATAGTCAAGCAAAGGTGGTGAACTAAAAGGCATTTGGCAATGTGATGTGAACTCAACAAAAAGCTAATGGAGGGTGTGGAACATCTGAAATCATTTTTAAATGAGTTGATTCATTTAAAAAAAAACATTAAAATAATTAATATTTTCTAAATAAATACTTGCTTCACTTCCAGCCAGAACAAACTTCTCTCTAAAGAGAAAAACAAAGATGCAACTATGCCCCATGTGCCTTTATATGATTTGTGCTCAGGGTTAGCTCTCACTGCAGAGTCTGGAAGAGGAAACTGCTCTGGTTGGCTCTCAAAGGGCTCACTACTGTGTCTGGTTAAGATAGCCCCTGCAGTAGGTTCTTGGGGGCCCCTCATTGTAGTGTCTGGTAGAGGTAGCCCCTCCGGTAGGCTCTCAGGGGGTAGAAGGTGGCCACCACAAAGCGCCCATCGAAGGTGCGTCCCGTCAGCAGCCTCTGGGCCTCTTTGGCGTCACTGGAGCTGGAGTACTCCACAAAGACCTGCCTCACACACACAGACACATGCACACGTGCCCAGACACACAGACACATACACCCACACACACAGACGCATGCACACGTACACAGACACACGCACAGAGACACGGAGACACACGCACATAGACACACGCTCACAGATGTGCGCAGACATGCATGCAGATGCACACAGAGACACACGAAGAGACACGCACACACGCAGACATACGTACGCAGACGCATCACACAGATGCACACACACGCACACAGGCAGATGCACACGAGCAGACGCACATGCAGACGCATCACACAGATGCACGCACAGGCAGATGCACACGAGCAGACGCACATGCAGACGCATCACACAGATGCACGCACAGGCAGACGCACACGAGCAGACGCACATGCAGACGCATCACACAGATGCACACACACGCACACAGGCAGACGCACACGAGCAGACGCACATGCAGACGCATCACAGATGCACGCACACGCACACAGGCAGACACACAGACGCACACGAGCAGACGCACACGAGCAGACGCACACGAGCAGACGCACACACGCAGATGGACGCAGACACACAAACACAGATGCACGCACACACGCACGCACGCAGACACACGCACATACATTATATTGATCTGGAGGTGTGAGATATATTGAAAATATTGTGAATGCTGTTTTGAAGATATGCTAAATTTGAATACTGCCTATATTTTGTATTTCTGCACGTTATTCCACAGAATGTCACACCTTGAACATTTTTTTTTTACTTTGAGAAAGTTCACCTCTAAAATAAGTTAAATAAGTTTAATGCCATACTGTGGAGAATTCTAAGCAAAGCTATGGGACCTTCAACAAATCCTGAATATGTTTTAGGATCTTTCTGTTGAACCAACAGAATATTGTCTGAATATTGTTACTGGGATACAGCTACTGCCAAAAAATGCCGTCCTTATTGTGATTTGGCTCTTTCAGAACCATCTGGTGATTTCCCTGTGTGCAGTCCCACCTGTCCTTTGCCGGGGTTCTCTTTGGGGATGAGCAGAGACACCACAGAGCCATACTTCTGACACTCCTCCTTCATGTCCTCCAGGATATCTGAAACACACACAGCACACGGGACAAATGGAGTAGCAGTCACAAACATGCATGATGCTACAACCTGCTTTAAAGACCTACTACTGCATTTTACAGGATTTATTTATTTTATGACTTCAATTTAGAAATTATAGGAATTATCATAATTGAAGAATTATCATAGATTTATGATAGAAACTTAAATTGTGGTTTCAAGGATTTACTGAACAAATACTTATAGAAGTTAACCCTGACAATAGTTTTTATTCAGTCAAAAGATATATAACATTTATATATAATATTTTAAAACAAATGATACTTTTTTGAAGCAAAATTTCTATATTGTTTGATATAGAAAAGCAACTTTTGGTTATGACTTAAACATTTTAGTTTTTATCTAATATTTTTCTTATAACCACTTTTTGTCCAGTTGCCTCAATTCGGGAATTTTGAGCATTCTAATAACGCAGTATGTTACAGATTCTTGACTCTCTTAAGCGTTCTCAAACTTTTTCTGGAAATTTAAAAAAACATGCCCATCTCTCTCTGTCTCAGCTCTCTTTCTCTTTCTCTCTCTCTCTCGTTCTGTTTCTCCATCTTTCTTCTCCATCTCTCCATCACTCCTCTCTGTCTCTCCTCCTGTCCCTCTGTCCTCTCATCTCCCACTGTGTTCCTCATAGGTCAAACACTGGTAAGTTTCTACCTTCATACTCGTCCTCATTATGCAGGTGGCTGTCATCGATGAGGTTGAGCAGGCGCAGGACAGGAGACGGCAGCAGCACCATCTCCTCGATGTGTGGAGCTGTACACACACACGGATTTAGATATTTGATAAGAATATATAATCCTGATGAGTACAGAAATGTAAGTCCTTCTTGCCCCCTTATTGTCCACAAGGGTGGACACTTACCAAAAGGGATACTGAAGAAGGGGCTGAGCAGTGCTGTAGACGCAGTGCATCTCTGCTGAGGGCTCTTCAGCAGCATGCTTTGAGACAAGGGAACAGTAAAAGGATCAAGAGAACTCCCAACTCTAGGTACCTTTTACTGTAATCTAATATTTTGATAGAAATAGAGTCACCTACTGTATCAAGAAATGACCTATGAACTTGGACATCAAGTGTTTCTCAAGAAGTCACTGGTATAGTTTTGATTCTATAGGTGCAGGAGCATGAGTGTGGACCATTACTGTACTGTTGGCTTAGCATGTGGTGCACTGTCACCTGGTTTTGTATAACACATAGTTAAAAGTCTTCTCTTTGGATTTCCCTTTGGTGTTGATTTGAACTGTGTAGGTCCACATTAGGTAGCTTAGTCTAACACCATCAGGTCACTCTCATGTTGTGGTACCGTGTGCTTTAACCACATTTTCACTGTTGGCTTATCTAGCTCACACACACTACGTGCCATTACCCTCTGATTAATTAGCAGTCAGCCTTAAAACTAGACTTTATTTAGCCCAACCTGCTGCCTCTATATGCATAAAGCTTCATTTAAACACTTTTGTTTAATGAGGGTACTGACAAAATGTGACTACACAGCTCTCTTGCAGTTTGTAGTAAACAGGTTTGTGGATGACTTCATACTAAATTCAAATGAGATATTTTGAGGAAAATAATCAAAACTGACCCTACATATAGGCCCAAAAATATTGGCATTGGAGCTCATCAGCCCTCTGGATTCTAAACAATCTCTATCACATCAGCCATGGAAGAAAAATACTGGTCCATTTCTTGTTACAATAATATACAATGAAGCTCATGAGCTAATTAACAAATTTAACTGAGAATAATAGTGTTTGCAATAGCAAGGGACAAAATGCAAGCATGCAATATGGCCACATAGTCATGTGAACATAAAAGAGACCAGGAGCAGTCAGATTGTCAGGAGAACACATGAGGAACAGTCAGATGGTCAGGAGAACACATGAGGAACAGTCAGAGGGTCAGGAGAACACATGAGGAACAGTCAGATGGTCAGGAGAACACATGAGGAACAGTCAGATGGTCAGGAGAACACATGAGGAACAGTCAGAGGGTCAGGAGAACACATGAGGAACAGTCAGATGGTCAGGAGAACACATGAGGAACAGTCAGATGGTCAGGAGAACACATGAGGAACAGTCAGAGGGTCAGGAGAACACATGAGGAACAGTCAGAGGGTCAGGAGAACACATGAGGAACAGTCAGAGGGTCAGGAGAACACATGAGGAACAGTCAGAGGGTCAGGAGAACACATGAGGAACAGTCAGAGGGTCAGGAGAACACATGAGCAACAGTTAGATGGTCAGGAGAACACATGAGGAACAGTCAGAGGGTCAGGAGAACACATGAGGAACAGTTAGATGGTCAGGAGAACACATGAGGAACAGTCAGAGGGTCAGGAGAACACATGAGGAACAGTCAGAGGGTCAGGAGAACACATGAGGAACAGTCAGAGGGTCAGGAGAACACATGAGGAACAGTCAGATGGTCAGGAGAACACATGAGGAACAGTCAGATGGTCAGGAGAACACATGAGGAACAGTCAGAGGGTCAGGAGAACACATGAGGAACAGTTAGATGGTCAGGGGAACATGAGAGGAGCAGTCAGGTCACGTAAAAGTCACCTCTTGATCAGGTCTCGGAGGTGGTACACAGGAATAGCAGGGTGCGCCTCACTCTTGCTGACGAAGATCTTGTCAATAACAGCTGCACTATTGTCCTGAGGAAGGCAGAGGTGTTACAAATCGCAGGAACAACAACTATTGGATCATGGAATGCTCTTCACTATGCCATCCCAGTGCAATAGCAATCAAGACACCAGGGCATTCATTTATAAAACACTGAGCTGAATCTTAAAGAACAAGTGGGTTCCTCACACCATTTCTGCTTAGTAGGGTTGTCGAGATACAAACATTTTGAACTCTATTTCGATACTATGGAAAAGACCTGATACTTAATACCATTTTTGATCCCACGATGGTGATAAAAACTATTTCTTTAAACAATAGGATAGATAGATACTTTATTGATCCTGAAGGAAATGCAAATATTGGCAGCAGCAACAATGAAACTAACATAGCAGTCCATCCTCTTGCCTTCATCAGCTATAGGGATGCGTTATACAGATCTACGACATGTGCAGGCTATGTACATCATTAGTACATAGTATATATTCCCATGTGTCCTTATATATGCGTGTAATCCCTCAGTGGTCCGGGTAGGTTCCATGTTGGTCCATGTGTGTATACTAGTCTCTGTGCTCTTATACTTATTCTGATACAGCTCAAGATCGTTCTAAAGACATTCAGGAAACACTGATTTCTGTCCTGTGAATGGAACATTTTTATCATTGACAGGCACAAATACAGAAATGAGCCTTTCCTGAATAGCTTTAGAATGATGAGCTGAACACATAGACCAGTGTACGCACATGGACCAATATGGAACTTACCTGGGAAACAGAGACAACACACATACAAGGACACGTGGGAATAAAAAAAAAAAAGTACTGCTTTTAATGTTGAAAATCACACTCTATTGTCTAAATGAGTGTTCTTGTTATCACTATGGTACCAGAATTTATACTGAGTATATTCAGTTTATTCCTTACTTAGTATAGAAATTTAGAGTTTGATGACGACACTATGACACTATGTTTACACAATATTGAGGAATACAAAGCAGATTTGAAGTGACATGTACATGTGAGTGTACCTCCCATCCCTGTGAGCGCACTGTGTCCTTGAGCTTGGCTCCTGAGTACATCTCCAGGAGGATGCCCAGGCTCCACAGGTCCAGTGCAGTGCAGCTCACCTCCAGCTACTCCGCTCAGGGTACTCTCTCACATCCTGCATTTCAAAAACATGACACATCTTAAATGATAGTAATAATAATGTACTTTACAAGAGTGTCAAAGTGTTTTATGTAGTCTGGAGCCAGCAGCCTCTCCACCAGCTTTTATTATAGTTACTCAACACTTTCACATAAACAGAAGGAGCACCAAAACCAATATCAGAAGGAGCTAGAGCTCTGCCAATGGAGATACTGCTGCCATGTGGACAATGAAAGTCATTACACATAGGATCATTTATAGAGTATCTTTACAATTAGCTCCGGTTGGAAAATTCATATGCCCAGTTCACAAAATGAGGAATAATATTTCATTGATACCTAAAATGTACATTGTTTACTGCTGAGAGAACAAAAGAAAGCATGGACCATTTTATTTGTAGCGCAGAAGCAGCAACCACAGGGCAGGATACAGGAGACAGGAAGTGCATGCTGTTGGAGTCTCGGACCTGTCGGGTACACTCACGATACATGGAGACCGTGGGGAGAGGAGCTCACCTGGTTGCCCTGCCCTGCTTGAAGCTGAGGCCGAAGTCGATGAGTTTGAAGCACTGGTCGTCTGCACTCCACAGGATGTTGCGAGGTTTGAGGTCAGCGTGGACATAGCCCTCTGTGGAAAGCTGAGCCTCTCTGTGGAGAAAGGCCAGAGCCTCCAGCACGTCTCGAGCACAGTGCTGCACTAGCCACATGGAGTGGCCCTGCTGCGGCCTATGGGACAGAAAGCATACAAGCCCACAAACAGAGACCGGGGTGCACAGATTCAGTTTTTTCTGTTATGATAACAATAGTAATACTGTGGCTTCAAGTAACTGCTGTTATCGGAAATAAACTGATACCAGTGTAGGAATGGCCTTTTTTCCCCAAAAAAATACAGTTAAGTTCTAACAATATTGATTCAGTTGTGTTCTGTAACTGTTATTTAAGTAACTATTGAACAGCTTTGTATGAATAAAAGTTCACACATTATGAGACTTTCTGGGCCAGCATCAATCTTATTACATTCACTTAATGGCCCATCCACGATATCAGCTGAACCAATATCATGGAGCCGATACGCGATCCAAATTTTCCTGGATCAACGCCAAAATTCGAAACCAGTATCGGTACTGGTGTATCCCTAAACTGAGGTGCTTTGAACTAGTGCTCCTTTATAGGATCTGAATCTTTTGGATGCGTTCCTTTCTGTTCAAAAGACTGGCTCTTTTATACTTAGTTATAAGACAGAAACCAGGTGAGAACTAATTTTTATCTACAAACTGACAAAATGACCGAGGCTCAGACCTGTTTAAATAGTTCAAACTTGAGTGTTGCACTATAATAATTATAATTATTATAAAAAATTAACAGTTACTAAGACAAATATTTTTTTTGTGACTCGTGTTGCCTCCTCTGCTTCATTGCTGATTCTTGTGTAGGTTCAGAGTTAAAGCATAAAAGCATACTTTTTTTTTTCTTATTAGATTCAGTTCCAACTGTTCTTGTGAAGGAATTGTTCAAAAAAGCCAGCTTGTTCACAGATATCACATAAAGCCATGCACGAATGCCTAGGATGTGTCCCACTGACCTGTGGCAGTGCGGGGCCCCGGCCCTCAGCAGCAGCTCGGACACACTCACGTCCAGCAGCTCCAGCAGCAGACAGCGTGTGGGCACCCCTAGGCTGCTGTGGTGTGTGAACACTCCGTACAGTGTCACTGCAACAACAACACAGCACACACCGAGGTCATATGACGTACGTTACACAGGTTTTTGCGGTGCTGTCACTGTCAGACCATGATGTGCACCCGCACTCACATCATGAGGCCGTGCCTCTCTTATGGAGGCAAACAATGTGTGTAGGTGTGTGCATGCGTGTGTCGTAAGTGTACCGATGTTCTTGTGTCCCTGGATCCCTTCCAGCACGCTCCTCTCTTTGTGGAAGCCGTAGTCCCCTCCATGAGACTCGGCTTGAAACTCTTTGACAGCTGCGGTGCTGGCTCTCCCGGAGCTCACCTGGTACACGGAGGCGGACACCCCCTGCCCGAGCCGGGCTTGCACAGTCCAAATTTCCCCAAAGATCTCAAACAGCACCGGCTTTCCACTGGGCTCCACAGAGGAGTTAGCGCCGGGGCCGGGCTCTGCGGGGCCGCACTGGGCCATCACACGCAAACAGAAAGGCTGATGACAGGCTGCAGCAGCTGCACGGACATGGCACCTCCCCGGTCCCGTGGAGCCGACGATCAACACAAAGGTCTGGCGCACACACGAGCCACCGGAGAACTGTGCTCACACCCGACCGAACACATAATACCCATCCCGCAGAGTTTAGGCGCCGTGTTTACGACATTCCACGGCAGAAACAGCAGCGGCCCGAAGTTGGCAGCTACTCTGAACAATGTTAAATATGTTCCGACTCCGGCCCGGACCGTGCTTTTCAGTGCACTCCTGCCTCCATGTATGGTTCTATCTGCGCGTACAAATGACAGTTTACTCCTCACACCATAACGCGCGCGCACACACACACACACACACACACTGCGCACACACAGACACTGCGCGCGTGCGTGCACACACACACACACACACACAAACACACACACAGCGCTTTCGGAACCAGCGCAACTTTTCTCAAGTTTGGTCTAAAAACAAACAGACTTCCGCTTGACCCATTCTCACAGTGCTCCAGTCTGCTCTCTTGTGGAGAGGAGTGGTTGCATACCTTTTTTTGTTGTTTGTTAGTTTGGTTTTTTTTTGTTTTTTGTTTTTTTTTTGTTTGTTTTTTTGTTGTTTTTTTTGGAAGTGCCATGGAAACAAAATAAGACATAAGTTGTTACATTTTAAATGTCTTTAAACGTTTTGCAGTTAAGTTTGTGGGTGAAATTAATTAAATTGAATGCAGTTTAATGCACGAGATTGGGCTTGGTTTGCTTTCTACTTCCTTCTAGAAAAAGTCAGGCCCCTAGATTGAAAAGGTTAAGAACTCCAGCACTAGATGATGTCAAAAGTTTGCTGCTGATGGATGTAAGAATTGATTATATGTCATTTCTTTGATTTATTGAACAGTTTCTCACTCTAACCCCACTGTTCCACATTTTTACATTTCTATATCATTTTTTAAATAGTTTACCTTTTAATATTTTATTGCTAATATTATTGTATTTTCACCTTTTTAAGAAGGTTGGTATGTATGTATGTTTAAACAGCAATAGACTTACCTACTGTTTTATCTTTTTGTTGACTTTAATTGAATTCTTAATGTAATTTTGAACACATGTGACACATTATGTGTCTGTGATAAAATTATGTATTTTTTTATACCAACTTTGAATGAACAATGGTGGAGCCATGTGGATCCGTCTGAATAACAACATAAAATACTTGTATATCTCTGATGATGACATAGTTCAAGATAACAAGGACTGAGCTGGCAGTGTGGGGCTGGCACAGCACACAAATGCAATTTCTCTATCAGTTTAAAAAATAATAATATAAGTTGCTATAGAATTATATACCCTTCTTTCATCCACTGTTGGGCAGAGACAGTTTTTTAATTCATTTAAATGCCACATATTACTCAAAAATGAGTCTTGTGAACTTTTGGCCATGTTAAAACCTTGAATTTGTGTTTTGTTTTCATTCAGTAACACTTAAAGTTTAAACTACTCTTTCTCCAGTTTTGCCACTTTTAAATTCACATACCTCTGAAAATGTGACAGTACATACACTTTGTTATACATACTTGTTTTGATACAGCTTAAGATCATTCTAAAGCTCTTCAGGAAAGGTTCATTTCTGTCATGTCAGTGGAATGTTTGTAGACATACTGTTTCAATACTAGTTTTAATATAGAAATTGCTTTGCAGTGATTGGAAAGGGCCAATAATGGAATCCTGAGCATAGGCTAGAATTGGCCGGCTGTATCCACACTGCTTTTGCAGCAAGCCTAGTGTGGATGTGGAAGACATAAACTAAGATGACACTGTTAATTGTATCCAGCTTGATTCCATATTGCTTTTGCATGTTCCTTCTCAAGTGCACAGTCTTCATATCAAAGGGTTATATTAGGCTATATACATATCTATATAATGATGTTGTTTGCTCATCACACATGGGTGAATGTTGTGTTTCATTCAAACATGTTTAACACACAAATCCTGCATATTTAGGCTGAGTTCTTCTCTCAAACAAAAAACACTGTTCCACCTTGAGATGTCATGTGACAATAGTGCTCCAGTGTTTTTTTAAACTCCACACACCTTCACTACAATCATTTGTATCATTTTCAGCCCTAGAATTGCGAATCCCTACTGAACAAAAAATAGCCGATAACTTGAAAACTACCACTACATGACATTACAAGGTGGAACAGAAAATTTTGAGTGTTGGAAAAAACAGGATTACTAACATGTGTGAATGAAACAAAACACAAATCCAGGTATGTTTTTGAGGAGGCACCAACATTATAACATGGCTTAAAGCTCACAAGAGTCAAATTGGGGAAATAAAGGGCCTTTAAAATAAAAACTGTTTGTAAGTTTTCCATTGCAGACCCAATGGATGGCCTCCCTTCCACAATCCACTAAGTGCAGATATTGTTGTGAAATATGACTCATGTACAGTGAATTTTGGAGCAGACTGCAGTAAAAGAATGTGTTTGTTGGCAGGGTCCTGGGCTGCTCCCCTTCTGGCCTCTCCCTGCTCCCCTCTCTCCGATCTCAGCCTCACAGAGCCGTGGGACGAGCCGTGGGACGAGCCGTGGGACGAGCTGTGGGACGAGCTGTGGCACGAGCCGTGGGACGAGCCGTGGGACGATCCACAGACCACTGGACATCCGAGTTTCCACATCTGGACACACCTGAAGCGCAGGGTAACGTATATCTGCATGAGGGCACTTATTTAAGCATCTGACACAGGAACTCTTTTAGATGACTTATGCTGTTTTATTTCAGAGCGAGTGCAGAAAGTGGACTGGATTAGGTTTTCGGTTAGTGCTCATCAACAGTGCTCATCTTTACCACCAAACAGGCTGGGATAAGCTTAGTGTGTTTTTCACTGGTCAAATGTGGGCTGCTTTAATGATGATGTGAAGACATAGCAGACCTCTATGAAAATGAACCATGCATGGATGAAAAAAATCATATGTTCTATAAAAAGACTACATATAGGATTAAAAACAGAGCATTAAAAAACACATGTAAACTTTGGTTTGCATTAGAGACTTGCTCTGCTGCCCATGTCTCTCTACGGTGAACATTTTCAGACATGATATTATATTATTGCTTTTCTTCATTTATGCGTCTAGAGTACTTGTGAAGATGTTTAAAAATGTTGAGGCTGTGAGTGTTAAAAAAGCAACATTCTATTTGCTGGAAATAGTCAGGTGACATAGCCTTTGACCAGATCACTTTTATTTTCCTTTACAATGAAAGTGTTGGATTATTTGACAGGTGATGTTCTGCTTCCATTTTCTTTTCTTTTTTTGTCCTCTTCTTTCTGTGTTGGTCCCAGAGTAGAGTTTAGTCTGAGGCTGTCCTCATGTTCCCTGTACTACTGGCTCTTAATATACTTTTCACTGTCATTATTTAGGCAAATGGTTCATCTCTTTTAATGCTGCTGTAAAGTAGTTTATAGTAACAGAAGTTAGAAGACAGAAGTGACCCTGCATGTTCTTCACTAAAGACTGTGTGTGTGTGTGTGTGTGTGTGTGTGTGTGTGTGTGTGTGTGTGTGCGTGCGTGCGTGTGTGCGTGCGTGCGTGTGTGTGTGTGCGCCTGCGTGCGTGCGTGTGTGTGCGTATCTACAGAGGATATGCTGATGCAGAAGCACAGATGGACTCAGGCTCTGAGTGCACTGCTCCTGACCTGGGCCGTGCTGTGCCAGGAGCCCCACCTGCCTCCCATAGTGCAGGCTGCAAACATCACTCACATCTGCCCACTGCTCTGTAAATGTGTCTCCGAAAGCACGGTCAACTGTGCGGGGGCGGAGCTCACCTACTTTCCCCCAGATTTGTCTGACAAGACCCTACAGCTTTATTTAGAGGTGAGATCAGATTTGATTTAGACTCACTCATTTACGGCCAGAAAAGTTTGGTACGTTAAAAGTTCACAAATCAAAGTTAAAAAGATAGTAAAATAAGTAACTGACATTTTTAAAATATGAGAGGGCGGAGCTCATACCACAGAAATTGGAACTTGTATAGAAATGAATTGCTGTAATGAGCCGTTGCTCATATATATTTACTAGTGGGATTATATGTGTGCTAGCTGCTTTTATCAGCCATTAGTGCTGGTATTTTTAGGATGATGTTACCATGCACAAATACTGGTACTTCTGCTCACTGGTGCTATGTCCACATACTGCAGCACTCTGAGAAACATGGTGGATTTGAACTAATCCCTGTGTGCGTTTTTCAGAACAACATGATTACAGAAGTAACTGTGGAGCATATGTCGCATCTGCACCTACTCGAGACGCTCAACCTTCAAAACAACGGCCTCTCCAGTGACGGTAAGAGATCAACACATGTTTGTATTCAAACAGTATTAGGGAGGAAGGGTTTCAGAAGGAGTCATCTGGACATCGTTCTTAAGACTCAAACCAGTGCCATCATTGCAAATGATGTCCGGAGTTGAAACATCTGGATTTCCAAAGTCCTCTGAAACCTTTTCTACCTTTGACTATTCCTGGACGAATGAGAAGTGAAAATTATTATTATGAAAACCCATAAAAGGCTGTGCAGTCTGTGATAGTGAGTGTGTGTAATATTTTGATTCTCTTGACTAATCCACTTTATTCTTCATTGCTTTTAAAATTTTGGAAACTAACTAATCACATGGCTCTTAAGCGTAATCCCAAGAGTCTAAAGATCTTCTAGGGATTGTGGTGTGAATTAACCCAGGCTACAAATCAGATGACCATGTTCATCTATGTGTGATGTATTTGTCCCTATCTAACAAACAATAAATCCCATATTTATAATATTTATAATAAGTCCCATATTTTTGTATCCAGTCTTATATTGTACTTTTTTCATATCTTTGTAAATATTTGAAGATTAACATTGTTGATCATTTATTTTAGTTCTGAATCTAGTCCAATAATCTGGGTGTTATCTCCCAGAGCTAGTCTAGGATGAACACTGCAGCCCACCGTACATGCAAATACAGAATAATAAATATTGTCTCACAGGTCTTGAGGATGAAGGCCTTGAAATGCTTGAACAGTTGGCATTTTGTACCTGGCAAATAACAATGTAAGTCCCACACTATCTTTGTCCCACTGCTCATGTTGACAAAGCTGAGGGCAGCGCTGGCTCAGTGGCAGGACCTTGGTTCACTTGAATTAAAAAAGATTTTATGTAATTTTCGGGAGGAGGCAAACCCCCTGCATGTTTCCATGGAAACAGAAGTTTAAAACCATACTCCAGACAATAGATGTTTTATGCCCTACTCTGGAATATTATTACCCAAGGTACAACAATTCCATGAAAATAAGATGCAGGTGGAGGCCCTCCTCCAGGCCAAATAAGAGTCAGGTTTGTGGAGATACAGGCCCTCTCACAGTAAGGAGACATGTTTTTATTTGTTTTGTCAGTGCAAAAAAACATCCATAATGAAAAAACATTCTTTTATTATAGTCTATTTTTTGGTAAAATACTGAGGCTTTAACTGGAAACTTGACATAGTTCTTGAATGTGGATAAGCAATGAATAAATCCTGGAGTTATTTACACAGGCATCTGTTCCGATTCTTTCAGCTTACTTCAGCGCCCAAGGCACTGCCACACTCCTTAGTAAGTGCAGATTTTACTTCAAATGAGCTTACAAGAATTTATCCGTATACATTTGGCTACAAGCCTAAGCTAAGGTAACCCTGTGTGTCCAGTGAAGCTTGCACATTCTCAGCTGCCACTCACACTGTTGTTTGGCTCAGGTCGGTGTATCTCCATAACAACAAACTGATGGACTCCAGCCTTCCTGAGCACATGTTCAATGGCTCCAACAGCCTGGAGGTCCTCGCCATGTCCAGCAACCTTCTGACTGAGGTGCCCAGGAACCTGCCATCCAGCCTCCATCAGCTCCACCTGAAGGTGAAGAACATCATGCATAACCCTCATATTTGAGCAGGTTAAGTAAGAGTCAATGGTATGTTTTGGTATTTAAGTTGTTTATGTTGTAAGTCGACCTTAAGTGTCCAGAAAGGCGCCTAATAAAAAAATGCATTATTATTAGGCCCGAGCGCCATGGGTGGCGTAGGGCCTATTGTTATTGTTCAGCAGTGCGAACACTGCGGGAAGGCGTGCGCACAACACACGCAAACAGAGCGTTTCCAAACACACATTCACACTCATGCCAGTGACTGGTGCCTGCTGACCTGGCACGGTGGCATTGCCCATGGCCACGACAGTGGCCTAATTGTTATTGTTCACCCCAAAACACATACAAAATTTGGTACACACATTCGTGACATGATCTCGATCAAAAAAGTCAATGATGACCCATGCCATTTCACATCGTGTTGCCATGGCAACAGGCCAAACATCTGTCCAATAGGACATCCCAATAAAAACTTTTGCATAGCCAAGCCAAATTTGGTACACAGATGCATCATGGGAATAGGAACAAAAAAATATATTATACGGTTGCTAGGCAACCAACAGGAAGTCCATCATGTTGGACTGATTGTGCGACTCGGCGCCAAAGGTTCCTGTCCTTGTATTTGAACAAAATCGTCCTACGGCGTTTGACCCAGACTCCCCAGAATCATTCTGTATCATCTAGACAAGTGGGACATTAAAAGTTGTAAAAAAAAAGGTCAAACGGTGTTGCTGTGGCAACAGTGCAAATTTCAGGTTTGTTTTTTCAGCTCGCCATTAAACTTCGACGCCTGATAATTTGCACAAACTTTGGCCAATTTCACTCAAACTTTAATCATTGGTGGACACCCCGACCCTGAACAGATTTATATAATAAAATCTAAAATATATAATGCAATAGCACCCCCTAGGGAAATTGTATGGGACAATAAAATTTTACTTTTTCGTAGACATACAAAATTTGGTACACACATTCGTGACCTGGTCTTGATGAAAAAAGTCAATGACGCCCACACTCCATCTCCCATTGTATTGCCATGGCAACGGGCCAAAAATCTGTCCTCACCAATGGGACGTCCCAACAAAAACTTTGACGTACGTGTACCAAATTTGGTACACAGATGCATCATGGGAATAGGAACAAAAAAGTATATTGTGACCACATGGTTAATGGACCAATGTTGCAAATTTCGGGTTTGTTTTTGTGACTCGCCATGACATTTCGACGAGTGATAATTCGCACAAACTTTGGCCTATTTCAATCAAACTTTAATCATTGGTGGACACTCCGACCCTGAACAGAATTATAAAGGAAAATCTTAAGTGGGTGCAATAGCGCCCCCAAGGGAAATTGCATTGAACAGCAAAATTTTACTTTGTCCTAGACCGATAAAATTTGGTACACACATTCGTGACATGGTCTCGATCAAAAAAGTCAACAATACCCCCACACCATTTCACATCGTGTTGACATGGCAACAGACCAAACATCTGACCTCGCCAATAGGACGCCCCAATTAAAACTTTTGTATAGCCAAACCAAATTTGGTACACAGATGCACCATGGGAATAGGAACAAAAAAATATATTGTGACTACGCCCTCTCCCAAACCAGAAGTTTGCCATCTTGGATTTTTAAAAAATCAGCACATACAGAAATTGAGAAAAATTTTATGGTTCGGTTAAGATTAGGGGTTAGGATTAGGTTAGGGCTAAGGTTCGGCCTAAGGTTAGGGCTACAGTTAGGAGTTCAGGTAGGGTTAGTGTTAATTTAGGAGTTAGATCAAGGGGTAAGGTGCACTGGTGGGGCATGGCATGTGCAGAGCTCAGCGTGGCCAGGGTGCGGCATGGCGTGGGCTCGAGCGAGGGACGATCATCGCTGCTTGCGGCTATATTTATTATTATTATTATAATATAATTATTAGTATTATATAATAATAATAATAATAATTCTTATTATTATTATTATTATTATTATTATTATTATTATTATTATTATTATTATGCCTGGTCCTGTTTGTTACTGAGCTCTTCTGCTGCTTAGCATGTGTGCTTGTGTGAGACTGGTTGTGGAGGCAGGAGATTAGATCTGTCACAGCTGCTGATGATCTTGTGCTGGTGTCTCAGCATTCTCTGGTGTTACTCCAAGGCATTGGTCGTCAATCTCAAAGACATCAAGACATTGCCTCAGTGGTCTTTTCCACCCTGACGACCTGGCCTCAAACAAAAAGAGAGCTTTTGTAAACTGGTCTGGTGAGGGTGGGTGAGTGTGGGAGGATAGAGTCAAACACATAGGACATTGCTGTCCTATGGGGCAGGAGGCAGCAGGCTGACAGGTGCAAGCTCTAAGCACTTTGTTAGACACATGTTGGGGTCACCTGATGTTCTCAATGGTGCTGTTGTCAAACCCATCTCATCATCTTTAATCAGTGATCTGTAGAGAGGGATGGAGAGGACTGATGAGTTGGAGATGCAGAGCTTTCTTGGCCACAGCTCTTCTGTGGTTGGGCTTTGGTGTTAGATCACTATTATTTGTCACTGTGCAGCACAGAGTTGTTGCTCATGCTCAACATCATTGCCGAGCTGCAGTGGGGCTGGATCAGGTCAAACATGCATAAACTTTGTCTTTGTCCAGCTCACTTGAAGACCAAGCCTCTTTGTAGCACCCCTCAGCTGCCTGTAGGATGTGCTGCGCAGATGGTCTCATCAGTATATTCGAGGTCAGTCAGATGGCAGTCCCCAAAGGACATTCCATTCCGCTCGTACACTCTAAGCATCGGGTGGTCAATGACACAGTTAAAGAGCATCAGAAGCAGTAACACAAACTTGGCAAATGTCACTGCAGTTGACCAGTCAGAGTCTGTATTACAGTAATACAGCAACTCTCTGCATTACAGTAGAGCAGCTTAAACAGGAAAACAACTCCAAGGGTCTGCAGTCTTCAGTCTGCAGTAAACTCTAGAGAGGAGTGTGGCTGCTGGAGTCAAAAGCAGCCTTAAGGTAAGCCTGATGTAGAATTCATAGGTCTGTGACTCCGTCGTTTCAAGAGAGACAGGATAATGCCCTTGGTCCGTCACTGAGGAACTGTCATCTACACATACTGATGATGTTTAGCATCTCAGTGCACAGATCCTTAGGGTTTTCTGGTAGTTGAGTTCTCTGAAAAAAGAGAAGCTTTGATTTCATCCCAGGTGATCTTGACTTAATAAAAGAAATAAGAATAGTTTTAAATACTGTATTAACTGAATAAACAATACAGACTTTTAGTGCCATTTAACTTAGATAGTTTTTCCACCAAAGTCTCCTAACCCCATGCTTTTACTGCCAGTAAAATTACCTTCCAATTTAAAAAGAGCCAGACTGATCACTGGTGATTTGAAATGACTGAATCATGATCTCAATTCAAACATGATGAAATGCTCAGCTCTACTACTTAATATCAGCTGGTCATCTTTGGTTGATGGTTCTATTTTGAGTCTTTATCCCTGTCTCACTCTAAGTTCTACAAATACACAGGGAGAAAAAGTGAATTTTCAGACAGACAGTTGAAGTTGAGCTCAAGTCAGTCCCTTCCCCTGAATAAGACACTGTGTCTGCTCAGAGAGGCTAAGTGGAGTAAGCTGATATTGAGGTGACGCTCACACGTCTGCTGAGGGACAAATGAAAAAATGAATGTATCGCTTCCTGATTATACATTTCATACATTAGAATCCATCTTTGTTATTTTTTTTGTTTAGTCTTTTACATTAATTTATATGTCAATATTTGAGATTACTGTGTCCATTCTGTTAAACTAAATTATTTTAACATCTTGATTTTTTTTTACTTCCTTGACCCTAGCAGAACAAACAATGGTCGTAACTATAATCACTGGGAGTAAGCTATTTTTTGCAGCCACAGTTGTCCTGGGGCCAAACAATGCAGATATGGATACCATTCTGTGAATACAGTGGAGGAAATAAGTATTTGATCTTTTGCTGATTTTGTAGGTTTGCCCACTGACAAAGAAATTAACAGTCTGTAATTTTAATTTAAGTTTATTTTAACATTGAGGAATAGAATTTCAAAAAGAAAATCCAGAAAATAACTTGAATAACTTTAAAGAAAATATTTAAACTGATTTGCATTTTATTGAGTGAAATAAGTATTTGAACCCTCGAGCCAAAAAAGACTCAGTAGTTGGTGGCAAAAACCTTGTTTGCAGCACAGAGGTCAGACGTTTCTTGTAGTTGATGACCAGGTTTGTCACATATCAAAAGCAATTTTGGTCAACTGTTCTTTGCAGATCATCTCAAATTCATTAAGGTTCTGTGGCTGTTGCTTGGCACCTCGGAGCTTCAGCTCCCTCCATAGGTTTTCTATAGGGTTAATGTCCGGAGACTAGCTGGGCCATTCCATGACCTTAATGTGCTTCTTCTTGAGCCACTCCTTCATTGCCTTGGCTGTATGTTTTGGTCATTGTCGTGTTGCAAGACCCATCAATGACCCATTTTCAGTTTCCTGGCAGAGGAAAGGAGGTTGTCACTCAGGATTTTAACGATACATGGCTCCGTCCCTCCTCCTGTTGACATGGTGAAGTTGTAACACTCCCTAAGGGCTTGACTGGCCCACACAGCAGATATAGTGGATCACCAGGGAACTATAGACAGCCGACTTCAGTTTCAAGGATTTTATTACAATAATCTACAGCCATTTTAATTCAAAAGGGGAATCAACAGGTCACAAGTGTGGGAAAAGTCCACTGAGTTTGTCAAAAAGTTTAAAACTTAGAGGGCTAGTCCAGAGGTCTGGGCATTTAGTCGGTTAGCATAACTGGTGGCAGTCAACTGACAGCGGGCATGACTGGTGTGGCACCTTGTTCTAAGCGTGCCCCAGTTTCACCCACAGAGCGACCGATACACCGTAGAACTGCCCAAAGACCTCGTCTGAACAGAGGTGTGAGAGAGAGCCATGGACATTCAGTTAAATAAAAAGAAATCAGGTAAAGACCCAATTTAACATTTTTACTAACCTAAACAAAGAGACAAAGGTGTGAGAGAGAGGAAGAAGGTCCACAGGGTTTTAAGCACTTACTACTATTACTGTACATAGCCATTGGCCTACACCAAATAACAACAAAAAAACACACACACACAAAGAAAAACCACACCCATTTATGGTGGCAGAGGAACGATACTATTACCCAGTTACAAAGTTGTCCTGTGCCCTTAGCAGAAAAACACCCCCAAAGCAGAATGTTTTACCTCCATGCTTGATGGTGGGGATGGTGTTCTTGGCACATTTCTCTTCCTCCAAACATCATCATGTTTGGAGGAAGAGAAATTAGTTAATACCAAAGAGACTGATTTTGGTCTCATCCGGGAACTTTCTCCCAGTTCCTCTCTAAATCATTCAGGTGTTCAATGGCAAACTTCAGGTGGGCTGCACATGTGCCTTCTTAAGCAGGGGGACCTTGAGCACTGCAGGATTTTACTCCATTGTGGCCTTAAGGGTTACCAATGGTTTTCTTAGTAACCGTTGGTTCCAGCGCCTTTAGATCATTGACTAGATCCTCCCATGTAGTTCTCGGCTGATTTCTCACTCTTCTCATGACCACTGAAACCCAACGAGGTGAGATCTTGTGTGTGGGGCCCCAGACCAAGGTCCATTGATGGTAATTTTGTATTTATTAAACTGCACCAACAGTTGCACCAACAGTTGTCTCTTTAATATCCAGCTTTTTGCTTATGGTTTTGTAGCCCACCGCAGCCTTGTGCAGGTCTACAGTTTTGTCCCTGATGTCCCTTGACAGCACTTTGGTCTTTCCCATGTTGGACAGTTTGGAGTCTGATTGACTGATTCTGTGGAGAGGTGTGTTTTATACAGGTGACTAATGAAAACAGAAGTCTAATTCAGGTGACGAGTTGATTAGGAGTGTCTAACTGGTCTGTGGGAGCCAGAATTCTTCATGGTTAGTCGGGGATCAAATACTTATTTCACACAATGAAATGCAAATCAAGTGACATATTTTCTATAATGTGATTTTTTTATTTATTTTTTAAACCTACCATTAAAATTGTAGACACTTGTGGCAAACCTACAAATTCAGGAAGGGATCAAATGCTTATCCCCTCCACTGTATATCAAATGATCCAATTAAAAAACTTAAAATAGGACAAATAAAGCGTTTTTTGTTTTACTTCTGTCACTGCTCAGAGATGAATATGGTTTCACTTTTGTGGACAGAGCAACAAGTTGATGGCGATTCCTGCGGGGGCCTTTGAAAATCTGTCAAACTTGAGGGAGTTACATCTGCAGGACAATCTGCTGAGCAGCCAGAACATCGGGCCCACAGCCTTCAGGTACAAACGCATCAGTAACCAAGAGACTAGACTAAAGCGTATCTTTAAGAGTCATGTTAGGAAGGTTAGCCCACTAAGAATATCAACTGGTAAATTAGGGATGATTTCTTCTTCCAGTCTAGTACTGGTCCTCTTAGAGCAGGTCAGATTAAGGTGTCTTGATTTTAAAAACACAAATAAGCCACATGTGCTGTTTCTATCCCACAGTGACCTGAGCAGACTGGAGTACCTGGATTTGTCCAACAACAACCTAAACGTTGTTCCCAGTGGCCTTCCAAAGAGCCTGCTTATGCTGCACTTGGAGAAGAACTCCATCCACAGCATTGCTGCAGACAGTCTCAGCTCGCTCAGGAGCCTGGAGTACCTTGTGATCCACAACAACAAGCTGCGCTCACGCAGCATCCACCCTGCTGCCTTCCAGGTGATATACACATCAGCCATCACACTGCACGGCCTTCATGTCTAATATTATAGAACAAATATACTGCCGTCTCAGCATGTGAATCAGTAGGATTCTCATTTGAGAAGAGCGTGTCATACACAGAGTTCTCTGAGTACTTTCTTAACACAGCACTTAAAAAACAGGCATGTGTCCCATATGAGACCATAGTGTGAACAGACTCAACATGGCCTAAGCCCAGCCAGGGAAACATGCACCAGTACATTACTTTAACACTTGAAATGTAGATGAAAAAAAAAAAAAACAACAGTTGCTCAAAGGAGGAGGATTCTGCTCTAACCTTGGCTCTCTTGTTGTGTTGATGTGGGCAGGGTTTGAAGAAGCTGCACACCCTGCACATGTACAATAACCTGCTAGAGAGAGTTCCTCGAGGGATGCCGCGCAGAGCCACCACCGTCATGCTCCTGCACAACTCCATTTCTGAGATCGGCCGCAATGACCTGGCTCTGCTGCACACTCTGACAGAACTCAACCTGAGCTACAATAGGCTCAGCAGCGGCAAACTGCACCACGAGGCCTTCAGGAAGCTGCGCAATCTGAGGTCTCTGGATGTGTCTGGGAACAGCTTGCATGTGTTTCCTTTGGGCCTGCCTCGGAGCCTGCAGGTGCTGGAGATCAACAACAACCAGTTGAGCTCTATCCCACATGGGGCTCTGTCTGGGATGGACAAACTAAGCAGACTGGCCCTCAGCAACAACCAGCTCAAACTCAACTCTGCCTATCAGGGAGCATGGCTCGAGGTCAGCGCGCTCACTGTAAGTCCATACTGAGGCGTTCCACATCATTTCTGCCTGCTTTCCTCTAAGTATGGAGCTTTATTGGCTGAAATTAATATAAAATATTCACACATCTGCATTTATGAAAAATAATACAAGCTGAGGGGTGTGATGCTGGAGGAAGGCACTTTTCTTTCAACACAATCAGAAACAGGACCATGAACGCTTATATTAATCACAGGCTCCTGAAAGTGTGCTTTTTAAATTCATTTTGTATTTTTTCTTGAGTTTTAACAACTAATCTAAAAACTTTTTATGTCTGTGTTTGTTTATGTGCGCATTTTGTCACCATGGTAACTGATGAACATTCTGCCATAGACATACAAGAAGAACACCCCCAGCATGATGTCACCACAAAGTATCACCAGCTTGAGTTCATGTTCTAGAATTAGTCAGGAAGCCCTGTACCTCTATGGAAGGTTTTTACACTGTTACACTGCAGTTTCAGTGATGAAGTGTGATACTAAACCTATATAAACACGACTGTTGATGTGTACAGACACTGGACCTCTCTGGGAATCTCCTGTCCCATATCCCTCCAGACCTGCCGGAGTCCCTGGAATACCTGCACCTCCAGAGCAACCGCATCTCATCTGTGCCCGCCTCAGCGTTCGATGGCACACCCAATCTCAAAGGACTCTATCTGAGGTGAGGAACTCTTGACTTCATTGGTTTAGGCACCAGTGACCACAACACATCCATGTAAACATTATGAAGATAAACACTAGACCACACTTCAAAATTTAAACCTTTTTTCACACTACTTCTGAGATTCTTGTTTTTTAACATGACTTTACCTAATCATTTCAACATTTCAGGTTACATCAGCAACACACAATGCAACAGATTTAGGCACAAGCCGAGGACAAAGTCCTGGCGATGGACTAATTTAAACCTCATCAAGTGACCAGTATCAAAAATTTGAACTCTATGAGCAAATTTTGAGTGAAGAAAAAAAAAGTAATGAAAGAAACTCAGTAGGGCCACTTCAAACTTTGACTTTGATGGAGCGTATTGGAGCTCAACCCAGAAAAAAAATAAAGTAAAAATCTAATGTCAGGACATCAAAAAAATGATATCATGGCCCCATCCTAAACCCAACAGGAAGTCAGCCATATTGAATCAAACCCTGGAATAATAAAAGCACACGCTGTACACACACTGGCACACTGAGGACATCTCCTCACACACTTTTCATCGTAAGCACTTCAAATTTGGCCAAAAGACACCCATGTGTGATCAAAGATTATCAATTACATTTTGAATATAAATTTGGGTGTGGCCATGATGAAATATTTCTCTTTGACACATTTTTTGTTTGGAAAACAAAAAATGTTAAAACCTCTAGCTCTAATAGGAGAAAATAATGGTTGAAATTGTTTGTTCAGTTTTTTTTTATTATTATTATATTTTTACCCCAAATTGAACCCCCTGAACATTAATGAAAAGATTATTTTATTCCACCCAAAAGTCAAGCTTGATGATTTTTTTAATCTATGCAAAAAAATAAATAAATAAAAAATTATTGACAAATGATACCTGTTACACAGAGCCCATTTCAAGGAAAGTAAAAAGCCACTCATGACTGCACCCTAAACCCTACAGGGTGTCAGTCATATTGGACAGAGGCGTGTTACTTACCCTAAAATGTCCCACTCTCCACACGCTCTGAGGTCCCAGGGACAGCTCCAGCTCATGGTACCTCAGACAAGCGTCAAAACCAGGGGTAACCGACCTCTGTGGTCGCTCTGCCCTTCCATGTCTGAACAGCCCCCCCAGTAGAGTGTCTTAAGTCTCGTCTCAAGACTTGTGTGGTCTTGTTTCTGAGCATTTTTTTTTTTTTTTTTTGTCTATGTCTGCAGGATTAATCACAATCTAACTAAAATCTCAATACAAATGGAAGGCTGCAATTTTTTAAAGGACCATAATTCCCTCCACAAACAACAAAATATCCTTATTATGTATAAATGTACTTACCCTGTACATGTGTGATTCTTGTATTAGTTTGTCAGTTCAGATTTCAATCTTTTTGTAAATTCTTCTGTACATGTTTAAAATGTGAATTTTGAAGTGAATCCTATTCTTTATTTGTCCGCCCCATACCCATGCATTTTATATGCTGGAAATAAAAGTGGTTTAATCTAAAAAATTTGATGTCTAACTGTGTTTTACCTACAGCACATTGGGCCTCATTCACCAATATTTTCTTAAACAATATTTGTAATTTCCACTTTAAGAAGATGCTGAGACATTTCTGTGCCAGATTCACAACATGTACTGCCAAATTCCTTCTTAAATGAGAGTTTCCTAATGCACCAGCATCCACATATGAACACCACAGCACTCATTTCTATTTAATTTACATAAAATGAATATGTATTTACTAAGAAAAGCATTCTGAATTCCTTTGTACATTCTGTATTTGGCCAGTAAGGGCTTGAGAGATTACAGTGTTTCTCAGTACCTTTGGCACATTTTTCTGATCAGAAATGTTTAAAAAGTCATTGTTCAACCTCCATATTCTTCACCCACTTACAGACATGGACAAAATTGTTGGTACCCCTCTGGTAATGAAAGAAAAATAAACAATGGTCACTAAACAATGGTCAACAATGGTCACTAACTAAGCAATAATCAATATAACAATGTACTGAAAAATAACCAATGAAAATTTGTCACTGTTTATTTAAAAGAATTATTTAAGAAAAACAAACTAATGAAACTGGCTTGGACAAAAATGAAGAGAGAAAAAACTGTAAATAGTTGGACAATATGGACATGTTAAACTTCGGTGTGTCTCTAATCTGCATCACAGGTTCTTCAAACTTGTCCTCAGTCAGTCTGTCTGTTTAAAGGGGGACATGTGTCATTGTGCTGTTTGGAGACATGATGGACACAACACTGAACATGGACCAGAGAAAGAGAAGAAGAGAACTGTGTCAGGAGACTAGAAAGAAAATGATAGACAAGCAGGTTAAAGATAAAGACAATAAGACCATCTCCAAGCAGCTTGATGTTCCTGTGATTACAGTTGCACATGTTCTTCAGAAGTTTAAGGTCCACAGGACTGAAGTCAACTTCCTTGGACACTGCCACAAGAGGAAAATTTATGACAAATTGAAGAGATGGATCAACGAATGGAACCAAAGAGCCCAGAACAAATTCCAAACTAATTAAATGTGAACTTGAAGGGCAAAGTACATCAGTGTCAGATCACACCATCCATCAGTGTTTAAGCCAAAGTGGACTTGATGTGAGGACACCACTGTTGAAAACAAATCATAAAAAAGTGAGACAGAATTTGCCTCAGTGCATATGGACAAGCCACAAAGCTTCTGGGAGAATGTCTTTTGGACAAATGAGACAAACTGAAGCTCTTTGGCAAGACACATCAGCTCTATGTTCACAGACACAAAAATGAAGCACACCAAGAAAAGAATACTGTCCCTACTGTGAAGCACGGAGGAGGCTTGGTTTTGTTCTGGGGCTGTTTTGCTGCATCTGACACAGTGTCTTGAATCTGTGCAAGATAGAATGAAATCTCAAAACTATACTCAAGGTATTTTAGAATGAAATGTGTTGCCTGGTGTCAGAAAAGTCTCAGTCTCAGTCATAGGTCATGGTTCTTCCAACAGGATAATGACCCAAAACACACAGTTAAAAACACACAAGAATGGTTAAGAACAAAACATTGGACTGTTCTGAAATGGTATTATTGACATTTACAGAAATCATATGTTTGCAGAGTTTGCCTCAAAAGGTTGTGTAACAAAATATTAATTTAAGGATACCATAATTTTTGTCCAAGCCAATTTCTTTCTTTTTTTTTCTAATGATTCTGTTGAACCACAGGTGAAAAACAATGTTTGATTTCCATTGGATGATCTTCAGTAATTTTTTTATTTATTATTGCTTTTATCAGTTTCAATTTATTTCAAGTTTCAATTTTTCATTGCCAGAGGGGTACCAACAATTTTGTCAGCGTCTGTATGTAAATCATTATGTCCATTTCCAGTTTGTTTTTACACAGAGCAAATGCTTTTGTGCATTATTGCAAATGATGGTGTGATCCAATCATTGCCACTTACAGCCACATTTTTGTTAATTAAACTTCATATTATCAGCAGTGCTTAGCTTTATTTTAGGGAGACAATGTGGAGCAGAACCAAGCTAGAGCCATGACCTGACCCGTGCACACAAGATGTCTCACTAATTACAGCCCCTGTACAACAGGCACAAATGGAATCTTAGTACTTAGTAATTACAGTGTTGATGCTAATATACAAATAATATGACATGTTTTTTTAAAAATTTACAAAAGTAAAATAAAAGACTGTAATATTTTGACTCACAAAAACAAAAAAGGAATAAAACATGTAAGATTTTGTGTTTTTCTCCTTAGGTTGAACCGACTGACAGTGGCCTCTGTGGACGAGAGTGCCTTCTTTTTCCTCCCTGACTTGGACGTGGAGCTGGACTTTGAGCTGTCCTTCAGGCCCAGATCATCAGACACTACTCTACTGGACCAGGAGGAGGAAGAGGAGGAGGAGGTCTGACAGCAGCACAATCTCTGGGTGTTTTCCAAAACCTAGTACCCGTGCCTTGGTAGTTGGTTCCGCTAAAATCACTTCCTTCGAGGCCAAGGACCCTTCCTTGGGTCAAACTGAGGTGAATAGAATAGGCTTCAGAGAGAATGAGCAGCAGAAGTTCACTTTCTCTTCCTCCTTGTGTGCATAACAAAACAATTAGATAAATACTACAACTGCCTTTACTGTTATGTGCAAACATATAAATCTCATCCATATAATGCCCCCTCCCAATAGTAGTGACTCCCCCATAATGCCCCATACTGACCTCTAATTACACTCCCCCACTACCGCTCACCTGTACTGTATACCCCTCCCCAGGAAGAAAGTGACAGCTTCAGTTTACTCCTGTGGCCCAAAAAACATTTCATTAATGACAATCTATATCTCCTGTATGCAGCTATTAAGCATTTGTGTTTAAAAAAACATTGAATACATTTTTCAAGCTGATGCACTGCTTTTGCTGCATTTCAACTCCATACCAATTTTTTTTTTCTTCAAATGATAACTGACAAAATAGGTAAAATGACAAAATACTAACTAAATGCCTGAACATTGGAACAGGCCCAGGTCAGACCAAGGCACAGTCCCGAGGGTTTGGAAAGCCTCTGTGTGCTGGGTCAGCTGCTGGTGCTGGATGCCAGATTGGTTCACAGCCATTGTATTCGTCTTTAGCCTGTTTTTCACATTTATGAACATATTTTGCATATTGTCTTGTTAATACAGTCTCAATGTAATGAGTTCTCTGCTTATGGAAATAATGTCATGTATGTCATGCATGACCCACTGCCACCAACCTTACACAATTTTCATGACTGCTTTTACAAACTCATAACTCACTCCAAAGTCATAACACATTTTATGTATTAAATTAAATGTATTCCATGTGAATGTTCACTGGTCTGCAGAAAAGTCAAGTGCACGTGTGGTTTTGTTGTTTATACTACACTTCTTTATAATCTTTGTTATTAACAAACCTTGTGTTTTATTTCATTCATGCAAGCCCTGGACATTTCGGCTGTGTTCTTCTCTCAAACTGAAAACACTCTGTTCCATTGTGTTTTTAAATCGCCTAACTTTGAAGCTAGAGCTTTCTTTAGCCTCGTTTTAAACGTATTAGCTTCTTGGTAAACTAAAAGTTATTGTGAACTTTCTATGGCAATCTCAACTGAACAAAAGGTAAAACAAAAACCTTTTTTAAAAAGGCAATTTATGGTTATTCAACTGTATTATAGAGTAGAGCAGTTCAGTTCAGGTTAGAAATAGTTAACTTTAAAACTGTCACCTCATGACTTCACAAGATGGAATAGAGTATTTTGAGCTTTGGAGATGCAGGCATCCTAATAATGCAGGGTTACTCAAATGTGTGACAGAAACAAACCACTACTCCATTAATGTTTTTGATGAGGTAACAACATGACTAAAAGCTCACAGGACTAAACTCTGCATAATATAAGGCCTTTAAATATGCACTTTGTATCTTGGAGGGTTTGTTTGTTTGTTTGTATCTTGGAGGGTTCTTCATGTGTTTTGTTCCAAAAATACAGTACGGGTTGCATGTCCACAAATCATGACATAGTCCACTGGCAAAGCAAAAGCTCCAGATTTCCATTGCGCTTCTCAGTTGCCTTTGTGTCTCAGTCAAAAGTCTCATTGCAGTTTAACAGGAGGACAGGTCAGGGTGGGTCAACAGATCTGTGTCAGTTTGAGGAGAGGAATAACCAAAACTGGCCTACCTCTGTGTCCTGCATCACCACACCAGTGTCCAAGAAGAACCAGGTGAACACAACAGGAAAGGCCTCACTCCACCACTCTGGTGTTTCAGTTGACAATGTAATGGTTAATTCCCACAAAGTATTTCCTCTGGAAGGTCTTCTGCCACATTTTCAGCCACATATGGTGTAAAAAACCTGTAGCGTCTCAAATGTCCATAGCTACAGCTCCTTAGCTGGCCTCTTGTATGGTCTCCATGTATACCAGAAAAACAAAGCTCATTTCGCACAATCCCTTAACAGTCCTAAACAGTCTCTTACTTGTGTCCCTCAGCTTGACATGCTGCACTTCTTAGTTGGTTAAAATCCCATGATCCCAGTCACAAAAGCATCCACTCCGTTGTGTTTATGTATAAATCACACTCTTTGCCCACATCTCTGTCAAGAGATGTTCAACATTCAGTACAGCAGGTGGCGCCACGCTTTCATTTCACTCATACCTTAGAGCGCAGAAGAGGTTTATCCATGGAAACCGAAGGCGCGTCATGCGCGCCCGACGCTGGAGCAGAGTTTTACGCAATTTTTTCACTATTTACCGTGCTGATGTGGCCCTGTGGCGCGTACAGGCTTGTGTGTTAGCTGTTAGTTTACAGTGAAGACAGGACCGTGGTCCATAAGTGTCAGGAGACGATGTGGAAGCAGAGCGGCCGGAGCTCAGCTCTGGAGCGGGCCCAGGCGGTGCTCTCCTCCCACAGAGGCAGAATGGACACTGCACACCACTCACCACGGGTATTTCATTAACAGTAACATAATTTTCTTTCTTCTTTTAGGTATTTTGTGACTGTTTGTTGAGTTTATGCGGGAAAGATACTTGCACAGATACATAGTGTTCTGCTAGATTATGGCCTTGCATTACATCGGTCCGTGCTGTGTCACACGTTCTTCTGCTCAGATGTCTCAAGGAGACGCCGTGCGCGCACCTCCAGCCTGGATGTCGTCTGAGCTCCAGTCCCAACTCAGCGACAGCGAGTACTCGCTGAGCCCAGGCCCTGGACAGGATCACCGGGAAGGAGCCACTGTGCCAAAGCAGACGAGCGACTGGGCTTCGGAGGTGAGTGCCGTGCGGTGTTCTCTGGACATGCGAAATGGCTTGGCAGTAATGAGCATAGCATGATGCAGTAAACACCGTGTTGCCTTTTAGTTATTAGGTCTTTGTAACGTGAACATTGAAACAGACTTTTGATAATAATACAACCAAATCATGATGTTACACTGGCAGGTTCCTCGATCTTTGACTCCTCTGGACGCTGGGGCAATTAGGTTCTTAAAAAGGCCTTCAGCTGCAGCCCAGGATCAGCCCAGAGAAAGGTACAGACCCCAGCTCACACACTGAAGAGTCTGTACTGTCTACAGTTTTAATTTGGATGATGTTTGTGGTGATGATCCTGTGCAGCAGAAACTCAGGACCAATGTAATGTGTTTGTGTTGTCTCTGATGACGGAGCAGAGCAGTGCCCTCTTCACTGCTGGCATCCCAGGCGGCGGCTCTCAGCAGACTGGCCCAAATAGAAAACCGCTTTGGAAAAAGTCTGCACACCAAAGGGTCTTCAAGAGCAAAGCAGACGGCAGCACAGAAACTCGCAGAGGAGACACGCACGTTGCCCAGCACGGGCCAGCCCAGCACGGGCCAGCCCAGCACGGGCCAGCCCAGCACGGGCCAGCCCCAGCACGGACAAGCCCAGCACGGACAAGCCCAGCACGGACAAGCCCAGCACGGACAAGCCCAGGCACTTTGTAAAGAGCAAGCCTCTGGGTGCTCATGGACGACACTCGGAGGTAGGTAGTATGCAGTTCTTAGTAACTTTTTAAAGAAATTGTACTTTTCAGTCGAATAGTAATACGCATGTGTTCTTGCAGGAGTCTAACAGCAGGCGGCAGCTCCACACTGAGGACCTTCCAGTACTAAACCCCTCCCCAAGTTCACCACCAAACACTTGGCTTGTCCAGCCTCAGCCCAGTCTCTCTCCTTGCTCCATGTCCCCCTCTCCCCCCTACCTGCCCCCCTCTGCCCCCAGCCCCCCCCCTCTCCCCGTTGTCTATCTTCTGTGGGCTCTGCTTGTGGAGATGTGCACTCTCTGGAGGAGCTGTTCCCTTTGGAGGTTGCTTCAGAGGATGCTCTCAGTGAGCACTCAGACAGTTCAGGATGTAAGACCTTAATTGTATTTGTGCACCAAACACATAAAAAAGTCCTATATTAAGCAAAATTGACTCTTGTGAGCTTTGAGCCATGCTAGAGAATGTCCACAAAAACATACCTGGAGTTGTGTTTTGCTTTTACCTTTTACTTTTTTGTTCAGTAGAGAGTTTCAGTATGGAGTTTAAAAACATGTTGAGTGTTTTTTGCAGAAATCAGCCTAAATATGCCGGGTTTGTGTGTTAAACATGTGTGAATGAAACAAAACACAACATCCAGTAAGGTTTTGTTCTGGAAACAACATTATAACTTACATCAGAAAATAGTGCAATATGGGCCCTATAAATGAGAATGGAGGAATATTGTGCATGTAGTAAGGTCATTTAGCTCACCTTCTCTCATTCTGGGTGTCCTCCACAGGCTTCAAACTAAACCTGATAGACTTGGATGAGCTGGCTCCTGCTGCTCTGCTGCTGGAGGAACACCCAAATGCACAGGTCTGAGCTGGTAACACTTTTTTTTTTTTAGCTTTCTACCTCTGTTGATCTCTCATCAAAAACATAACTGCAGAGGCTTCAAATGTCCTCCGTACATGTTTGAGTAATTTAGCTATCTCTCCCAGGCCCTATTCGAACCCTCTTTACATATAGCTGGGAGACTCTGTGCAATGCTCAGCCCACAAGCCACGTCATCCATGCTCCTACACTACAATTCTCCATAAATATACAAAAGCATAATATGAAACTGTACACAAAAACTTGATGCGATGTGCAGTAGTTCCATGCTGATTGTGGTGTGAAAATGCTCTGAAAGGGGAGTGACTTAATGCAGGTAGCAAAGGGAGGGGGGAACTTATAAAACATGTTAATATGTTGTTCTGGATGAATATATTTACAACAATAACAATAGAAGATACAGTAACATGTGATCTAAGTATGTTATGTATTAGCAGTTAATATCCCATAGAAGTAAAATACACCCCCTTTCAATTCAACCCTTAAAATAGGATCCTAGGGCCCATTCCAACAGGTATTTCTTATAAATCAGTGATTATTTCAGCTCTACTAAAGAAATCTTATATTTGAAAACAGTATCTGATTAGAGTTGTCAAAAGTCCTTAAAATCAGATATCAGATCGTTATGTAAGGAAGAGAGGTGATACTCAATACCAATTCAGATAGCACCAATTCTGATAATATTGGTATTAACATATAATATAATTGTATTATGTATTATATGTTGCCTGAAATATGACTTTATTTCGGGATAATAAAGTATCTCTCAATCTACTTAATAAAATGCATAATGCATAAAATGTGATTTTCAACATTAATTCATAGTACTTTATTTTCTATTCCCATGTGTGTTATATCTGTGTAATGCCTCTGTGGTCCAGGTAGGTTCCATATAGTGTAACCTATGTGCTCTTATTCTATTCTCATTCTAAAGCTATTCAGGAAAGGTTCATTTCTGTCCTGTCAATGGAACTTTTTAGTATCTGTATCTGCTTAAATGAGTATCTAGTTTCGATACTAGTTTTGGTATTGATTAGCATCTGATTTTATAGGAATTTTTTTTTTTTTATCCCTTGGCAAATATTGCAAAAAGGACTTGTGCTATGTTTTAAGGAACCAGAGCTACAGGAGGAGCATGGAAAGGAGGTGGAGACGGTGCATGAAGAGGAGGTGGAGGAGGTGGAGGAGGAGGTCCATGAGGTCCATGAGGAGGACTACTCCAGTGATTTTGAGAGTGCTATTCAGACAGAGGGCATCTCAGAGCACTCCCAAGACAGTAGTCAGCCCCCTTCTCCTCGCTCACCGTCCAGTTACTCTAATACGTTCACCAGAGCAACTCCATCTGACCCCTGCACTCCCGAACCCCCACCTCACAGCCATGGCCCTCTACCCCAGCGTGACACGACCTTGGCAGAAATAGCCTTTCATTTGCCTGGTCAGTCTAACATTGCACATTTGAAAAAAGAGCTATATCCATCAGCATTAAAGGTTGTATAGAGGATTTTCCAAGGAACGAGAAATCCAGCGACTGTTTGTCCTTTTTCAAATGTTGCGCATGCGTGAAACCACCCCCCCTCCCCTACAGCTCCTACGTAGAAACACCTCCTCCCTCCTCCTCTTTACACCAGAAACAGGTTTGTTTACAGCCGGTGCGCTGCACATGACTTGTAAACAACTAACTACAGTGTTGGTTAGGCAAGGCGGAGAAGTGAGGAGCGGGGGGAGGGGGTGTGCGGACATTTCGTGCGCGGACGAGAAGAGCGGAGCAAGGAGAGGAGAGAGGAGAGGGGAGCGGTGCGTGGAGATTCCGTGCCCAGAGAAGTGAGGAGCAGGGGGAAGAGCGGAATGGGCAGCGGGGAGAGGAGCAGGAAAGGGGTGCAGAGAAGGTTGCACGGAGATTCTGTGCAAATGAACTAGCTACAACACGCAGCAGCAAGCGGACTCTTTCTTTGCCTTGAAAATTACGTTTTCAGACATAGGATATCGCTTTCGTGTCCTGAAAAACGTTTGACTAGCTCTTGGAAATAAAAGTAAGTTTTCATAATAAGCAGAAGTTTCCTGTCCAGGAGTAATTTGTGGACCAGTGCGTCAGTCTTTAGACCCTGCGTCTGCTTTAGTCGCGCCATCGCTGGAATGAATCTTCAAGAATCACCTTAGTTTGGCTTCGCTGCTTTTCCCCTTGTCTTCTTCTTTCAGCGACCTCAAAAACGGACTTTCTTTTGCGGCTAACTGCTCCTGGATTCTTGTCGCCGTCGCAACAAACTTTGTGCTAACTGCGAGGAAGATATAGGTCAAAAAAAAGCCGTTAAGAACTGTTGTGTTGGTGGAGTAAACAGCATCTGTGCGGCTTGCGTCTGTGGACTGTGTGACAGACATACGTAAACCACGTACCGGCGGCGCGCAGGTAAGTCAGTTACGCTAGAAACGTAGGGAGATTGATTGACAGCCTGTCAGCTCACAGATAACGAGGCAGTGTCGTTATCTATTGGCAAATGTTTAGCCCCACCGCGTCCAGAGTTGATGAATTTTTATTCTCTTTTTTTTGGTCATCATAATTACAAGACTACTGCACCTCTATAATGCTATCATTGACAACTTGAAACAACAAAAAAAATCCTCCATACAACCTTTAAACAAAGGGGTTAGGTGTAAGCAGTCGGTTTGTACAGTACTTTATTTTACTTTACAGACAGACCTGGTCAAATATTTGCACAGTCTATGGAGTTGATCTGTGTCTGTTGGGTTTCTCTAAAAGACTGAGTTGTTACTGTTGTTAATAATTCACTGTAAGCTAAAATGTGGTGGAATGTGGAGCTCGACAGAGACCTTCCATCCCCTGGTTCCGGAAGTGCATTTCTCATTCATTTTTCCCATAAACTTTCCAGAAAAATTGTGTTTAATTAGCTGGATGCATGCTGGTGTTGTGATAGCGCTCTGAAAGGGGAGTGACTTAACAGAGGGAGTTGTTGATGTTACTATGTTGTTTTGGGTGAATTTATTTTAAAATGATAAAAGGTAACACGATGATCTTAAAGACGTGTGTGGAATCCGTCAGTAATCCAACAATTCCATCCTCAGACAAAGAAAACAATAGCTGTAGCCAGATCAGGCTTTCTGAAATCCATATTTGAATTATTGTATTAAATACAAATGGGGGTAAATGTGACAAAAAGAACTGCTAAAGATAAATGAGTAAACATTAATAAGTACTGTAAGTATTGTAACATGTCAGAAAGCTCCAAAAAAGTATATTTTGCATTATGCCCCCTCTTTAAAGTCACTCCTATGTATTAATTTTACAAGGCAATAAGTATAATTTTAAATACTTTCATGCTCAGCTTGTTTTAGACAATGGAGGCCACCATCCTCTGACATCAGCACATTCTTAGACTGTGAAAACAACAAATGAAGTGAAATCTTGAAGTGCAGATGTAGCTCTTTTTCTGACTTGCTTCCTTCCCTGGAGCAGCTGTCTGTAGCCCGTGTCCTTCCCTGGGGCTCTTGATGCAGAGCCTCAGACAGCAGCTGGCCCTCACCTCACACTTCATCAGCAACGCTCAGGAGCAGCGCACTCGGCTTCTGGAGGATCTGGGGCCTCCCAGTTACAGATACACCACTCTGCAAGACACACTGCAGGTACGAAAGCTGTCAGACCTCCAGTCCAGCTCAGCAACACAGTCTACTTTGCTTTTAGGTTTTTGCATTGAAAGTGGCAACCCAAATGAGGCTCATTTTGATTAGAACATGTTTGCCTAGTGTCTGGAGATACAGAGCTAATTTTCATGTAATTTCAAATAAAAATCTTGCATCAGTCCCTTTAAGAAAAGCAATTCATGTTAAATAAAATTGACTGTGTTGCTGTTATGTATTTATGTGTTGTGTCTTTTTCCAGTACATCTCCAGACTTGGAGCCACCAGGTCACACTCAGGTCAGCAGATAGAGAGGAGGTGACCACACTACTCGAGTACTTGTGCCATCATTTGTATTGATTTGAAATGGTTGTTTTTCTCAGATTTTATGCCTAAGCATATTTATTTGGATTGTATGGTGAGCTTCTTGATGTCAGAAATAATCTTTTTTTAACTAAACAAAGAATTTTGAATAAAATATAGCCATATTTTTGACAATCATGTCTTGAGTGTTTTCTTTTTTTTTTTTACTGCCTGCAGCAAAGTGGTTCACCAGATACTGCCATGTTGCCATAGTGATTAGATCTTAAATAGTGGGTAAAAGGATTGGGTATTTTTCAAGGTAGCACACTATTAGGTAAACTATTATATTAGGTAAACTATTATATTAGACCAGCATTCATCAAACTAAGGCCCATGTGCCGACTCTGGCCCCCCAGCCCCTC